TTTTTAGAGCTTTTTTAAAACGCGAAAGAAGGTGCGCTAATGGGCAAGGTGCGGAAAAAAAGGTGCGCAAATGTCCGGGTGCGCAAAAAAAAGGTCGCATTTGTCCCACTCCCATCAATGCGCATGGACTTATTCCTTTTGAATGCTGACTTGGTTTTAATACTAAAACGTGGCCCAGCTACCGTAATTTGTGCAAACACATCTGCATTGAGTTACTGTAGCATATAATAATTCGTTTACGGTAGATTTACGGTAGTATAGATTCCCCTATGCTAGTTGGTGTTAGTCTTTACGGCTGAACGGGCTACGGTAGTTGGTTTAAAGCACAGACAGCAACTTGAGCTACGATAGCCTAGACTAACTGGGCTTGGGTTACGGTAGCTGAGTCAGGCTTTAAAAAAAACCCTATCAAGTCAATGTTCTGAACAAGTTCGCAAGTATACTTGATGGCTACGCCACCAGAAAGGTTTTCCTTTTTAGCCCATTGGGGACCCATGATTCCACATGGCCTGTTTCTTGGCAATGGATAAACCAAAAACGCTGAAAATTTGTTAGGATATGTATTTTCATGTTCTCTATCCAAATCCGTTATTAGTTTTGCTCAATAATTAGTTGGTTTTTTGTGAATAGCTGATGACTAAGCCCGAGTAACGCTTAGGATGCGCCATGGACTGCTATGACCTATTTCTGGCTAATGGCTGGGTAAAAAATGCTGAAAATTTGCAAGGATATGTAATTTTACTTTCTCTTTCTGAATCTAAGATAAGCTTTTTTAAAATATTGAGTTTTTATTATAAAAAGTGAAAGAAAGTGAATGACCAAAAAGCTTTTGACACCTTAACTTCGAGATTAAAGCAATTTTTCTCGTATCTGACCAATTTTACGTAATCGCGCAGCTTCTGGCACATGACTTTTGAAGATAAGGGGACAAACCAACGTTTGGTTTCTTTCTTTTTTGTCCATTTCGGTTTAATTACCTAAGCTTTTTGTGGTGGAGACTTGGGTGACTTCAGAGTTTAAAATTAACAACGGATTTGGATTTCTCACCCCTAAAAGCCTCCTAGTACCAATTTGCAAGCACTATTTCGATTTCAAATTAACTTTTTCATTTGTCATTTCTTTTACTGCCTTTATTGGCTGACTGTGGTTTAACTATAAGCCGATCGTTTCTCAAAAAAAGACGTCGACAATGTGTTAAGCACAAAATCAGTATCAGTTTGGCCGGCAAATCTTGTCCTTTTTGTCCTTTAAAGGTTAGTTTTTGAAATAAATAATGAAGCAATTGATCTATAATTTGTTTTATCAGAAAGTCCTTTATTTATTTACAAATTTCCCTTTAAGAAATTCTGAAAAGCTCGCGTTATTTCATTTTTTTAAAGGTGTAAAGTCGAGGAGTGAAAAACAATGAAACCGATTTTGATTTCGTGTATTGGTGTAATTCTCTGAACAACTAGGACAGTGAGTTGGGAAATCAAAGAACCAAGTGTAGGATTTAAGTTGGCTGAGTGTAGACTTTAGACTGGGTTTTTACAAAGTATACAATAAACGATAGCTGTGAAAAAAAAAGTAAAAATAGGTCAACCCTTCGAAGTAAGATGATTAGCGAGCAAAATCAAAAACTTACTCAAATTTGATACTCTGACTATCAGGTTGACCAGAAAGTCTTTTCCACTTTTTTAAAGGTTAGTTTTTGAAATAAATAATGAAGCAATTGATCTATGATTTGTTTTATCCGAAAGTCCGATTATTTATTTACAAATTTCCCTTTAAGAAATTCTGAAAAACTCGCGTTAGTTCATTTTTTTAAAGGTGTAAAGTCGAGCAAGCGAAAACGATGCAAGCTCAGATTTGAGCATTGATTTGAGCACCTTTTGTCACAAAAACCTGCTTTGGTGTTAAAAGGCGAAAAACAGAGAATAAAAAGTTAGACGGATAGACAAATTTTCAGAGAAATTGTTTCAGCCGATTTCATTCTATGTCAAAAAAAACGGACAAGACTTTCCGGTCAAACTGATACAACCTAGCTACTATGAAAAGGGTATTCAATGACAATAGGTGGCAGATAAATGGAAAATAATTCATAAAAACATTCAATATTCAGTGCACAAATTTATGTGAGTGCAGATGTGGGAAGGGGAGCGGGGGCAATTATTCCCCGGATCTCCCCTCCCCATTTCCACACCTCTCAACGACAAAATCCTTATTACCACAATAAGCTGGATTTCCGGCGAGTCCACTAGAAGAATTCCTCAAAAGCAATTTCATTTTCAAATTAACTTTATCATTTCTTTTAGTATTTACTTTTTAAAGTCAATCTTGAGCTGTTCATTTACATATTTAAAATCTAATTGATGCTTTTTGAAAATCATTTTTTGCTATAACTAGCCTTTTTAATTCTCTTCTACTTATTTTCTTATTTTTTCTTAACAATTTTTATGTAATTTTGAGCCATTTAAGTTTATTTTTTGACTGACTTAGAAAAATTGATCTATTGGGTTGGTGAATTGAAAACTGCCAGACTTTGAGCTAAAATTTATTCAACATAAAGTCATCAATTCATTCCAAATAATTTCCATTATTATTGATGACTTCTGCCCATTTTACAGGCAATTTGCGGATTCTTCTTTCGTAGTAGGATTTTGGTTTGTGTGTGAGACAAGTGTGAGACTCAAAAATGGAGGACTGGAGATGTCCCAGTTTGAGCCTTTCTTCAAAAGAAACCCATTTTGGTGTCAATGGAAAAGTTGTAGAGAATCAAAAATCAAGCTTATATCCAAATTTTCAGAACGATCCAAAAACTGGTTTTCAAGAAATGCCAAATTTACGAATTTTCACAAAACTTGCATTTTAAGCGAAACTACTAAGTGTATCTTTTTGGAAATTTGGCTATAAGCCTAATTTTTGATTCTCTACAACTTTTCCATTGACACCAAAATGGGTTTCTTTTGAAGAAAGTGCTCAAACTGTCGCATATGACAATAGCCCGCAGTTTTCAATTCACCAACCCAATAGTTGATGCTTTTTGAAAATAATTTAGTTAACTATAACCACCCTTTTGAGCTCTCTTCTGCTTATTTTCTTATTTTTTCTTAACAATTTTCATGTAATTTTGAGCCATTTGAATTAATTTTTTTGGCTGGCTTAGAAATATTGATCTAGAAATGGTTTTGATTTTTGTTCTATGAATAGTTGAAACAATTTCTAACTATCTAACTGAATTTTGGGTTTGATTTGATTTAGTAATTGTGGTTTAGGAACAGTTTTACATTTAGACATTAAAATTTTAGTTATAGTTCAAGAAATAAGTCTAAGCTAACAAATTTTGTCTCATTTTTACATTCAAAAACCGAAAAAATAGAAGTTCAAGAAGAATTCGTTAGAAAAGAAAGCAAAAAATTGGATCAATAACGAAAAAAGTTTACAAAAAAAGCGAAAAACAATAAAGTTTTCGTGGGTAAATCGAACGGATTTGTTGATTCATCATTCAAGTTTTCAAAAAAGTTGATTGAACGGAGAAAGAATGGGCAAAGGTTGTAGTTTGTAGTCTATCCAATTCACCGCTGTTGATCCATTTTGCGCGATTTCCCTCCATATTCTTCCTTTTCCAAAATCTATCGATGCGCGAAGATTTCCTTTTCTTTCTTTTTTTCAAATCGAATTTCCCAAGCCTTTCGATTGACCCACTTATATGCAAAAACAACGTATCGATTCATTTTACACTTTGTTTTTTTTTGGTAAAAACATCCAGATGTTGAACGTTTGAAGTTTTAAAAAGATTATTTACTGAAGTTTTGTTTGGAATTGATTGATTTCTTGATATTTTTCATTCAGTTCTTTAGATTTTTAGTAAAATATGATCAGCAATAAGTTTTAGACTTTAAAAAGAAAACTAAGCAAGTTCTTATTTGAAAATTTGCCCGACAATCGCTTTTGTTTCGATCCTAAGCTTTGATTGTTTTTTGATATTTGACAATTGACATTTTAAAATGTACTGTAAAACTTTTAAAAGAAAATTAATTACTTAAAATAAACGAGAACCTTAAATTAGAAGAAAATCAATTAAAATGTCAGCCTTACGTCAGCCAAATCAATGTCAGCCTTTAATTTTCTTACGTAATTTTTGATAATGATGAGATTAATTGAAAATAAGTTGTTATTTGATTTGATCTGATATCATATTTCAATTAAAATCTTTTCTTTTTTAAACCTTAGCTAGCAAGCTTCAACAATTCAAAATTCCAGCTTTTTTTACTAGTTATCTAAGTTTTCTTTAAGCAAACATGAGTAATTGGATCTAGCTCTAGTTCTAGTTCTAGTTCTATCTCTAGTTCTAGCTCTAGCTCTAGTTCTAGCTCTAGTTCTAGCTCTAGCTCTAGTTCTAGTTCTAGCTCTAGTTCTAGCTCTAGTTTTAGCTCTAGCTCTAGCTCTAGCTCTAGTTCTAGCTCTAGCTCTAGTTCTAGCTCTAGCTCTAGTTCTAGCTCTAGTTTTAGCTCTAGCTCTAGCTCTAGCTCTAGTTCTAGCTCTAGCTCTAGTTCTAGCTCTAGCTCTAGTTCTAGCTCTAGTTCTATCTCTAGTTCAAGCTTTGGACATTAAATTCAATTTAGCAATAGAATAACTGCAATTAACAATCTATATCCCTTTGTTTCAGATAATATTATTCTAAATTGTTATTCCAAATTGCTAGCAGATATTTTAATTGAAACAACATCTTGTAACAGTGCTTCTTCTAGTTGAAACGATTAAGTTCTCACTAAAAAACAAGCAAAGAAATCCAAAGCAAAGCAAAAATCCATCTTGCTTTCTCAGCTTAATTCTCTGTCGTTTTTGTGTACACTTTCCCCTTTTCAAATCCTATGATCAGGTCATCCTTTTTTCCTTTTTTAGACTCGAACTTCGCTGATAAGCGCTCACATTTTTCTATTTTTCTCCTCTTTGTTTGGTTTAGAAATTTGTTTATCTTTTTGATAAATCATATAAATTTTTAAATGCAAATTTCCAGAATGGCTAACACGGCCACTACATCGACGGCCGCAAAAAAGAAGCAAGATGAGCGGAACTCGAAAATTATTAGGTAAGAGGAAATTAGCATTAATCCAAATTCTTGATTTGAATCAGACTATCATTTCAGAGAGTTGGCGAATTTGCCCGACAATCGCTTTTGTTTCGAGTGCGGTCAACGGGGACCAACATATGTGAACATCACCGAGGGATCATTTTGCTGCAGCACGTGCTCCGGACTATTGTAAGTAACAGAATCTAACGCTTTTTTTAATTGGACAGCTTACAATCGCTGTTTCTAAGCCGATTTTCCAGTTTAATAAATAAGGGATTGGTAGATTCTGGAGAGGGGATTGAACTCTCGACCTTTTGCTTTCCAGTTGCTCTAACCACCGAGCTATTTGGTGCCTTAACTTGTCAAGAGAAAGAAGGAAAAACAAGGGGAAGAAGATAGGGAGAAAGTAAGATTGGCAAGACAAGCAAGAGAAGGAAGAAAGGAAGAAATATCCGGTCAAGGTTTTAAGCCAAATCCAATTGAAAACCAATGGCTTTGGCTTGGCTTGACTAGCTATGGCTTTTGGCCTTTTTTAGCCCTGCTCAAAACTTTAGACATATTTTGCTCAATTTATGTCTGGAAATTCAAACCTGAGTAAAAGCTAGCCCAATTGGGTAAGTTTATGCCTTTTTCACTTATTACTCAAACTTTACTTTGCGATCAAAGTCAAGAAAGTTTAGATTAAGATTCAAAACGTTTTTTTGCTTTAACATCTTTGAAATCTATACAATTTTCGTATTTTAGAAGAGGCCTCAATCCGCCACATCGAGTCAAATCCATCTCGATGGCCACCTTCTCCAACGAGGAACTTGAAAAGATTCGAACGCTTGGAAACGCGGAAAATAAGGTCAGTTTAGAAATGAGTCAAAGAAATATAGCAAAAAAGATTTGTAAAACTTCAATAATTTACGAGAAAGATTTTAGAAAACCTGGCTTGGTCTTTATGAGGGAGCAGCGCCTAAATTTGCGACAAGAGACGAACGGCAAACTTTCTTAATCAAAGTGAGTTAAAAAAAACCCGCCAAAGTAAGACAAAAACCCGCCAAAGCATAAGATAAACAATACGACTAAATTTTAGTTTGGGAAAAACTAATTGTTATATAAATGTAAAGCTTTAAATGCGAATTTGACTGGATAAAACAAAATTGAGAAATCGCGACTTATAACCGACTAGTACGGTCGTTTTTAGATGCTGATTGCAACCAAAAAGATCAAAACAACTAATTATTTTCAGAAATACGAAAAGAAAGCTTGGTTTGTGTCTCGAAGTGAATTGAACGAACAAGAGAGACTATTCACTGCGGCAAGGGAACGCTCAAGTCAATGCTCGACCAGTGTCACCTCGGAAAGTAGTCAACAGGTAAGAAGAAAACTTTTAATTTGTATTTCCTTCCTTTTTTTCCTTTATTCCTTTCTTCCTTGTCTTTCCCTTTTTCTCTTGGCAAGTTAAGGTACCGAATAGCTCAGTGGTTAGAGGAAAATTAAAGCGCAGGAAAAGATCGGAAAGCAAAAGCTTGGGTTCAACTCCCTCTCCGAAAATCTACCTTTTCTTGCCAATTGCTTCATTTCTGAATTAAATAGCTTAATATCAAAAGATAACTGACTGTTTTTCTGCTAGCTAGAGGATGTTTTCAAGTCAAGCTCGAGCTTTCACATGAGCTCTGGTCCATCTGATAGAGTTTTCATCGGGATTCTGAATCTGCTGTTAGTTTTTTTGTAACGGGAGATCCAGTAGCGCTCAAATGGCCAAAAACGGTCAAAATCGCCAAAAATAGCCGCTTTTGAACTTTTTGAGGAGATTTGAGGAGCTAAAATTTCTCTTTTTTGAGATTTCTTTTCTTTTCCGAAATCTTTTCGAAAAAACTTTTTTGAGACTAAAAAATCTATGGAAAAGCCAAATTTGTGATTAGATTTGCTCAAAAAAAGTTAAAAAGGTTAGTTTAAAAGTTGAAAAATATGATTTGGCGCGAAAGTCAGGAGAATCCAAAATTTTATGGAAAGAACTCGAACTAGATTGGAGATTTTCAGCTTATAAGGTTAGAAACTGTTAAAACTTTGTCTTTGAATGTAAGTCGATATCTCACAAAGAGAAAAAAAAGCACTGTCTACCACCGTTTAAATCATTTTGAACTACTTGGCATACAAAATTAGACTTTTTATCTACTTTTCTTTGTTCATCACATCTCGAAGCTGTTTTGATGGCCTAGTGTTTAGTGTGGCTGTGTTCTAAACTTTTTTCTGGTTTGAATCCTTTCACTAGACCCTTTTTGTTTATTTACCAAAAACTATGGTGTTTTTAAGGTTTTAAATAAGTTTACTATAACAACTTTATCCGATATGAAAACTCGATTTTGACTTGACAACATTTTCTAGTAAGACAGACGATTTTTGTCATCTCAAGCTTGATTCAAAACTTTAATTTAAACTATTTTATGAACTGTTTTATGAACTATTATAGGTTGTATATGTTGATTATGATAAAAAAGTACTATGTTTTCTCATTCAAATGCTTTAATTTATTCATCATTCTTTTCAGACAAACGACCTCTTGAATGATCCATTCTCTGATGCGTTTGCTTTCACGCAGACACAAGGAACGAATTTGTCGGGTTTGTTTGAAAATTTAAATCAAATGAGGCAAAATCTATGCTGTTTCTTCAAAATCTTAGCTTCCTTACACTCAAAAAAGTTTAGTGCCTCTCTCTCCGCCCTCTCAACTCGCTCCACCGCCTCCATTGGTTAGTTTTGAAAGCGTTTTTGAGACTTGGACGCTATCTGATGTAGTTTATATCCAAGTCTATAACAGAATTGTTCGAACTTGTAAAAAAGATCAAATCAAAGCCAGGCCTAGTCCTGATTTCTAGATGTTTACAAAGAATTTCAGAAGAGAGGATTTTCATGGGCTAGGTCTGCAGTAAAAGCCAAGCCTGAAGAGTTACCTTTGGACCTTTAATCTCATTCTACTTTACAAGAGAACTGACTTGAGCTAATCTTTAAGGCATTTAGATTATTTTGCCATTTGGACTCGTTTAACTATTCATTTACTCAATTCGTTTAACTTTATGGTCAGAATATTGTAGGATATAACAACTTAACAACTAAAATTGTTAGTTTAAAATTATGAAGGTAAAACTTTGTTCAGTTCTCAACATCTCCGAGCAACTCCTTTCCGATGCCGACAACGACAACACCAAAGACGAAGCCATCTCTTCCCATTAATCCGCAAGTATCAGCTTTTGTTGATCCATTCTCACCGGTTGAGACGCAAAAGGTAAGATATTTTTGTGAAAGATTTTCATGAAATCCTTTCAGCCGATCGCTTCCACAAATCCAGCTGATCCGTTTGCTGACTTCGATAATCTCTTCGGTGGCCTATCCGTTCAAAAGCCTCCACCAACACAAAGTGAAAATTTGAAAAAATTACTAGAGGCTTTGTTAGAAGCAAGGGTAGGTTTAGGACTAAATTTGGCCGGGCCAGGTCAGGCCAAGCTTGGGCAAGTCAGGCTCAGGCCAATCTAGGCTAGGGCAGATCAGGCTAGGTTAATAGTGAACCAAGCCAGGTTAAGCCAAACAGGCCATAGAAAAGCCATAGAAAAAGGTAAAGTTAAAACAGATCGGACGTTTGACCTCACTTCACTCTAGATCGGACGTCCGTAGAATAGGTCTAGATCGGACGTCCGTAGAATCAGTTTAGATCGGACGGATTTCTAGTTAACATATGCTCGGTCTGGAACTGGAACTAGTGACTTTAATACCTTATGGATGCTCGAAATTAGCATTTAAAATGTTCGCTCTTCGTTTTCTTCCGTACTCTCCACATGCTTTCACTAGGATAGACAACGATTGCATAAGCAGCTCTTTTTGCAAACACTTCAGCATAAAGTCAGCGTGAAAAGCCACCGTTGGGTCTTTGGAAGAGCCCACCCAGCTGATTGTCTTTTTTTAAATCTCTTGAATGAAATAAGCCTCATTTATTCAATCATTTCAACAGTCTATGGTGAAGTTTTATAGTAGTTTCTTTGTTTGTTTTATAAACAGAAGTACTTTTATCTTAAAATCAAATGTTTTTCTCTTAATTTCTTTTTTCAAAGTGTAAAATAATAATAAAGGTATCAATCAGCGAAATGCCCGGATTTCAGCCAAGATCCAATATCAAAGAACTAAATAGTTTAACCAAAAATGCTGCATTCTTTATTTACAATTGTACTTTAGTGCCAAGATCGCAAACCGTTGGCGGAGTGTCACCACGACCAGCTCAAGTTCCAATATTGCAACAGCAACCGATTGTTTCTCAAACGCGACCAGATCCTACTCCATCAGTGCCGATTTCTCAACCGTCTGCCGTTGATAAATACTCGGCTTTGGCTGAGTTGGATCAGGTGAGATTTGAAATTTAAAAACTAGTGTACTTTCTGTGTAACTCAAGTGTTCTTTCTGTGTAATTTCTAAGCTTTCAGAACAGAACCAAACCTTTGGCAGAACACAATTTATAACTGACAAAAGAAACAGACAAAAATAGACAAGAATCTAAAGAAGAAGAGGGTCAGAAAAAGTACAAAAAAAGCGGCTTATATTAAAACCAGGCCAGACTACGGTAGTTTATTCACCGTTTAGCTGAGATTTAATAGCTTTTTGGTGACAGTCATCGCAGCTATCGGAAATCTTTTAAACTCTAAAATCTTTTTAGATCTTCAGCAGTGGATCACCGGCTACAACAGCTCCAGTGAATGGACATCAACATCAACAACAGCCCCAGCAACAACGTGAGATTTAAGAATTGTGTACTAGTTTGATTTTAGAGATTATCAGTAAAGTTTTATAGACAATTTTTAGAATGGAGTTCGTCAGCGTATGGCTCAAGACCGACGAATGGTGGGAATCCATTTGGACAGGCGACTCCGGTAGTGGCACCGATTCAACAGGTGCAATTTTTCAGAAATTTTTGTAGCCTTGCTAAAAGTTAGCAAACCTTCTGTTAGAGTAGTGTCTTATGAAGCTAAGTCTAGAAAATTGTTCCTTAATTCATGAATTCTCTCATTGATTTCTAACTTCTAACTAGCAACAGGTCAAGATGGCCTTTTGTAATGAGAACTAGCTAATCTTACACAGTTTTTCCTGGAGATACCGAATCTGCTTTCAAAATCAGCAAACAGCTTTCTAGCAAAAGTTATGAGCCTCTTAACTTTCGGACTGCGTCTATAAAAAGCTTTTTTTGCAATAGGGATCGAACCCGAGCAAAAAGCTTCTAGGCTATCTTTGATCTTATGAGCATTTGAAGTTTCGGGCTGCCTCCATAAAGTCCCTTTTACGTTGCAAAACATGTCTCCTGGTCGATGAGTCGTCGATGAGCCGAGATCAAAGGCCATCTGGACGCATTTTGCTTGGGTTCGATCCCTGTTGCAAAAAAAACTTTTTGTTTTCTATTTTAACACTTTTAGTGTCTTATTTCGTAAATTTTTCCAATTTCAGCCAAACCCTGCCCAAGCCTGGCCGAATCCTTTTCAAGTGGTGAACCCATTCGGACCGACAAATGGCCAAGTGAATCCCTTTGCTTCGCAAATCCAAAAGAGCTCAACAGTTGGGGCTTTTGGGGATCTTTCATCGAATTCTATGAATCAGGTAAGATTTTCAGTAGAAAATGATCTTGTTTTTGAAGCACAAACTCTCGTTTAGCAATTCACCCATCAACAGCAACACTTCGCCAGCAATTTTCAGCATTCGGTCGGCTTTGTTGAAGGTAAAATTTGCAAGTACATGATTTAATCACTCGCTAATTTGTATCCAATTGATTACTGATTTCTAAAACGTGTTAACCTTTCGCAAACTACCGTAATCCAGTTTATAATGCCGTAATCAAGCTTAATCAATCAACGTTTTTAAATGGTTCTATACAAATTTACGAAAGATACTGAAACACATTTAAAAATGAAGTTCGTTCTTTATTCAAAGCTCATTATAATTGTAAACTTCAAAAATTTCTATCAGTTTCTATCAGAAAGTAGCTCAGAAGGTCGATTTTTGTCCAATTCCTATTATTTTTTAAATTTTCAGGGAATCCTTTTGCCTCTTCATTCTCCAATCCACAAAGCTCAGCGCTGCAGGTGAGCAAATCGAATTTGGTGTGAAAATTTCTAATTTTCGTTCTAAATCTTTCAAAACTTGAAAATCGGATTACTTTTTAAAGGTTAAAGACGCTAAATGAGATTTTAAAACGGAAAATTTCAGCCGAACCGTCTTCTTTCCAACTCGACCACGAATACCCCGAATTGGAATCCGTTTTCGTGAGGCAAAAAGCGATTAAATCTCTTGATTTAAAATTTAAATCTCTAACTAAACATCTAATTTGTAAAAGCTAATTCTTAAATCTAACATTTCTTTTATTAGATTTGTAAAATCTACCGTATTTCTTCGAATAGAAGACCGGGTAAAGTATCATCGCGTACTCCTGCGTAGGAGCCCTTTTTAAAATTTCTTTTCTGCATAAAAGCTTTCAATGAAGTGCTATAGGGCTGGAAAATGACTCAAAAATACCACATGAGCTAACAGATTTTTGAGCCATTTTCCAGCTCTATAGCACTTGATTGAAAGCTTTTATGCAGAAAAGAAATTTTAAAAAGGGCTGCTACACAGGAGTACGCGATGATACTCTTTACCCGGTCTTCTATTCGAAGAAATACGGTAACTCTTAAAACTAACATTTCTTTCAAACAAATTGAATCTTATTCATCTGGCAATTCTCTTCTCGACTTTCATCACGGTCATTACGGGGCTATGTGCATTATTCTCCTCAAAATTCTCTTCGGATTTCGACTTTGATGATTAAAAAATGGGCTTTTTATACAGTGGATGCCTTGGGGTTACTGTAGAAGCTTTTACAGCAATTTTGATCAATGTAGGACTCTATGCAGTTATAAAACTACAATCTAGTACTTTTCTAGAAAGCAGATTTGCTCCTAAAAGCCAAAATCAGATCAAGCCAACTATACGCAATTCCTTCGGCGAAATTCTTGACCCTGAATCTGTTTGCATTTTTGGGCCGTTCCGTCCATTCCTTGAATAAAATAGAGCCGACTTTTCAATTTACTTGATTTAAAACAAGTTTACTGTTCAAATCCAGACGCGTTTCAACTTCATTTTCAAAGATTCCAGTCATTCACTGCATAAAAAGTCCATTTCTCGCAAAACCAAAAACAATTTCGGTCTTTTGGTGCTCCAAAAGGGTGTTTTGACATGGCAATTTCTTTGAAATAAAATTTTAGCTCAAAAATTTCCTCTTATCTCTCATTCAGTATTGAAAGCCATAGCTTTTCTCCACAAAAACGGCTAGTCTCTTCTGGAATTAGATCTGTTCTCTTTGACTTCTATCACTTTGTCATTTGTTGGAATCATAAATTTATTCACAAAATAAATATGTAAAAAAACGCACAGAAGAACTCGTAATCACAATGTGGCTAGAGACAAGAAAATGGGTGAAAGGAAGCCAAGAAAACCAAGAAAAACAATAAAATGACTGGCAAATGTGAACCGGAAAATGGAATACTTGAATACAAGTGTACCAAGTTACATCAAGCTTCAATAAACTTCACAAATTGGAATTGGAATACTTGAAAAATTAACATCAAAGTTTATAAAGTTTTCAACTTATCGCCTTGCTGCAGCAAAAACGGCAGCCAAAAGCCCGCCGACAAGTACTGCACCGCCGCCGATCACCGCTGCACCGAGAAGGCCTTCTAAAGCTTTTAAATGATAAAGTATCATTTTTTTTAGTACAGTAGTTATACTTATCTTGTCTTTATATTATGCACAAGTTAAGTAGAAAGTTTGGTAGCATTTTTATAAGATATTTAGCTGCTTTAAAATGAATATGTTTTATTGCCGGGTAAATCGTATGCAGACTGTTTTAAAGTCAAGTAAAGTAAGTATAACGAACAAGGAAAAGTATAACGAACAATTGAATTTGACAACCATCAACTTACTTATCCAGATCAAAGCTAGTACTATCAGCTTAATCCAAAACCTTAAGCTTAATACTGGATGAACAATCCAGTATTTTCACAACTAATTCAAGCTTATAAAAGCAAAAAGATAAATAGCTGGGCTTATCGGTTTTGGATTAAGCTGATAGTACTAGCTTTGATCTGGATAAGTAAGTTGATGGTTGTCAAATTCAATTGTTCGTTATACTTTTCCTTGGCTACCTACACTGCCGAACAAAATTATAGGACCAAGAGTTTTTAGAGAAAAAAAATGACCAGTCCATTCTTGAAATTAAGCAAAAGTCCAAAGTTAAGTTATTCTGTTTCATAAAATATTAGTATCACTAAAAGTAAATAAAGAGCACGAACTTCTTCATACAAATTTCTTCTTATCAAACTTTGCCGGACAAATTTATAGGACCTTTACATTGGAAGTCTATAAAGACTGAATTTAAGAGTATTTTAACAGAAGATATTCTGTTGAAATGAAATCTGATGAAACCAAGTTTTTCAAGCGTAAAAACTTCAAAGATTATTTCTACAGTTTAAAAAAATTTTCGTTCTTGAAGGACAGACCTAAGAGTAAAATAAACTCAAAATTTCCTACATTTTTCTCAACTTTAGGTCTGTAATTCTTCAAGAACGAAAGTTTTTGTAAATTGTAGAAATAATATTTGAAGCTTTTTACGCTTGAAAAACTTGGTTTCAGTAGCATATCTTCTGTTAAACTACCTTTACATTCCAGTCTTTAAAAACTTCCAATGTAGAGGTTCTATAATTTTGTCCAGCATTGAATTTAGCCTTTCCTTTACCTCGTTTCATTTTCTTCTCAATGATCTCTTTGAGCTCTCGTGCTTGTCGATTGTGAGTCTCCACCGCCAAGAGGACATCCAAGTAAGCCAATGCTCGATCATAGTCCTGAATTTTGATTATTTGGATAAGTTTTGTTATTTAAGAATCATTCTTATAGTTAACCTAATTGTAAGAAAGTTGTGCTTTAGATAGCTTTTAAAACCATTTTTCAACCTTTAGTCGTGCATTTGCAATGGCCAAATAGTAGACGTAGTCTCGTTTGGGCATCTCGTCGGGTTCTTTTCGGAGGAGATCTAAAAAGTTGATTACGCCATCGAGCATAGATAGATCAGTAATTTTACTATTACTATTAGAAAGATTTTACCCTCCAGCAATCGAATCCCTTCATTCACATCTTGTTTCGTTGACTTGATCAACCCGTGAGCATAGCAGAATGTGGCGGCCACTGTAGGCGCTCCAGTCTTGATTCCCCGCTCGTAATCGTCTCGGAAACGCTAAAATAGCTTTGATTTTGTTGGTGACAGTATAGCAATCTCAAAACAAAATCTCAATCAGCACTGATTGCTTCAGATTTACTGCATTCTTAAAGTCTGGCTTAAAGATTGACCTAAATTGCATCATCAACCTAACTTATATGATGAACAAACCAAAATGTGTCAATCACGAAATTTTAGTCAGCTTTATTCTAACATACTTTCAAATAATTTAGCTACTAAATTATTAGCTACTTATTGCCCTTATCCTCGCAAAATATTTGCATTTAACAAAAACTGCCCCATCTCTACTTTGTGCCGTAGTTTGCATTGGAAATCTTATGGAAATGATTGATGCTGCATTTTTCGAGATTAAGATAACCAAGTATCTTAAACATTCTAATAGAAGAGCCATCTATAGAACCGTCGCGTAATCGCCTAAGTTTACTCTCAAACAAACGCTCATATCTCGACACTAGTATGTTTGTTTCTGCACGTTTAGGTATCAAATTAAAGTAGAGAGGATGGGTGTTTTTTTGATATATATAATACATATCTTTAGCATTAACCAGCGCTTAGAAGCAAATGATTGAAAAGTGGCAAAAACTTTTTTTATCATTTTTCAAGCATTTTGGTCAAAGCGCTGGTTAATGCTAAAAATATGTGTTATATCTCAAAAAATCACCCATTCTTTCTACTTTAATTTGATACCTAAACGTGCAGAAACAAACATACTAGTGTCGAGATATGAGCGTTTGTTTGAGAGTAAACTTAAAGATTTAAAGTAAACTCCCACTCACCTCCAATTCATAGGGATCGATCCTTTCGTCCAGCACGTTTTCCACATCCATCAACATTCTAAAATTATTTATTTCTGCATGAATTTTAAAAAAACAAAGAAAACATAACAAGTATTATCAAATAAATGAAATGAATGACCTATATTCGATGGATGACTCAACAAAGACTTTTTTTAATCGCGAAAGCTTCGGGAAAATGATTGCAAAAGGGAAAAGGATGACGAAATCAATAAATAGGTCTCGAAAGAGAGATTTTTGGAGGAAATTGAACAAATTTGAAGAAAATAACATTTTCTACATATTTAACCAACAAAATTCACATTGCCAAGTGTAAAGCGCTTCACCGAAATGCACAAATTCGAATAGAACTCAAAAAATCGTACTTGTAATCAACTATGGCAATCTTGTAGAGTACCTACCGTAAATACTGTAATAGTACCCCAACCCCATAATGACGGTGCGGAGTGTTGCGTAGTCTGGGTTTGAACGCGTTTTTCTTGACACTAGTTTATGCTAGAATGCGCGCTTAAGTATCAAAAAATAGCTGAAATTCAGGGCTATTTTTTGATACCAAAGACGTATTTTTTGAAAGTACGGGCGCTTTGAAAAAAATGAAATACTAAAAAACTTTAGCGACTACGCGACTGTACGAAGGGAATGGGGTACTATTACTGTATTTACGGTAGGTGAATTTAACAGGCAATATTTTAAAAATGTACAATTTTTAATGTAAAGACGAACTGAAAAGGTTACGATAGATTGATTTATTTAAATTCTTGGGTAAAGTTACCGTACTTTTTGATATGATTATGGTTCAGATTTAGATGAACTTATTTTTAACTTAACTTTAAATTATCTTTTAATTCTTGCAACTCTATGTGTCGAAAAGTGATTTGTGAGGAAATTGAACAAATTTTGAACAAAATAACACTTGTTCACAAGAAAATCTGCGCCTAACTATGACAAGTTTGTCATAAATGAAAACGCATACCTTCTGGCGCACTAAAAGCTCTTAGGTTTCAAATTATGCGAGCCTATTAGGTACTAACTTTCGTTTATGGCAGAGCTAGTCTTAAAATTAAATTTCAAGATCAGATCAAGCTCATAATCTGGGTATTCTAGCAAGGCTAAGGCTTATGGCCTTACGAGGGAACTGTTTTAGGTAGTAAAAAAGCTAATTACTTCTTTAAAAACACTATAATAATCATAAAGAAGTGTTTTTCGAAAGTTTTCCAAAAAAAGCAAAAAAATTGGCGGCAAGCGGAATTGAAGCCGCGAGTAGAATTGCCATAGGTTCGTAGTCTAGCGCACTATCGCCTGGGCCGCCGCTGCTTTTACTGCTTCCCGGCGTGGCGTCCTCTTCTAGGTGAGGTCGCGGTAAAAAAGTAAAAATAAAACCGCGATCTCACCTATAAGTGGGCGCCACTGCCTACTCGAAAGAAGAGAAGCGGTGGCTTAGGGGATAGTGTGCTAGACTCCGAAACCTATGCCAGTTTTAATCGCGGGTTCAATTCCGCTTGCCGCCAATTTTTTTGCTTTTTTTGGAAAACTTTCGAAAAACACTTCTTTATGATTATTATAGTGTTTTTAAAGGAGTAATTAGCTATTTTTACTGCCTTTAGGCGTGGCCCCCTATAGGTAGGTTGCGGTTTTCCAAAAAAATTGCCGAAACTGGACACATTTTTCTTGAAAACCAGGACCTATGGGAAAAAAATTTAAAGAATACGTGTTTCTTAGAATTCTACGGGGGCGTTTTGTAGCTAGGTGCGGTTTCGAAAATCGGTGCCAAGTTGAAACAGTTCCCTAGTTAAACCTAGTTGATAGTTTAACACTAATCATTCTAGTTACTCAATTTGATTTTTACCCATAACACTAAAACCTATCGTAATCTTATCCAAGCCATTCACTTTCTCAATTCTGAGGTGGCTCCTGTTGATTCGAGAACTTTTTTGGTGGCTGTCCAAGCGAGAAATTCCCTCCGCTCACCGCATTCCTCACTTCAGCCACTACATTGTTCAGCGTTGACTCGAATTGTCCATTTTTGAATTCAGCTGGGATCACCACACTGCTCGTCCTCGGCTGAGATGGTTGCTGATTTTGTGGCAAAGCCGCTTGCGCAGTTCTATACTGGGAAATCAAAGTCGGCAAATTGTTGATGACATCTTGCGGTATGTATTGCCTCAAGAAGTTGTTTTGAGACTCCAGAGTTGCCACTTTTTGCTCCAACTCGTTTATCGTATGCCGTAGCACTTCCACTTCTTCACGAACCGCAAAAGTTAAATGAGTTTTCACCAAATCCATTGCTTGCTCAATTTTACTGTCAATTGCTACAACATTCACTGTCCCAATCGATTGCTCATCTTCGACATCCGGGGTTTTTACAGGAATTGTAGGCAAAGGAGAGGCATCGATTCTCGGAGTGTCCATTTCTTTGATCTCAGCTAGTGGCGGGTTTTCATGAAGTGTTGGTTGGTGTACATCTTTTCCTTCTTCTGTGTTGATTCTTTGTGGTGTCGGTGGTTGGGGGACAATCGATGTGACGATAATCGTCGAGCTTTCGTTTTCCGGCATTGGCTTAAAATTGGCAGCGATTACTTTAGCGTCAGCGTCGAATTTCGAGAGGGTTTCCATGAGTTCTGGTGGCGGGCGAGAGTCGGGGAAATCCACGCATCGCCAACGGCCACGCGAGAAAGCGCCCTCGACACGGACGAGCTGAAATTTGCGCTCTTTCACTGGAGCGTTGATCGTCGATGTGGTCATCTCAACCGCCGTCTCGGCGGCGCCACCCATTTTGAAGAGAACCTGGAATTCGGGTTTTGTTTAGAAGTTCTAGAATCTAGAAACTAGAAGTTCAATAGGTAAAGCAGAGATAGCAAACAATCTCTTAAAGCATAGTTTCTTTTGAGTTTAAGAAAATCACAAGATCAAAGGGTCCAAGGATAATGGTTCAAAAACTGCGATAACTATGAAAGATTTAACTTTGATTCTACCTCTGGATACTTGTCGAGCACTTACCCCATACTTCATCTATGTATTACTTATCTAATGCCTAGATTGCCTCTTGGATTGCTTTGACATTTGACAAAATCTCAAAAATAGGTAGGTTTTTTGGACTAGACTGCTTCAACTTTCTACCCAACTTTCTCAGAAGTTCTCAGAAGACATGGGAAAAGTCCAATCCAAACTGAATTCCATTTTTGTTTTCTTGACCGATTCTTGGTCGATTGCTCTGAAATTTTGCCTACTGATAGAAATCGACATTCTCAGCTTGTAGACAAAATTTCAGAGCAATCGGCCAAGAAACAGTCGAGAAAACGAAGATAGAATTAGGTTCGGCTTGGGATTTTCCCATGTCTAGTAAGTTGGATTATGCATTTGATAAAAAGAAAGTTTATGATGTAAATAGTCAGTTAGTCAGTTTGTTGGACAATTATTGGAGCTAGAAAAGTCAGCCCAAAAATTTCAAAAAGTTTCAAATCAAAAGCAATCCAGTAGATTTCAGAAGTACAAAAAAACTGAAAGATCTTAGGAGACGAATAAAAATCTAAAGAGATATGCGGATAGTTTAATTGTATACTAGCATATTTAGCTTAATAAAATCCCTTAACAAAAAAACTTCTTGGATTCCAATGAGGTAAAGAGAAATCAAAACTTACCACCCAACTTTCCCCAGTCAACTAAAAGCCTTGGATCTACACAGCCTAACAAACTTGAACACTAACATGTGATAAAGTTAGATATTACTGATAAAATATTATTGCTAACTATATCGAAAGCGATAAACTTAAAAGCCAGAGAACTTTTACAAAATATGAGATCAAAGTTATGAAAGAAAGCCCTTTTTTCCATCAGCTGCTTCAATAGTGGTTTTGTGCAGTGTGCGGAGGGAAGAGAACACAAAAGAGAGCTCGATTCAGACAGAAAACAAAACCTTTTTGAAAAGATGGCAGAGAAAAGGCCAAAAAAATTGGAAAGGGAAAAGAATTGCCATCACTTGACAGAAAAGAAAAATGAACAAATGAAAAGAGAGATAAAAATGCGGAACAGAAAATAATTGGCGAAAGTTTGGCAATCATTTGAGCAGTTTTTGCCAAAAATCTTGCAATTGTTGTTATTTATAAGTAATTGTACTTTTTGATTAATATATTAATAGCTGTAGTTTGAATAAATTGAAATTTTTTGTTAAAACTGCTGACGTTTAACTTAAACTTTTCACAGTGCAAATTCACAGCAATGCAGGTTTTTTTTGATTCAGAATTGAGCCGAAAATTGATACTGGGGTATTTCTGAGGTGCTAAATCAAATTCGAAAATCCAGTTATTAGATTTCGGGTTCAATTCCTTCCAAACTTCTTCTTCTTTGTTTTTAGCACTTTAGCATTGCTCCTTGATCTTTAATGAATTGGAAATTGTTTCTAGAGACTAGAGCCTCTCAAGTACGATTCAATTGAGCAAAATATGTGTAATATGATTTGAACCCGAGCAAAAAGCAAAAAGCCAATAGATTTCTTTGTCTACCGCCCTCTTATCCACTAGACCACCACCTAATATTTGGTTGTCGAGTCAAAAAACCTTTTGTTGCCAAAAACTTCTTGGCCAAGTATCTCGCTTTTGAAGATAATATAGTTATAGCTGTAGTTTGAATAAATATCTCAGAGCCAAGTATCTCGCTTTTTTGGTTTTTGGCAACTTTTTTTTACTAGTATTTTCATTTTTTACGCAACTAATTTTTACAGCATCGTGATTAGCGTGGTCTATTCTATAAGGTCTAGTCGGTCCTGAATCGATCAACGTTCGCGAGCTGACAAGGGAATGACCAGAAGTGAATGTGACCGTTTGGGATGAGTCATACCTCATTCGATAGGTCTCATGATGAATATTGAGGACCAACAAAAACTAGCTCCCTAAAGTAACTCTACAACGAGAAATAGGGCTGACAAGAAGCAAAAATGAGGTTTTTGATCCTTCTTGACGAGGCTGCAATTTTTTACTGAATCAATATTTTTGAATAATCTTTTCTACATGTAATAGAACTTGAATGTAATTGAATTTGGTTATCAATATTCATGATGAGATCGATCGAATGATGTATGACTCCTTCCAAACGGTCACTCCCACTTCTGGTCATTCCCTTATGAGTCGGTTTCCAGTTTTCTTGACATCACTATGCCCAAATTCCTGGGATCAATTTTCCCCTTAAATTTAACTGTATTTTTAATGCAAATCTACATTCTGTTAAAATCATTGTGTTATTTAAACAGCAATTAAAGTGAGAAAGTTAGTGAGTGATTTAAACAGCAATTAAAGTTTCCTACATGTAATAGAACTTGAATGAAACTAAAAAATAGCAAAATTTGGTTCTCAAAGTATTTATAAACTTTTACATTTCAAAGCTATTGACTTTTCTTTGCATAAACCTCATAGTCAGGGTAAAGTTATATAGGGTTTTTCCCGAATTTATTTAGATTCGGAAAGCTTTCAAGGCTTTTTCATAAAGTTTTAAATGCTTTCTTTTAATCTTTGCTTTTGTTTTTAATTGTATCAATCATATTTTCAAAAAAAAATAATTTATTAGTGTGTTTCTCTCGTTCAAAGAAAAATTTCCTTATCAGAAAAATTACGAGCAAGCCACCCGGGAAAAAGCTTAAACTTTGCTTGTATGAGAAGAATTTCTCATTAAATTCAATTCTATCAACTTTCTTACATTTTATGTGCAGTTTGCTGAAAAAATTGAATTGTATGGAGCAGGAGGAGGTCGAGGAAATGAGTGAAATCTCTACACAACCACAGAACGGATCGGAAGACGAGGATTTCGACGAGAAAGCCGATTTGCTGAACACTTTTCTGGATCTAGAAGAGTTGGACACGGATCTTTATCGGTAAAATGTTAAAAGTTTATGAAAGTTTTGAAATTCTTAGGTCTACACATCAACTACGAGGCCGGAAAGCGCACAATAGGGTGTATGGTGGACAGGTGAGTTGCCCTGGGTTAGAAAAACAGTACTTGTAACTAGAGTAGAGCTGTTCATTTTCATTTTTGATCTGACCGCCAATAGGTGTACAACGGGAAAAAAGACCCGATTTGGTCACTTTTTCAGGGTTTTTAGACCAAAAGAGAGACTTTTTAAGGGATTTTATTTGGAAATTCTGCCGTCCTGTAGAAATTCTAACTTTTTCTAGAAATCTAGAAAAAGTTGGCGTTGCTGTGGTCAAATCTCGCTTTTCAATTGACGATCAAACAAAAAATGAACAGCTTTAGGTTATCAAGAGTATATTCTTGTAAGTAAAATGCTTTCTTGAAGTTAAACAAAGTTACCGTATCTTTCAGGTTTTTTTTCGTTTAAATTAGGTTCATATTCGACTGTCCAGAGAGTCTTTTCGTTCATTTTTATAATTCCGTTTAAGAATGACAAATCCATCAATTAATCTATGGTTTGCTTCAAATAAAAAGTGTTTATTGTTCAATTTCCAATCTTTTTAAGTCAATTTTGATTCACTTTCAGCGCAAATTCGAGAATGAAAACGTGTTTTTTTGTAAAAATCTATAAAAACCTCTATGAAGAAATTGGCCAAATGAATTTCTCTGAAAATTTTTCTATATACCAAACTTTTTGTACTCTATTTTTTATCTATTAACACAAAGATAGGTTTCCATAGCTCAAAGCACAAAGTTAGGTTTCCTTAGCTAAAGTGTCCAAGCCACATCATCGAGTCGTTGGCCTTTTTGACTGCCTGACTTCAAGCTCCCAAAGAAATCCAGACATAAGACATTTTAAACCCGTTTTAATGTTATTTTGTAGGAAAATAATTGCTCTTTCTAGTGAAACAAACTGTTCAAATGGTCCATTTGTTGGTATTAAACGGAAATACGAAAAGGAACGAAAAGACTTTCTGGACAGCCTAATAGTTTGATTCATCGTGAACAAAAGTGAACAAAAAAAGTGTATCGGACAGATCTAAAGAATTGATTACAAGAGTTTTCCAAGATATCCATCTTTTAGAAACCTTATTTTGCCTTAGAATCCAATCCTTCTCGAACTCTTACAACCAGATTAAAGACAAAACACTTCAGGTTGTCGGTCAAGCTTTGATGGCAGCACATCGAACAATCGACTCGGAGTTCAAAGCGCACAGTCTTCATTGTAACTTCTTGTATGCTGGTGGGATATTCTATTTTACAAACTTTCAGTCCATTTCAGTCGACTTGAACTACAGCATTTGACTAGTGTTACAATTCTTTCTTAAAAACCTCTTTGTATCACAAAGTATCAAGTTTCTGGAGTTGCATTGTCTTGGCCATTTAAGTAAAACTTTGGCCAAAGTAAAGCATAAAGCCTTACCGTGGCGGCAGTGGGATTCGTGCCGGCGTAGCTGATTGGTAGAGTGTTCGCCCGGCAAGCGAGAGGGCGCGGTTTCGGGTGGATTCGGGTGCGCCGACCACGTTTTGTATTCCCAACCCATAAAAGGACTTTGCCAGTATATTGGCCTCATTGTTAGGGATAAATACTCAGCAAATTTTTGCCTGAATACATTTTTAATGTAAATTTTCGGACTACTGTAACTGATAAAGCAAAATTATTTTGTTGCCAGCTGATGCCGATCGTCCCCTCTTGTACCAGGTGTCTCGGATTCGTGACGGTCGCTCATTTGCCACTCGTTTGGTTCGAGCAAAGCAGGGTGGTCGAGCAATTTTCAGCTCTTCGATTTCGTTTCAGGTGCAATAGTTAGTAAATTTTGTTGTTTATGAGCTGGTTCAATATTTTTTTTAGAAAATCGAGCCCGACTCGATCACTCATCAACAACGAATCCCCGACGTTCCACCGCCAGAGGAATGTGAGGATGCACAGGATTTCCTCAGGAGGTAAAAACGAACAAAAAGCTAAACGAATAAAATAATCTACTGTTGAAAATGACTTTTTAGATTGATTGCTGATCCAAAGACGGTTTCGGTTGAAGGACAACGAGCTGCTGAAGCTTATCAACAAGTAAGACAAGAAATGATCTTGAAATTTGGGCTATCGGACATTTGATACGCCCCTTCTGCCATTGACAATCTACCTTTTAGCTCAAATATCTTGATGTTGGGCTATCCAATTTAAATGTTCTTGGTATCATTGGATGCGCCAAGTCTTTCTCTGTCGATTGGTATAAAGACTATTTAAATTGAATAGCCCAACATCAAGATATTTGAGTTCAAAGTTGGATTGCCAATGGCAAAAAGGATGGGGCGCGTATCAAAGGCCCACAGTCTGGCATTTGAGCATTTTTAATGATTGAAAGCCTAATTGCTAACTTTTTTATATTGTTAGGCATTTCAAACTTTCAATTGTATTAAATAGAGCTTGATAGAGCCAAATATCAAAGCTACCTTCAAAATTTGACTACCTATCCAAGTTCCTGGATTCTTACTAACGATAAGTCAAAGATATTTGTTTTTTAGAAGTTAACAAGATTATATTGTCATTTTCTTGTTAATGTTTTTTCAGGTTCTGGATTTCCCAAAAACCTTTCGCATCAAATTCATCAAGCCGCGTGCCTATGTGCAGGGAGCACTCGATGAGCCGATGAAATTCGCTGTTTGGGTGAAAAACAATGCACTTCTGGGTAAAAAGCTTTCTATACTAGAAAAGCGCTGCTTAAATTTTTGCTTGAAAATTTCCTTTCAAACTTTCGAACTTCAAACAAACTTCAAACAAACTTCAAACAAATTTCAGGAGAAGTTGAGCATATCCATCACTGTGTGGCGGCTTTCATTTCGGATATTGCGCCGATCGGTACCCCGATTGCCATTCATGCAGCGAAGGGATTCAGATTGGGTATGCTCAGACAATCAACACTGTAATCCTGTTTGAATCTGATTCACAATAAAGCATTTACAATGACATTTTGGAGCTTTACGCTAAGCTGGTATTCCTTTCCACTAGTTTGAAATCATGGCTTCTATCAAAACAATTGTGAAAATTAAAAACTAAACTCTCAAGCTAATTCGTAAACTTTAAGGAATGGCCGCCTCTCTTGATCACTCAATGTGGATTCATCATCACGATTTCAAAATCGATGACGATTGGGTGCTTTATGAGACAGAATCGACGATAGCTGGTTTTTAAATAAAGGATTAATATTAATATTAGTTTAAGACTTTTAATCAGTTCAATTTTCAGCGGCTTGTCGAGCGTTGATTCATGGTAAGATGTGGACACGAGACGGGCGAATGGTTCTTTCTTCGACGCAGGTTTCAGATTTGAAGTTGACTTTTTAAAAATCAAATTGTTAACTGCTTAACAATATAAAAGCTAAGACGCTTATTAAATTATTAAATTTTTATTTTCTTTCAGGAAATTCTCATTCGAGGCCAGCGCGACGACGAGCCAGTCGGTCAAAAGAAACGCAGTGATTCGACGTTTCTGCGATAAAATCTACTTAATCAAATTTAGCTCTTTGTGTAAATAAATATATAAGAATTTATTTATTAAAGGCTTTCCTCACGTATTCCTTTTTCCTCTTGACTCACCGTATCGGGCATTGTTGCGTTCTGAAAGTGGAAAGTTCAGGCTCAAGCTGTTGAAAGTTCAGGTTCAAGCTTTTAAAAGCCAAAAATCTATTTGTGACTCTAGATCAGTGCAGGAAAATGACAAATATTTTAGAGTTTACAGAAATTTTTCACCTTTGTTTCTGGCAAGATTGCCCAACCGGCTAGGAGACTAGCTAGTGCTAAAACTGAAGCCACCAGTACGCCGAATCCGGGCCACATTGTTCGCGAGAGATGAACTAGTTGAGGAGCCATGGCGCCACCTTGACTTTGATTTGAGTTTTGAAAAGGAATACGAGTTGTACAGGAATACATGATAACCTTTTTGCTTTGGTACGGTATTTTAGTTAACAGCTATGCATGAACCAATCCGGTACATCAATCTATTCAATCTATCAATCTATTCATCAATCATCAATCTATTAATGATCAATACCAGGCCAGGCAAAGAAGAGACCTTGTTCTAATCAATGCCAAGCCCAGCCCCTAGGCCTGGATTCTGGTCTGGCTCTGGGCTGTTCTTGCTTTGTCTAAACTGTCATGCCTCACAGGTCTTACTAGGAAAAAGCACGAAATCAATCAAAATTTGTCTGGACACTTAGTGCACTTTATAGAATCGGGTATGAGGAAAAGGAATCTGAAATCAAAATCTGCCAAACGACTTTCAAGGCATGTAAAACATCAATCAAAAAGTTAGAGTCAAATTAGCGTCATTTGGCGTCAGGAATGCTTCAAAAGGATTCTTTCTAGACTAGGAAAGGTACGTCGATGACCTAGTGGACAAAGCATTAGGCTTCCATTCGGATTCGGGATTCGGTCCCTGGTTGATGTTTTTGTTTTTTTTCTTTTGGAACAACTTGTAGCATTTTGCAGCTGATTGCGGCTTGCAAAGTAGGAATAGGAGCGGCGTACGCGCCTTTCCCTAGTCCTTTCCCTTTCCCTAGGAATCCAGTTCAAACATTCCTGATTTTCCTTCTTTCAAAACGCTCACCTATCCTCTCAATGACCCCAAACGCTCCCACAGCCATTGCCCTCATCAATGTCGGATAGAGTTCCATCGAGTATTGCTTGTAAACAGTGAAAAATATTGACGAGTTACTGATTCCTGAACTTACTGTAGAATTGATAACTATTTTGCAAACCTGCTAGTAAAGCTAAAACCGTTTTGATCATCATTCGATACTCCAAATTGACAGGTACTAGTAAAAAAGGCGAAAAAACAAATGGTCGTGAAAGCTAAAAAAGAAGAGTTTGGCAAAATTTTAGACAAGAGATTTTCTAAAAAGCATCCAGTTTAGAAAGCTATCGTAATCCAGCTCAATTTTGGTTCTATTGGTTGATTCAAAACATACCAAAATTGAGCTGATTAAATGTAAACAAGCAATTTGATTACGGCAGTTTTTCTGCATTTTAGAAAGTGAAATATTAAAATATCAAATGATAAACCTTGCGAAGTGCAAAATAGAGATCTTCGGCCAATTTTGCTTGAATATTTCTCTAGGAAAATGATGAATAGCGGTACCCAGAGTCGAAGGGTTCCATAAAGAGCAATGTTCAAGAAAGGATTACCGGCTAGGGTCTGGAATTTGCATTTAAAGTTTTCCAAAGTCACTTTAAAGTGTCCATTTTGAGTGTAGATTGAAGCCTTCTCACCTGCACATCGAAAATGATCACAGCTACCGTGGTTTCAACGGTTAACGCCGATAAAATCATCACCATACTGTAAAGAAACAATTTTCGCGTCATGAAAAGGTGCCAAATCGAGTAGATTTTTCTGAATTAGTATATCAGCTATGTTTTTCTAATATCTTCTCACAAATTTCCTTTGTCTAGTTGTATGTCTTTGAGATCGTCTTCGGAGAAAGTTACACTGTCACCATTCCATTTTGACATTACGTTGAGGCTTTCAGCTGCCTAGATCACAAACGCTTTAACGATCAAGTACAGAATCTCCAATAATTATAGGTGCAGTGGCTTACTATCGATTATTATTAACTATCTCGATCTCCTCAAAGCTGAATTTTTGCACTGAGCATAAAAGGATTTTAAAAATCAAATTCGGACATTTCAAGAAGACGGGCCTTCGCCCCGGAAAGCCAAAAAAGTCCAAGATCTTTGCAAAGTATCCCGATTTCATCTCTTTTTCTGAATGGCCACCCAGCTCGACAGATCGCAAGCTGATGAATTTTCTAAACGCTTGACAGTCTGGTCCATCCTTGAGGCCAAAGCCTGCTCAAAGGCCAAAGCCATTAAAAATGTTGAAAGTTTAGTCTTCTGAAAGCATGAACTCGATGATGATTACTTGATCGTGAAAGCCGTGAACCGTGAAAGCCTTTCCTAAGCCTTGACCGTGAAAGCCTTTCCTAAACCCTTGACAGCGTGCTCGGCTGATCGCTTTGAAAAATGGTGATCGCTTTGAATTTTATTCTTAATCTGTTGTTCATTGATATCAAATAAGAATTTTGAAACAAAACTTTGCTCTCTAAAGTTTCATTTTGTCTACCTACCAAGCTTTTTATCTGCGCCTATAATTATGAGTCACCTTGTAGTTGTAGTTTTGATTACGGCAATCTTAAAAGTTGATATGTTTTAGAAAAAACACTATTTGAAAACCCTTTGCACTCAATCACTCAATTTAGACTTAAATAAGACATGAAAATTGTTTACAGATCGATTTCAGAGATTATTTTTAAGATAATTAATAATTACAGCACATTAAAGAGTTTTCTGAAGTGAAGTTCTGAAATAAAGTAAGTGTTCTTTTCCAAAATGATTTTCGAAAACGTATCAAAGGTACCGTAGTCTTGTTTTTTAGTTTAATTCAATTTATTTAACTTTCCTGTCTATCGGCACCTTTGTAAACTCTTAAAGAAGATAGATTGAATAAAACTAGGAACAAGATTACGATTGTTTGCGAAAACCATTCTGGAAAAGGACAATTACTTCATTTAAACAAACGATAGTTCAACCAACTTTAGAATATTTCCTCTTTTGTATCAACCATCTCGGCGATTCGACCCAAAGTGGTACCAAAAACAGTGCGGGAATCACGGCCACATTGATCACAATTAGATACATTCTCCAAGTGCCCGTCACATAGGCAATAAATGCAGCTATCTAGAAATGATAAAATAAATTTCCATATTTCCATATTTCCATATTAAAACTATCTAACCAAAAGATAAACTTTTTGAGTTAATGCAAAATTTCGACCCAGGCAGGACTCGAACCTGCAATCTTTGGTTTAGGAGACCAACGCCTTATCCATTAGGCCACAGGGCCATGTTGTGGTGATGGACTTTAGTGGTTCTTAATTTCGGAACCCCGGCCAACCATATTGATTTTTAAAGGAGACCAACGCCTTATCCATTAGGCTACAGGGCCACGTTTCCCTGGTTGAGTTTAGTGGTTATTAAATAAAAAAATGAGCTCACTTGCATGGCGAGGGCCCACTGAAATGCTAGAGTCTGCACGATTCGATACTTTGGACCGACTGATTCACTGGCGAGGGTCATTGAAGAGTCAACAAGAACACCATAGCTGAAAACAAGAAATCTTTTGCTTAGTAAATAGCTCCTTCAAGTTTATGAGATTACTGTGTCTCATAGAAAATGAAATCGTCTCATACAGGATATTTTAAAGAGTCGGAGTACTGTCATGAAACGAATTATAGTGACAACTTTTTGAAAAAGTAGCTGGAAAATGTCTCATTTATTTCAAAAGTAGCAAGTGTTATAGAGAGAATTGTAGCCCAAATTCTCGGCAACATTTATCTACCTTCAACTACACGTCACATTTGCTTCAAACCAGACATTGCTTATCGCAACATTACCTAAATCCCATTCCAAACATGGCCACCGCGAGTAGGGTCCAATTTGGAGAAATAGCTCCCAGAAGACCCGCGATACACATCAAGATTGCACCGGTGTTTGTGATCAGTTTTCTAGATAGGTAAACGATAAAGACCATAACAAAACACATAAGTCGTGCTCATTCGAGACAGGTGGATCATTTTCAAAGCTTAATTTACTTATCAAGTTTTAGACCTATGAAGAGTTCTATTTAGAGTAAGGTAGATTGTTCCGGCTAAGCAGGAGCAATGCTGTTGAATCTACTTTGACAAACCTCCCAAACTGATCGGCCGCATGCCCGCCCAATAGAGCGCCAATGCCCGAACCTATTGCCTAAATAAGAATGGCATTGGCTTTGTTAGATCGACTAACTTGCAAGGATTGCAAATGTTGTGGCAATCCACTGTTCGGACAAACAAAATCCCTGTCTTCGTACAGAGAATGGAAGAGGATATCGGAAGAATTTGGTGGACAGCTTTGCACCATCACGCAAACATCTTTTACTGCATCCTAAAGATATCGTTTTTATGACTTTTTCTAAATGACTAGGATTTCTACTATCTTGTTATCTATTAGGATAAATTTACAAATTTTCTAAAAACAAAAGAGGTATTTTTTGAGTAAAAGCCTCGACCCTGGCAGGACTCGAACCTGCAATCTTTGGTTTAGGAGACCAACGCCTTATCCATTAGGCCACAGGGCCATGTTGTGGTGATGGACTTTAGTGGTTGTTAATTTCGGAGCCCCGGTCAACCATATTGATTTTTAAAGCCCAGGTTCGTGGTATTCTTTCACTGTTTGTATAATCGTATGTTTGAATTTCGAAGACTGTTTGAAGGATGCATGACAGTAAAATCTTGATTGGTTCTAATGGTACTTTACCCTTATAAATCCCCCATTTTTTCCTATGCATAAATACCGTTATACATACCCAAATCTACTTTTTACTATGATAATCTAGAAGTACAATCTTGTGGACGTTTACAAGGATCACTCATTCAAGGTTTACATACAAGATTTAATGGCTCTACAGGGTGTCCCACAATTATGGTCACAAAATATCAACAAAAGTCTATCGACCTTATTTTGCAAAAAAAATTGGTGAAATGAGTGAATGAAGGGCTAAATTCAATAATCTAATCAGTTCAATAATCTAATCAGCGCTCTAATCATTCACCAAGGAATGAAAATCAGCTTTTGCATCAATAGGGCGCACCAACGTTACAAGATGTCCCACAATTAAGGTGACGCGCCTCTTACTACGTTTAGCTTTCTGTCTTTCTTTTTTTCTTCTTGTTAATTCGATGCTTTGATTGTTTTTTAGGTGTGAAGTCTAAGAAAGAGCTGCGTTCAGCCATTATTACTCTTCATCAGCAAGGAAAAACCCTCGCAGAGATTTCTCGAATCTTACAGGAAAAAAGACAGAATGTTTTTCGCGCTCAAAAGCGTTTCAAAGAGCTTCAATGAAGATCGTAAAGGACGAAGTCCACTTGGTCTTTGCACTTTGGTGCCAATAATGATTGGGTTTTTCAACAAGACGAATCTCACATGGCTATTGATACACAAGATTGGATCTCCAGCAACTTCCCAGATTCCATCATCGTGGACATCAGTCAACGATGCCCAGGCGAATGGCCATCAAACTCGCCCGATCTTAATCCCCTGACTCAATATGGTCGATTCTTGAAAGCATGGCTAAAGCCCACAAATCAATTGACTTCTTGAAACGAGCTCAAGGCATGGAACGAAATCTCTATCAACACCATTGCAAAAGTCAACAACAATAGATGATTTCCCAAAGCGCTTAAGAAAATGATTGCTTACTCACCAAATTCGTTTTCTCATCGCGACAACTCCGATAGAGTCCTCCGAATGACGTGAATAAATAGTTTCCCGCCGAGTTGAGCATCAAATATTGAACAACGAAAAACATAAATATTTGATATCTGCCTAAAACTGAAATGAATAGTTGAGTTTGCATTCAAACCATAATGAGATATCCGATCGTAAACCTGATCAAAGTTCGTGATTCGTTTCTCCAATTTGAGCTCTTTTCTTTCATTCATTTCGCTAAAAACCTTTTATAGAATCAAAAAAACAATTTCTTACTCATTATGTTTTGGTTTTGAATATAGAAATTTGCGGGCGTTTTCAACGAAAAAATCAATCATAAGCTAGAAAAATGGAGGGAAATAATGGTCAAGTGAACCCTTTGCAAAAGGGGATTTGCATTGACGAAGAAGTGAAAAAAAAGCATTGATTGCTTAAATAGAAATGAAAACTTTGCTATTTAAATCGAAATTGATTTTACAAATAAATAAAATCGTTTAAAATCTGATAACTTGGGAGTATTCGAGTTTTTTAGGAACCATTTGATGTCAGGATCCAGTTTTCAAAGCCAGGATTGGTTTAGATTGGGTAAGATCTTGTCTTTTTCTACTTTTTTCTTCGAATTCGTTAGTTGGAATAAGGCCCATAACGTTTCGAAGCGGTTCTGTATATATTTCTTGAAAAAAAGTGGTAGAAAAGGGGAAAGCGGTATTGAACCCTTGACCTCTCGACTAAGATACAGGGCTCTTAGCCAATCTAAACCAATCTTTCATGAAAAGAAGGAAATTCTCTCTAGAATCGACTGAAATCACTTTTTAACCGAAAAAAAGACTGTAAAGAGTAGTAAAATGGATTTTCTAGGGCTTACTTTAAGCTTAAACGTGGTGTTAGCTTATTAATTAATGATTCTAATGATTAATTAATGATTCTAATTCTAATGAATATGCAAAAAAAATTCTCTAAAATCTAACAAAAAATCAAATTTTCACACTCAAATCATTTTTTTTTAATGCTTTTGCTTCTGTTTTATTTTTTTATACATAAAGCAAGTCTAGAAGTATCTATTACGCAAAAAGGCACAAAGATTTGCCATAATTTAGCGCTTTTTACGTAAGAGCTACTTCTAGACTTTTTTCAACACTTAAGTAGTACCTGATTAAATAAGTTAAAAAATTTTTAGATTTCTAGGATCGTTAACTTCTTACTATCAATCCTAATGCTGGTTTAGAATCCTTGTAACGGCCGAATGCAAAGGCGTCTTAGTCAATGTCAAGAAACACTATTGTTGTTATTTACCAGCTTTGAAGTTATCTGTAGTACTGGACAATGAAGTATGATATTTGAAAAACGATCGTCACTTTCGCGCGTCTGTAACTCCCTTGTCTTTGAGTTTAAACTATTAGTGTTATACATTTTCTGAAAGCTCTTTTCAAGGACTACACAATGGTAATATTAATATTTCGAAATACGGTAAAGACAATGGAGTTATAGACGCGCAAAGGGGACGATCTTTTTTCAAATATCATATTTCATTGTCCAGTAGTGTACCTCGCCTCTTTTGTGGTCAATTTGTCAGCTTTCAAGATTTCACATGACTTTAACAAGAATTTTCTGCAAAAAGCAAAAGTTTTGCTTAGGTCCGGGCTCGAACTAGGACCAACCAGCGCTTACCACTTGGCCACGATCACCCGTTTTCGAGGGACTAAAGATCGCCTGATACTCGCGCGGTCAGATACCGCAGCGCTTAAAAACTGTTTTTATTGTTTAACTTTAAACGGGTTTAAATCGAAAATTGGAATGCATTATACAAAAACGATCTAGATATTCGGAATTAGCGAAAAATTTGCTACAAAATAGGCTAGTTTCCACTTCGAAACTAGACAAACAACAATCTCCAATTAGATCTAAACATCCATTTGCTCCAAAATTTAAAAATTCATTTGCTTATATACTTGTAACTTCATAAAAAAGATTAACACAGGTAAAAACAAGGCTAAAATGTAAACCAGATCGAACAAAAAGATTAAAAATATCAAAAGTGAGTCGACATTTCGTGTAAAATCGGTATTTTCGGATTTTCTGATTCGTAAATACACGTATTGTTTCTCGAAATATTTCACAAAGATAAGAAGAGGTCAAAATTTCTCTCAAGATGTTTGTTTTGACAAGATTGTTTTGACAAAGGGGAAATTGATAATAAGATCGCCAAATCAAATGGTAAAATAAAGTTTATTGATTTTCAAAACAAATTTTCCACTGGTTTTAGCTGTTTGTCTGTAATTTTTCGTATCTCATTTTCTTTGATTTCTCTTGATATGAACTCCCCAAAAAAAACGAGTGAAATGAGATGAGATGATCATTTTCGAAAAAGAAAGAAAAACGATAAATTCGTTGAGAGATTTCTTGTCATTTTGATGAAAAATTGACTGAGGTCATTTCGGATAACAATGAAAGAAAAGAAAAGAAAAGGAAAGGATCTGAGGGAAAAGTTATGGATTGGTTTGAAAGTGGTTAAATTTAATTGACAGAGAGACTTTAGTCTTTTCAAAGTGCCCTTTCCTTGTACTTTGTGCTTTGAAACGGAAAAACAACGTTTCTAGCACATCAAATGCTTTCTTTTTTGCTAATAATTTAGTGTCCCAATGAAAAGGAACAAATTCAGCGCACCAGAAAGTGTGTTTCTCTTCAGGATGGCGCACAATTATGGAAAATCGGTTTTTCGACTGTAACTCGATGCCCAATTATTCAATTCTTCTAATTTCATATTTATATGAAATTTTAGGTTATTTTCTGTTTTCAATTTCAATTTTTAGTTTGAAAACACAATTTTACGCTTTTTATAGTATTGGGTTGATGGAAAAGTCCTTTCTGATTTTTTGGAAGAGTACCTTAAATTTGTCCACTTTTGACGTTTTATAGCTCATCCTAAAGCTGAATTCAAGACGGATCGATTAGTAAAACCGTTTTGAGATATCTCTTTTCTAAAAGTTTTTACAGCTATTTTAGCAAAGGGCGGCAGAGCCAAAAAATGACTGTTTTCACGTTTCGTGAGTTTTCCGTGCAGAAACCTAGGCTAAAAACATGTGTTTCGTGATCAGTGTCAAAAATAACCCCTAGACACGCATTTTCAGAATCTTAGCAAATCTCTCGATGAGCCTGTGCGGCATTGAGTTTTCGGTTGAATGCATACAAAAACGGGTGTCGAAAAGCGGCGGAAAGGCTATTGATCTGAGGGTCGCTGGTTCGACTTCCACCGGTGACAATATTTTCCAAAAATTTTTTGCTAAGATTCTGAAAATGCGTGTCTAGGGGTTATTTTTGACGCCGATCACGAAACACATGTTTTTAGCCTAGGTTTCTGCACGGAAAACTAACGAAACGTGAAAACAGCCATTTTTTGGCTCTGCTGCCCTTTATTAAAATAGCTGTAAAAACTTTTAGAAAAGAGATATCTCAAGACGGTTTTTACCAATCGATCCGTCTTGAATTCGGCTTTAGGATAAGCTATAAAACGTCAAATGGACCAATTTAAGGTACTCTCCCAAAAAATCGGAAAGGACTTTTCCACCAACCCAATAATTTAAAGTTCAGAGATGCGAATCTCTCGGCAGAATCAAAATTTTTGGTAGTTTTCGATAGTTTTCATCTCTCAATAATTGCCTGAAGAACTCTGAAATGTCAATTTTGGAAAGGCATTGATGAGATAATGCTTTATTTTTCATTATGTAATGTGTCAGCCAAATAGAACTTGTTGGCTGGCTCAATTCAAAAGTATTTGTTATTTGTTTACCAGAATTGTGCCTTAAAGTTGAAGTAAACTCTTCTTCTAAATACGCTAGTGAAAACGTTTACATTGCTAAGCACAAGGTACACACCAGAGAACAAGTTTTCGACTGTATTTATAAAAAAACGATTCAATTTCATCTGAACTAACCATGTCATCGTACAAAACGCTGGAGATTTGTGAAAACATAATGGTTCTAGTCGAGATTTTGTATCATTTAATCTCAACAAGAACCACTAATTTGCTTTGTCGGCGTTTGAACTGCTAAATTGCAACAAACGAGTTTTTGCAAAAAAACCTTTGTCTGTACTTTTCTGTGTTTTATAAACTTAAAATCACCAAACTTTATCAGAAACATTTTGCAAAAGCAATTGGTAACAATCCCATATTTCACATTGTGAACAGTTTATAAAAATTGACTTTCATTTGTTCTATATGTCGTAGCCGCTTACGAAATTCAGCCGCTAACGAATGAGGGTATTTCCGGGCATCCAATCAAAAAGTCACCCACATAAAAAATGTTCATAATACATATATTTTATAATAAATTTTTGAAATTAGCTCATTTGGTTCAGTAGAAAAATTTTTTTGAGCCCCCAAAGTTTAGGTTCAAAAATGCCCTAAAATGGCTATAAAAAATTTTCTACTCAGCCAAAAAACTTGCCTAATAGCTTATTTTGTAGCCAATTTGATGTAGTTTCTTAAAGTAAAGCTACATTGAACATTTGTTTTTCAAAGTTAGGAGAAAGAGGGCGAGGAACGATTTTAGTTGAACTCGGTCGCTGTTTTCACATTTGAGAATTGCCCTGAATTTGTTCCTAGCCCTCTTTCTCCTACTTTCAACGAAAAATTGTTTTAGATGGCTTTACTTTAAGAAACTACATCAAATTGGCTACAAAATGAGCTATTAGGCAAGTTTTTCATTCGTTAGCGGCTACGACATATAAATAATTTTATTGATGTCGTTCCTCGGCTTGACAGGTGAACGGTTTAGCGATTACGACGACCGACATTGATTTTTCGATTGATGGAAGCTTTTTAGCGGACAGCTAGGAAAGATCACGTTTTTGAGCAGATTCAATGAAACATTTATGGAAAAATCTCTTTTCCTGTATGTTTGAAAAGCTGTATTCTTTTTTAAATCTACGTTTCGATTGAAATCACTGTAACAAAAGCTTATTAAAAAGTGTTTTAGACTAAAAAATGACTTGTAAAGACTTCAATAAGCTAAGAAATCTGAAAATAACTTTTTCTAATTGTTTAGAATTTGTGAATAGACGAACGGCTAATAAGAAATGTTGTAATTTTGATTTTAATTCTGGTTCTGATTTGTTTAGATTCGGATTCCTTTTATAATTGATCATTTAGCGCCAAGCGACTTATTGAATTCGTTTAATCTACTTTAGAATTTAAGCATTTAACTAATAAATTACAATAGTATTTGTAGGTTTAATAACAATAAATAATAATAAGGTTTAATAATAGCACTACTCACCCTGAACTTCTGAAAAATGTTGGCAACAAAGAGATACAGTTCGACTCGTGCCAATCCCTCGCCTGGACATTGCCGTTTCCCTACGGAGAATGGCACCAATTCAGGGAAAACTTTCAATGATCCGTCTTTGTTCAAGAAACGTTCCGGTTTGAATTTGTATGGTTCGGGGAAGACCTGAACAAGAGTTTCTAGAAAAAATTGCAGAAAATCATTTTGCAAAAACGGAAAGCAGATTCGAAACAGCGTGTAATTCTGCGTCGAATGGCTTATCACATTTCTCGTCCTATTGTTGCCTTTCTTTTGTTACTTTAGGCTTGTAAAATTGCAGACGTGTTTAGGGAATCAGGACCAGGACGATAGTTTTCTAAACTAACTAAACTAACGATAGAAAATGATCAATTAGAAAATTTGGTACTTCCGTAACTTTCCAAAAAATAAATGCTATTAGGTTTTCAACTAAATAACCGGACTTTTGGTCCGATTATTTAGTCGACACTAAAAATTGGTTTTACAAATGTTGAATGCACCAAAGTACGATTTACACCATTGATACAATCTATATTTCCTCTGCAAAATCGTTTTTGACAATTTAGAAAAGCTTTCGTTTTTGGGGTTGGCAAAATTAGCGAGAATCGACGGTTGGCGACTTTTTTTTGATGGGAACTGACACTAACTTTCTATGCTAAAGAAAGATCAATCTCTGTTGCATTTTTAGTAAAGTTTCCAGTCAAATCCAGCAAGCCGTTTTTTACAAATTTCAAGTTATTCAGAGCGATCTGATCAAAATCTTTTCTCTGAGGACTTTTGTTTCAACCAAAATTCAGAAAAAACGGCTGAACGGATTTAATTGTAAATTTTACTGAAAATGCGAAAAACTAAGAGCTTTATTTTGCAAAACATTAAACTTTGTACTTGTCAAAAAAAAGCTGTAAAGTCGGCGCTGTTTTTGTCGATTTTGACAACTTTTCTTTGCATCTCTGAAAATGTTTAAAAGCCAAAGCTTTTCAAAATCTCTCAAAAGCCATTTTGCTGAGAAAAGATTTATCTTTCAAATGATATAAACTGAATTGCATTTGATTCAGCCTTCATTTTAAAAACCCACTTTTACTAAAATGACCGGCTAATGCCAAATTTTCACAAAGCTTGCATTTTAAGCGAAACTACTAAGTGTATCTTTTTGGAAATTTGGCTATAAGCCTAATTTTTGATTCTCTACAACTTTTCCATTGACACCAAAATGGGTTTCTTTTGAAGAAAGTGCTCAAACTGGGACATCTCCAGTCCTCCATTTTTGACTCTCACACTTGTCTCACACACAAACCAAAATCCTATCACGAAAGAGGAATCCACAAATTGCCTGTAAAATGGGCAGAAGTCGTCAATAATAATGGAAATTATTTGGGATGAATTGATGGTTTTATGTTGAATAAATTGTAGTTCAAAGTCCCGCAGTTTTCAATTCACCAACCCAATAGTTACAAAAATCAGAAAATCGCGATTTCGCCGCAGGAAACGAGTGTCGCAACTTTGCAGCGCTCTAGCTTTAGAAAAAGTTTAGAAACTTTTCTGATCAAATCCAGAAAACACATTGCAGGAGAAATATTCAATTTGATAATAAAAAAAGAATTAGATCGATTTTTTTCGATCGATCGATCGATTGATTGACTCTTAGCTAAGCTGGAGAAACAGAACTGAGTGTGGGTAATTGTGCGCCACCCTGTACAGCTCTAGGGCTTTAGAGCAGGCTTTAGAGCTCTAGGGCTAAATCGGAATATAGTCCTAGTTTTAAAAAGAAATAGTAAGACTACAGTATTTTCTCTTTTATCAAACCCGTCAGACTCACCTTTTCATCATACAACACACAGCTGATTTGTGGAACGATAATGGTTCCAGCCGGGATTTTGTATCCATTCAGCGTCACCTCTTCGGTCGTTTGTCGGAAGAGATTTTGCGGGAGAAGATTCGCGAGTCGTTGAACTTCCTGAATCATTATTTTTTTTTTGAGAAACAATTGTTCGACTCACACTAACAACAGCATTCACATAAGTCAACGAGTTTTTATCAGCCATTGTAATCTTTCTATCTGATTGGATCACTCGATCCAACTCTTCATGGATTTTCTGTTGGACTTCTGGGTGATTCAAAATGTAAACAATGGCCCAGGTGAGAGTGTTTGACGTGGTCTCCATTCCTGGAATGTTTAGGGAATCAAGAACAGGACTGACTCTAGATTTTGTAGTATTTAAGTACTTCTTTGAAGTATTTCTAATAGTAAACTAGTGTTGATAAAGTTTTACTAGATCTTTATCGTTTTCTAAAACGTGTAAACTTTTGAAAACGATCGTAATCCTGTCTCTAGTTTTTATCTAATCTTTCTACTTTCTCTATCTTTTTGTGTCAATTTTAAGCCTGTAAATCTGACAAAAAGTTGATAAAATAGAAAATTAGCAAGTTTACACGTTTCAGAATCCTCAATTGGTATTACAGTATTCAAAACAACTCACCAGCTGACCAAACATCAAAAACGAGAGCCTCAAGCTGGCGCTCACTTAAAACTTCGTAATCTTTAATCAATCCCAAATCACCCACAAGAAATACTCCTCTTGCCGCGTTCCCTTTCGTCGTTCCCATTCTTTCAAATAGCTTTCCACGAAGTCTTCGGAAGACTTTAAAAAATAAGATTTTAATATAAAATCGTGTAATTTTCTGGTGTACATTGTGTTTTCAAAACAGGAAATTTGGGATTCAAAATTTGGAAATTTGGGATTCAAAACAGGATTTTCTGGTGTACAAAACAGAAACACGTCTTTCTGATGCACTAAACTCATCAAAATGATACCAAAATGTACTAGAAAAGATAGGTTTTTCAGAAAAGAAGTAAAATTTTGAACGCAAGATACAATCTTTTCTCACCTCATCGTTGTAATCAACTTGTTTTCGTTTCTCGGCGATTTGCTTTCGAATGAAACCAAAGAGGACTTGATTCTCATCCAAAACATTGTGGTAAGCATTGTGAAATGGCGGAAATCTACGCAAGAGCCGGGAGATACTGGCGACGAAAAAGAGGGGATTCGAGCCGCTGGCGACGAGTTTTCGAAGTGATGTTTTTACGAGAGCGAATTCGTGTTGATGCTTCTGAATTTCTCTAATGAGAAATTGGTTTTAAACCAAAGAAGGGCATGCGATAGTGTTCAAGTTTTAGAAAACGGCTAGCTCTAATAGTCCATGCAAGCCTACCTCATCAAATCGATATCCGAAGAGAATGCCATTGATCACCGACCCGACGGCGATGTCCATTTCGTTCTGAAACCAAACTTTAGAGTCTAACAAACCAGACTGGAGTCAGATCCAGATCCAGGTCACATTTTGAACATCTTAACTAGGCCTAGCTACAATTAGTTCAGGGTGGACAGGCGTGTTTACTCTGCTCCTTTTCGGTCCGTTTGCCGTTGGCAATCTATGAATTTCGCTCATATCTTAACCGAGTTTGTTTGAAAAACGTTAAATTTGCTTTCATTCGATAGAAAATTTCATTGCTAGTCGAATGAAAGGAAATTCAACGTTCTTCAAACAAAACCGGTCAAAATTCATAGATTTCCAATGGCAAACAGTCCGAAAAAGAGGCGAAGTTAACAGTCCACCCTGAACTAATTGTACCAACGGACTAAGCCCGGACCAGCCCAGGCTAATTCAAATTGAACCACAAGCCAAATCCAAATCAATAACTTGTTCAACTGGTCCATGTACTAATTGCAAATAGTTTAATGAATTGATTTGGCTAATATTGGGTTGGTGAATTGAAAACTGCGGGACTTTGAACTACAATTTATTCAACATAAAACCATCAATTCATTCCAAATAATTTCCATTACTATTGACGACTTCTGCCCATTTTACAGACAATTTGCGGATTCCTCTTTCGTGGTAGGATTTTGGTTTTGAATCGAAAAACTTTTGGAGCCAATTTTTGACTGCTTCTTCGGAATCGAAGTGTTCTCCCGCAAGCTCATTACTCATGGTCCGAAATAAATGGTAATCAAAAGGGGCGAGGTCCGGACTGTATGCGGGATGCGCCAAAAGTTCCCAAACAAGGCTACTTGGAGGCCTATTCTTCTTTAGGAATTCATTCACCTTTTCCAACTGTTCACTGTATTTCATTGCATTAAGGGCCGTCTTGCCATCCGGCAACTCCCAGTACACCATTCCCTCCATATCCCAGAAAACGCAAAGCATAAACTCCTTCTGGTGCAAATCGGGCTTGGGGTCACTTTCGGGTTTCTCGCCTGGCTCCACCCATTGCCGCTTCCTCCGAAAGTTCACAGATAAAACCCATTTCTCATCTCTTGTCACAATTAGAGAGAGAAAAGATTTCCTTTTGTATTGTGAGAGATAGACGGCACTGATCGAGGCGCGCTGCCACTTCTGGGGGTTATTGAGGTCATGGGGCACCCAAGCCCCAAGTTTCGATTTAAATCCAAGGGTATGAAGGTGCCTTAGCACTGTAGCATGATCAACCCCTAACTCTTCTCCCAATTCACGCGATGATACCCGATGGACATTGGCAATGAGTTCGAGTAATTTGGAATCATCCAGTTGGGGTGCCGCTCCACGGACCTCTGCATCTTTCAAAGGTTTTTCCCCAGATCGAAACTTGGCAAACCATATTCGACACGTTCTTTCGGAGGGTGAGTCCTCCCCATATATCTTTTTAATATTAGCAGCTGCCAAGCCTGCACTGTGCTCTTGTAGGAACTCATGAAGCATGACATGACGAATATGTCCCGGTGGCAGATTGTCGAGTGCAATGGAAGAAGTGAAGGAAAATACCAAAAAATAAAAAGCTGGATGCATAATTTTTTCGCAATAATTTGAGGAAATGTTGAAGTAACCAAAACCCCTTTCAGCTGGTTCAATGCTGTTGTTTTTTTTATCTGCGAGTCCCGCGAAATAGCCGGGACTATAAAGGAGCTCCTTTAAAGCTCCTTTAAAGCTCCTTTAAAGCTCATTTAAAGCTCCTTTAAAGCTCCTTTAAAGCTCATTTAAAGCTCCTTTAAAGCTCCTTTATAGTCCCTATTTAGTTCCTTAAAAGTTCCTTTCAGCTCCTTTAAAGCTCCTTTAAAACTCCTTTATAGTCCCTATTTGATTCCTTTAAAGCTCCTTTATAGTCCCTATTCAGTTCCTTTAAAGCTCCTTTATAGTCCCTATTCAGTTCCTTTAAAGCTCCTTTAAAGCTCCTTTAAAGCTCCTTTATAGTCCCTATTTAGTTCCTTAAAAGTTCCTTTCAGCTCCTTTAAAGCTCCTTTAAAGCTCCTTTATAGTCCCTATTCAGTTCCTTTTAAGCTCCTTTAAAGCTCCTTTATAGTCCCTATTTAGTTCCTTTGAAGCTCCTTAAAGCTCCTCGAAGTTTTCAATTCACCAACCCAATGGAATTGGATAATACCGACTTAAAAATGCTAAAAAGCCACTTCAACAACCTGAACACTGATGTCCTTTTGTGCGGCCATTCGCTCCAACAAGAAATCCACCTCGACCATTACCTAAAAGCGTAGAGAATTTTTGGTGAAAATACGAATTTACCCTTTCTTCCATAATATTTTTGCCCATTCCAAAGTCGCGTAGAGTATGCAATGTTAATCTAAAACCGAAATAGTCATGTCAAAATTTCCCAAAACCTTCTTTGATCTCTCCACAAATCACCTTCCGAGTTCACTATACCATATTCTCCACCTGGAATTTCAAATCAAAATGATTTAGATAATTAGGCAAGTATTAGACAATTATTAGACAGATTAGTAAGATTTTGGTAGTCGTACCTTTGAAATCTTTCACAAAGTCAGCAAAAAACCATCTTCCCGCGTATTTTTCTCCATCTTTGATCATCGTTTCTTTGAGCGTTTCATAGTCGCTGATGGACACAACGGGAAGAGTGCCTGAAAGTGTCTTTTTTATTGAAAAATCTAGTTATTATCTTTGAGAAGACATCGCCAAATTCATCTGAAAGAGTTGAAGCCAATTGGTACTTATGAGCTATACCCTTGCAGGCATCAATCAGGATTTTACTCTTAATTTACATACAAAGAAACATAATCTTCTTTCTCTTTTGACTGAGTTTCATTCGTTTGCGAAGAAATTTGTGGACTCTTCAGTTATACTTTCGCCATGTCTCATTTCGGTTATATCTCACCACAAAAATAGGGGATTTCTTCCCATTTTTCAACATTAAAGTTACATTTAAATGACTAACTCGAAATGTTAAATTGAAAACGGGGAGAGATCCCCTTTCAGATATAACCGAAAAGTTGCAAATTTGTATATGTTACGTTCGAATCCGAATCCGAACAGTCGCCATGTTCCGAACATGACTGAGAGACAGACATGACACCATGTTCCGAATCCGAACACATTCATTCTGTGCGGATTCGGACGTCAAAATCCGAATACATTCATTCTGGGCGGATTCGGACTTCAAAATCCGAACACGATCTCCATTATGTTCGGATATGCGCCTATAATATCTAGGAGAATAGGAGACAGGAGCTGGGAGAATCAAGCGTCATGTTCGGAACCTGACGACTGTTCGGATTCGGACGTAACATATATAAAGAGAGTTAGATTCAGTTTTGTAGTAAAACCCAACTTGATGCAAGACAATCTTATCAATGCAAATTTTTGCTTATGTAAAGTACGGAGGTAAACCCTAATTGATGCCTGCGGGGGTATCACCCATAAGTAACGGCCAATTAAACCCGAATTTCAATTGGCAAACTCAATAAAATGAATAGCTCCAATCAATTTCCCGACCCCGAAAACCCCGGGTACAAATTCATAGCTGTATATCTTCATTTAAGGCCATCCCCTAAGCAAAAGAGAGGCCCTGTAAATGACTGGTAAGGTGTTCTTCCGCGTAATCGCTTCCCTTTTGGAATCTGTAAAGGGAAGGAGCGGCCGGTTTTTCCATTTATTGGCTTCAATATGACCAAATCCTTAGGATCTATTTTTGCTTTAATTTTGACTGTATTTTGATTTTGATACAAATGACGTCACCGTGCCTGATTCCCGAGGAAAACCCGATTTCTTGATTTTCTTTGTATTTCTCTACAAAACCCCTACAGTTTTCTGACTCACTGATCCAATAAGTGTAGATTGATCCATATTGTTTATTCCATTTTCGAAATGCCTCGTAGCCGGGACAATTGTAGTAGACTTCGAGCAGATTGCCGAAGAGAGGAAGTGGAGTTGGGCCTGGAAAAGCTTGTCAAAGGACCAACAGAATTCAAGTTCAAACTAATAAAGTTAAAGTTAGTGTTGAATAGTATAGATCAGCTCAGTATTTATGATTTCCGATAACTCTAATTATATCCAATTGTCGTTTAAGTCATTAACCTGGCGGAAAGTTTCGTCGCTTCCAATACAAATCATAGAAAGTCCAGATGAAGAGAAGAGTTGTCAGGATTAGAAATAGCATGCTGAATTTAAAAACTAATAAAAACAATTTACGAATTATTAGGAAAACAGTGAAATTGGAAAGATAAGTTTGGATGTCATTGGACCGGTAGTTATGGGCAACGCTTGGGCAATGAGGGGCATGAGAAGTTGAAAGGAGAGATTGAACTCAAAAATTTTCACAGAAAACTATAGTACCCTAACCGTAGTACATAAGTAATAAAATTATATTCGACCAGCCGAAAACACTCACATCGTTTTCGCTGGGGAAGCGGGGCCCATTGGGGGCCCTTCGGGGCGGGTTTGGAGAACGCGCATACCGTAAAACTTCGAATAGACAGACACCCCAAAGAAGTGCGGAAAAAACGGTTTTATAAAAACGAGAGTTTTCTACAACCATAACGAGTAGTTCCCCAAGAAGATCCAAATCGCAGCTATCGATTCCGGTCACACATTGATAGTTTTGGCGGAGCAGTTTTCGAAAATTTCGATTATTTTATAACCGGAAGGGGTCTCCGTCTAATAAAAGTTTTACGGTAGTTTAAAAAGTCCATGTAAAGTACCTTCCGCTAATAATTACCTTGCTATTCCTTAAACCATGATTTTCGAGCTCTCTTTGGACACACCCAACCCGTTTCTGTTAGCTTTCTTTCTTTAAAATGATTAAAATCATCGTAACCCATGTTAAGTTCCTTTTAAAAATGGACCTTTTTAAAAATGGACCTAAAAGTCAGGTTCCCCATAGCTGAAAACTTCCGGGAGCCAAATATCGTGCGTAAAAGCTGAATACTTTGCTTTTGAACCGATAGATCAAACGTAAATAAAGAGCGTCACGTTTGCGCACAGACGGACAAACGGACTTCTCTTTTGATTTATATATAGTAGATAATGTATAGGAGGACGGTGAATAAAAAAACTATAGGAGTACGGCAACATTTAAAACTGTTTAATGCGCTCAGGACTACTGTAGCTTCAGCCAAAACCCAAGATTACTGTAGCTCAATGCATTTTAGCAGTTTGCCGTACTAAAAGTTTACCAAATTTTAGCAGTTTACCGTACTTAGTATTATAAAATACAATAATCCTGATTTAATCTTTACTTTATGCAGTAATTTACATATAAATTTACATCCAAATTTGATGTGAATGATTGCTACTGAAATTTATAAGATTAAAAAGATAAACAAATGTCTAAAACTTAAATCTAGAAGTAATATTACAGTAAAATAGTAGATTTTACAGTATAAAAGGTACTTCAATTGTTAGCAAGTTTGTAAAAGCAAATAACCACTTCAATAGAATCATAAATCAATTGTTAAAATAGGACAATATTTTTCTTCTTTTTTCCAATTTCCTTTCTTATATAGTTGATTTTTTAAAGAGACTTGAGAGAAAACAGGGTCAAAACGGTTTTATTTGTTCGTTTCCTTTCATTTCTTTTCCCTTCCTTTCTTTTTCGTAGTTCTGTGCTCAACACAATCTCTCGTGTACCCAGCGAGTAGCCGACAATGAAAAAAAAACACAAAACTTTCATTTTCTTATCGAATAAATCAGTTATCAAGTTTTTTGAAGATCACCTTTCATGTAATTTGGCAGAAAATTCAATCCAGATTGTGCTGATACGTTCCCAAATTTTTTTTTTGAGATAAAGCTTGATAAAATGATTGCCCTAGATTAGTTAAATTTTTCAAATTTCAGCGTTTATAAGTTAAATTTTTGGTCTTCATTGAGCGATCTTTTAGGAAATTTTAGAAAACAACTTCCAATAGCAATAGTCATTTGCTTACTTGACTTAGCTAACAAACAAACTGTAAGCTTAGTTTAGGAGTTAGACAAACGAGTAGTTCATAATAAAAGAACTGAAACTTTCTTTTTCTTATTGAATATCAGTATTTTAATGGTATTTTTCTCAAGATACCAAAATTTCCAACAATTTCCAACGCGATGGTTTGGTGTTTGAGTGTTCTGTCCAGTTTGTCTAAAATTGGACAAGATTGTTGCAAAGGTTTAAAAGTAAAATAACATATACGGCTGTCTCTGGAATTAGAGGTCTGGGTTCGATCGCCGGGGTGACGCAACGTCAGTGTGGCTATCTTCGGAATTAGAGGCCCGAGTTCGATCTACCCGGTGGACTGGTTCATGGCCCAGGTTCTTAATGCGAGAAACCTATCCAGCCATCTTTGTCTTCTCTTCACCGCCAGAATAAGCTATCTAGGGATTTTCCAATCAGGGATTGGGGAGCCGCCGAGAATGTAGGTGTGGGTTAAGTTAAGAGATAGCCTAGTATTATATGTGTACCGCATTGTGATTATCGTGCCAAATAAACTACATTCGGAGTCCCTGGTGTATATTTAAATATCTACAGATATATCTACATGATCAACAATCTCTTGATGTCCAAATCGGCAATATTTTCATTACAATCTCTGCTGTATCGAATGAACTCAACCAAATGAATGAAATAAAATCCAATGAACAATCCACGATAAAAGAACACTCAACTTCTCTTTCTCTAATTGAATCAATCAGAAATCAGAGTTTTCGAATGATCGCCTTTCTTAAGGTGCAATGGGTGTTCTTTGAAAGTTGATGGATGGATCTTTGCGAATTCTCTCATCGTTCGACTCTACAAGATGGTTCTTAGTGTTCCAAATCATTCAAAATGTTCCAAATTCTTTTTGCAGATTTCGGTATCTATATTGTTGCACTCTACAAAATGATGATTTTCTCAAAAACTAAAAAAGTTGACAGTTTTTTCGTTTAGATATTTAAAATCTACGGACATTTTTCACTAGATTCATGAGTTTGTGTTAAAATTCCACCTTTCATTCGTTTCATATAAGATTTTAAACGTGATTGCTCTCGAAAAATGAAATTTGCCAAAAATATACCCATTTTTGTTAGCCAAGATAACCTCGCATTTGCAATTTGCTCAAAAAGCACTACTTTTATAGTAATTAACTCTACAAATGTATTAATGCAGAAAAAGACGGAAAAAGACGCTTTTTAGAGACCCAAAACTCGAATTGAACTGATTTTCAGCATCGTGTTGCATAGAATTTTTTGTACTGCTTTGCTAGGGTTGTCCAAGTTATTAAAAGTCTTACAATTCTTCTATTCTATGTAAAATTATGCATAGATTTTAGATCAAAATAGGAACCGTATTGGAACTGTATTGGAACCGTATTGGATCAAAATTGGAACCGTATTGGAACCGATTAATGATTGATTAATCGATTAGATTAATGTATTATCTTAGAAAACAAAAAAAAAGATGCATTAAGCACAACACTATGAATGCCGCACCTGTACAAGATTATTCTCATTGTTCTAAATCATTCAAAATGTTCTAAATTGTTTTAGGTGCAATACGTAACATTTATGAGATAACTATCTCAGTCATAAAGTACTATTTTAAAAAGAAAAACAATCAGAGAACTTATCAAAGTTTATCTTTCTCTGATTTCTGTAAAAAGATCACCTTGCGTACTTCAGAAAAAATAATCTCTGGTGTCATTGAAACTTTTAATTTGTCTTGAGAAAGCCTTAATCTCAAAACATTCGTAAGAAAAAGAATAATAAATAAGATGATTAAAATTTTATTAAATGCAAATGAGTAAAACTTTAATGGCTAGCAAGTTAGTCACTTATCTTCTCTCCTCAAAATTACAGCAATAGCTCTTTGCGGTCATCACTTGACCGACGGTTTTCTCCATTGATGGCACAGTGTCAGCGGAGATCTGGAAATGCTTCTGTTAAGCGTTTTATTTTGATAAAAATGTTAATTTAAAACTTTGGTACTTTTCCAATATCGGGGGAGCGGTCCGATTATCGGGGGAGCGAAAGGAAAATCGGGGGAGCAAATTTTGCCCCCTCGAAAAATGCATTTCCGGGACTGTATTTTAACTGCAACGTTTTTTTTTCAAACTTTAACGACGATGCGCTTCTCCGATATTTGTGCGTTCAAGGAATCGACGGCAATCGATTATTTCGTCACCAAAGGAGTCATCCAGTCGTGGATTTGCAATTGTGGCGAATCGATGAAAGTCCGCTCAAAGGGAAAAGATCTATTTCGCTAATATAAATCTAATATAAAGGTTGTGAGAATAACGGGTAATTCGCGGATTTTATGGCGGTAGTTTGTATAATATAGGACATATGTAGCGCTGCCAAAATTAGCTCCCCCGATTTTCCTTTCGCTCCCCCGATATTGCAAAAGAACCAAAACTTTTTATTAGAATAACAATAGTTTTTTGAGAACTTGCCGATCAACTAAGTTTCAACTTGCCAATTTTGTTCAAACTTGCTTTCACCTTTATCAATTTTCAATTAAAATTCAAACTTGTTTTCAATCCAAATGCTTTTCAGCTATTTAGCTGTTTTGAAATAACATCATTTGATTTGAAAGAACGAATTGATTTAAAGATTTAATGGATATAACCGAATAGTACCACTTTTTTTGATAAAATCTGAGTTAATTCGAATCTTCAAACATAGATTACTAGCTCAAGATCCACCCTGTTTGAGTTCAAAAGTGAAAACCTCTTTTTGAGCATAAAATTTGTCTTTTTTTCTAATGTTGGCTTGAGTTGGAGGTGAATTAAAGTTAAATATATGGCCTTTGCCCCAAATTCTCAAGTTCAAAGCCAATAATGACATAAAAATATCAAATTATATCTCAGAAAACAAGCCCCTTTTCACTTTTAGTCCATTTTGTTATAAAACTGCACCTTAAATCTCTGTAAAATGTTTGCTATAAACAAATAAAGCTCAAGTCGTGCCAATCCCTCTCCAGGACATTGTCGCTTGCCGACGGAAAACGGGACAAGCTCTGGATAAGTCTTGAAGGTTCCATCTTTATTCAAAAAACGATCAGGGTTGAACTCGTATGGATCAGGGAACACCTGGAATGTTTTGATAAAAATTAACTTCAATCTTAGCCAACCTTCTCATCGAGGAGCACCGTTGCGATTTGTGGGATAACAGCTGTCCCCGCCGGCAGCTTGTATCCTCCAATCACCACATCTTCACTCGTCGATCGAATCAGATTTTGGGGAAGCAAGTTGGCGCACCGTTGTACTTCCTATTAGGGAACAGATCAGACCAAAACCAGGCCAGAAGCCAGATCCAGGTCTAAAAACTAGTCTGGCTTGCCAGTTCTGACTCGGATTGATCCATAAAAGGTCCTTGAGCTTACTAGAAGTCAGACCTGGCTTCTGGTCGGGCTCTGGCCTAGCTTGGCTTAGTCTACAAGGACTAAAGCTTGGTTCACACATTGTTATCAATAATTAACTAGAGTAATGAATATTCCAATCATCTAGCCCCTAGGAAATCAGGTCGAGCCTATTTCTGGCTGTGCTTTTTGTACTTTTCGCTGTACTTCAAGCACTTTTTGTGGATCAGGCCAAGCCATGCTAACTGGAAAGTTAGAACAAAGTAAGACAGGGCCAGGAAATTGGTTCTGGATCATTTTTGGTCAATGATAAATGTCAGAAATTTTCTTATAGACCGTAAAACTAAAGTAAGCCGTCTTGCCAGCAGAAAATCTATTCTTTAAGATTACGAGGACAAAACGCCATTGCTAAAAATCTATAGTAAACTTGCAAACAAGTAAACTCACAGCTACAACTGCATTCAGATATGGCAACGAGTTTTTATCGGCCATCGTGATTTTGCGATCCGATTTGATCACTCGATCCAACTCTTCGTGGATTTTCTCTTGAACCTCCAAATGATTCAAAATATAGCAGAAAGCCCAGGTGAGAGTGTTCGACGTGGTCTCCATTCCTAAGATGACAATTTCTAGAAATTAGATCAACAAACCAGCCATCCAGATGTCCAACACCGTGTTGACTAGTTGAATCTCACTATAATTTCGAATCTTCACGTCGTTAGCTTTTTACTCATACCAATAAAAATCCTCGTGAATCGAGCCCTTCTTTCGGTGTTGTTCTTTTAGATAACATTCCACAAAATCGTCGTAACCCTGGAAAACAGCTTGATTTGTAAGGACCCAATTTTCTAGAATTTTCCTTTTAACTTTTTTCACCATTGTTGAACTTTTAGAAAACCTATTATTTGAGAAGGCATATATTTAACAACCGTAATCAAACCGCGAATTTGAATTCGATTAGTTCAACTTCTGTTATCATCGATTGAGCCAATCACAAGGCTTGTTTAGTAGAGTTAAGTGTTGGCTTAATATTCAGCAACTCCCAAAGATACACTTATTTTAGAAAAACCATCGTAATCGAACCACAAATTTGATCACCCAAATTTCGATATCATTCGATGAGGGTGATCAAATCTGTGGTTTTCCTAAAATAAGTGTATCTTTGGGAGTTACTGAATATTAAGCCAACACTTAACTCTGCTAAATACACCGAACAGTTTTGACTATCCACAGTTTTGACAAATGGCAGACCAAAAAAGACAAAAGTTTCGTCCTCCATGATAACGCCCGCCCTAATGTTTCTTCGATGACTCGGGACAAACTGTAGAGTCTTGGCTGAGAAATGATGACCCAACCCCGTCAGCCCGGACCTTGCCCCAATTAATTATCATCTATTTCGGTCGATAAGCGACGAGCTGGTTGGGCAGCAATTCGATTCTGAAGATGACGCCAAAAAGTGGCTGACGGACTTTTTTGCTGGAAAATCGAAGGCCCTTATGGGTAGGACATCCGAGAATTGCCAAAAAAAAATGGGAAAAGATTATTGGAAATAAAATATTTAGATTGATTTGACGGTTAATCGCAAATAAATGTTTTGTTGAACATTTATTCATTGACCCAATATTGGTGTCTACATACTTATTATTCAACTAGCCTTTACAGTATACTTAAATCCAAAAGTCTCTTACATATCGACGATCAAGTCTTGAATGTACCCTAAGACCTACTTCTGACTCTAAATCGACTTGTGCTCTCCGTATGGCAATCTGTTTCTTAATAAAGTTCATCATCGTTTCGTTGTTGTTGATCGTTTTATCAAAAGCCCCTAGAGATTAAGGTATTTTGATTAAAGAGTTTGCTTTAAAGAAACCTTTAAATCCTGGCCATCCCCTTGTGATTGGAACGAAAGCGGCTACCAAGAAGAGTGGACTCGATCCATCGACAATGATGCTACGGAGAGCGCTCTTCACCAAATGAAACTCGTGCTGGTGTTCCTAAAACGGTCAAGCACTAAATTTTGGACTAAAGTAGATAGAAAAAGGGCTTTTTGAGTGCAAACAACTCCTTCATGATTCTCATAATTCCCAGACTCTTTTGGTACCCTTTGTCCTACTCTTCTACGTACTCTCCTTGCATTCCTTGGTTAGCCATATCGCCGCTTAGCTATCCTTAACATGGATATCCATAAAATCTTTTGTTAATACTAGTAACTTCTTTAATAATAGTTGGTAGCAGGTATTCGATTCGTACTGTCAATTAACAAATTCTACTTTGGATTTCCAAACAAACTTTTTCAGCTTTCAGGGTAGCTACCGTAAATTGTAATTGAACGGCATCCCCTCGTTCAGTCGCGTAGTCTAACTTCGTTTTAGAAGATCACTTTTTTTCTCAACCCCTGGATTTTTCCCAACTACACTTTTGGTATCAAAAAATACTAGATTTTAAGGTCTATCATATGACATCCAAGCGCACACTGTAGCATAAAGCAGCGCGGAGAACGAAGCGTGTAAATTTAGACTACGCGGCAATACTTCGTCATTATGGGGGTGCCGTTCCATTCTCTAATGGAACGGCACCCCCATAATGACGAAGTATTGCCGCATATCAAATGCGTATTTACGGTATGCTATTAGGAATCCAGAGAAATTCCTGATCAGATCCTAATTCTATGTTTCAGTTTTCGTACAATATCGTGCAAAAAGTGTCAAGAACATAAAAAAACCCCCAAAAATCTGCAGTACATATGCTTAAACAAGCCTTTTATACTATGAAAGTCAAGCTTACCTCATCAAAGCGATATCCAAAAAGAATATTGTTGATGATAGAGCCGATAGCCGTGTCAAATTCTTTCTGAATTGGATATCTTATTCAAAGCTACTTGTCACACTTGCCTGTAAATTTATGCCCTTCTTCAGCTTTGCCACTCTTTCACTAAAGTAGTCCATCTCGAGCATGATCTAGAATTGTTGGGGCTTGGGAAGTTAAGAAATTTTTACCCTTTCCTCCATCAGATTTCTTCCCATTCCAAAATCTCGCAAAGTGTGCAGAACAAATCTAGAGATAAAAAAAATGATTCTTTTTTGTATTCAGAGTACCTTCTTTGTTCTCTCCAAAGATCGCCCTTTGAGTTGATGATTCCATAATAGCCACCTGAACTTTGGGATTGATTGATGATGAATTAATGTATTAGGTTGTTCGGGTATAAACGAGCATTTTAATGGTCGACAAAATTTGCCTTAAAAACAGAAACAACACAGTTTAATCCAAAGTATATTCACCATTATTATTGATTGCTTCTTGCCATCTTTTGCGCAAATAATTGATGCCACTCTTGAGAAACTCAGTCGGCTGTGACTCGAAAAACTTGGCGACCCAATTTGGACATCTTCACGGTTTTTGAATTTCTCATTGGCCAAAAAGTTTTGAATCGACCGGAATCAATGGTAATCTGAGGGAGCCAAATCGCGAGCATACGGCGGATGTGGTAAAACCTCCCATCCTAGATTCTCCAGTTTTTGCTGAGTCATCTTTGCAACGTGAGGTCTAGCGTTGTAATGGATGAACTTTATCTTTGATGTGTCTACTCCTTGACGAATGAGAACTTCATTGACCCGATCAAGTTGCTGTTTGTAGAGGTCGGATGTGACTGTTTGGCCGGTTTGTAGAAGCTCGAAATACACAAGGACCTTGTTATTCCACCATACTGAGAGCATGATCTTTTTCCCATGAATGTCCGGTTTCACGGTCGGATTTGGCCGTTCTCCTGGTCCTAGTCATTTCATTTTTCGAATAGTATTATCGAAATGGATCCACTTCTCATCTCCAGTAACGAGAGAGTCAAAAAAGCTATGATATTTAGCGTGGGGGATGAGGATTCCGGCAATAGCGACAGGTTCTCTTCAAAGATCGCCCTTTGAGTTCATGATTCCATAGTAGCCACCTGAACTTTGTGATTGATTGATGATGAATTGATGTACAATAAAACCTAGATAACAAAAAGATCAAGGGATTTTGAAATACCTTTTTGCTATCGAGGTTTTGCCTCATAATGCTAAGAAATGCTCTAACAATAATAAAAAAAAGTGCTCTTTGGTACTACCAATGTTTTCATTTACACAAATAAGATTAATTCTATTTAAAAAAACAACATGTAAAGCAACCTCATTATAAAATCGACACCAAATTAGCTAAAAAAATTGAGAAATCTTAGTTTCTTTCGTTTGTTTGATTGATTCCTCCTGGAAAAATTCGTCGATCTTGTAGCATGCATTAATCGTTGTTGAATCATTAACAATATTGAGCAAAAAACGTTGAAAAGTGGTGAAGGCCTTATAAGCTTCTTTTTGTGTCACTTTCGATCCAACGATTATCTTCTTCATTGGTTGAATTCTTATCAATTTCCATAGGTCGACCAAACCATGACGCAATTTCGCTTGTCGTCCGAGTTCCAGTCGTAGATCTTTGTCTTTGTTCCAGTCGTAGATGTTTGTCTTTGTTCCAGTCGTAGATCTTCCAGGATCTTTGTCGACATCAAGAAAATCAACAAGAAATGAGTCTCGAACAACTCCTCCATTTAGCTCAAGTTGATTCCACTTCGTGTACATTTCATCGAGCACCTCATCGTCCACAAAAGGAGTGCTTTTTCTATTTAATCATTTTTTCCTCCTCGCAAACAATTTCTCCTATTTTTCCTTCCGTCATCCATTTCTTTCAATGTCCGTTCTTTGTTACGTAAAATCGATGTGATCGTGTCATAGGAAAGATGGAATACGTCAGCCAATTGAGAAAAGATCCTATTCTTTGATTTTCGAATCAACTCTAACTTGGTTCCCAATTGAAGCGCTATTTTTCCCATCGCCCACCTGAAAAAAAAAGAAAATTATTAATGCAATAAACAAGGCTAGCTTCTTTGCACAACTTTTAGCTGATACCAATACAGAAAACAAAATATTCAATCAAACAATTTGTGCAAAGAGGCTACGCCATAAACAGTGAAAATAGCAATGAAAATACTGAAACTTCACGTATTATAATTCCCAAAAAAAAGTGCAAATGATCAAAATCGGGGAAAAGTGACAGAAAACCAATCCTTTTATACGTTCATTGCTAAAAGGTGCTCAGCTAAAGACTGAATAGCTGCGCTTTGAGTCACCTTTTAGGATTCAGCTACTTCGTGAAGTGTGGAAAGCCGTAATGTTTGTAAAGCTAAAATTATACCAATTTTACTCGGGATACGGAAAAGACGGGAGTGGGACAAATGCGATTTTTTTTTTTTGCGCACCCGGACATTTGCGCACCTTGCCCATTAGCGCACCTTTTTTCGCGTTTTTAAAAAAGCTCTAAAAAGCTAATATTAACCAATTTCTATTCCAAAAGTTGTTTTTCTAGGTAATTTTAGGGTGTCGAATTCAAATTTTGACATAACAGAGCGTGTGGAACCAATTTGAAAGACAAAACGGCTAGATCAAATTACAGAAAATTGTCGATTTTTCTCCGTATAACTCCGTCCGTTTGTTTCCACAAGCTATTGAACTCATCGAGTCAAATATGTCAAAATTTCGATTCTACGCCCTCAAATTACCTAGAAAAACAACTTTTGGAATAGAAATTGGTTAATATTAGCTTTTTAGAGCTTTTTTAAAACGCAAAAAAAGGTGCGCTAATGGGCAAGGTGCGGAAAAAAAGGTGCGCAAATGTCCGGGTGCGCAAAAAAAGATCGCATTTGTCCCACTCCCGGAAAAGACTGTTTGTTAACGAGGTTTTTTTCGCTATTAATGTTTTTGTTATCGACGCTTGACTGCAATACAAACAACTCAAGTAATCCGTAGTAGAAGAAGAATTTTATTTTTTTGGCGGTTTTATGGATTTGGCAATGGGCTTATCATTTTTGGGTTTCTTTTTCGTGCCTTTTTTGTTCCCCCATCACTGGGGGTGTGTGCCGATCCCGCCTTAAGTGCAATAGCGGGCCGACGCTGCACGGCGAGAAGCAAGCTTACTCCAAACCGTACGCGGACCAAAAATTGGTTAATCTCGATGAGTTCAATAGAACTCGTACCGGAGACTAAGCCGATAAGAACAGTTACTACACATTGATCTTAGCCAGAGGCCAGAAGCGATAGGGAACGAGAGAAAGGGAGCGGTATCTATTGAGAAGGGATGCCACATGGCGGGCGATTGTGCGCGCGCACAAAGAACACCTCATCACTGTATAAGAGATACGTTTTGTTGGTGAAAAATAAAAGAAAGAGAAAATAAGAAACGAGTTTTAAAATCAAAATTCCACACACTTTTATACAAAGTAATTCTTGAAGTTTTCGATGATTAAATAAAGATGAAATCAATGATTTACAATGCAAAAAAAAAGTTTGTAACAAGTTTATTAGATTGATTGATTTGAGATTGATTTGAAATTTGAAAAACTCCTTCACTCACCTCTCAAAACCCTCACGAAATCTTCGGGCACATATCGGTCAGCGTATTTGTCACCCTCTTTGATTATCGATTCCTTGATTGTCTCCCAATCGGCAATAATGACAGCTGGTTTGAAACCTAAAATGTTGAAAATTTTTTGAACTTTGTAAAAAAAGAATTCTTTGTACTCACGGGAGTGGGACAAATGCGACCTTTTTTTTGCGCACCCGGACATTTGCGCACCTTTTTTTCCGCACCCTGCCCATTAGCGCACCTTTTTTCGCGTTTTAAAAAAGCTCTAAAAAGCTAATATTAACCAATTTCTATTCCAAAAGTCGTTTTTCTAGGTATTTTGAGGGCGTAGAATCGAAATTTTGACATATCAGAGCTTGTGGAAACAAACGAACGGAGTTATACAAAGAGAAAAATCGACAATTTTCTGTAATTTGATCTAGCCGTTTTGTCTTTCAAATTGGTTCCACACGCTCTGTTATGTCAAAATTTGAATTCGACACCCTCAAATTACCTAGAAAAACAAGATTTGGAATAGAAATTGGTTAATATTAGCTTTTTAGAGCTTTTTTAAAAACGCGAAAAAAGGTGCGCTAATGGGCAAGGTGCGGAAAAAAAAGGTGCGCAAAAAAGGTCGCATTTGTCCCACTCCCATACTCACTCATCCAAATCGTAAACACCGGTCCGTAATCTTTTCTCCATTTTCGGAAAATCTCATAGCCGGGCATGTTGAGAAAAATCTCGACCAAGTTTCCGACCAGCGGGTACGGTGTTGGGCCTAGATAACAAAAAAACAATTGCGTACTAGCTTTTCGACATTTTTAGACTACTTAAACATTTTAGATTTTTAGATCAGACATGTTTAGACAGCCATTTTTGTGATTGTATTATTTTACATTACATTGTTAGACACTTTTTGGTCAAAACCAGCGATGTTTCAAATCCAATTCTTAGCATGAGCAATATCCAAATGGCTTAACAGGGCTTGGTCGATCCTGAGCTGTTCAGATTTACAGGAAGGCCCGGTTGAAAGATTCTGGTCAAAACAGACTACAAACCTGGTGGTAGATCTTTTCGTTTCCAGTAGAACTCATAGAACAGATAAAGGACAAAGAGAAGTCCTATTAGAGTGAGTAACATTTTCTGGAAAAGTTTTTGTTAGATAAAAAGGTAAATAGAGTTGAAGTACGAAGTCAATTTTCAAAAGGAACAGTAAAAGATCTTCTGAACTGAATCAAGTTTCCTGGACAGCTCAGGACTCCTGAACAGCTCAGCTCAGTGCTCTCTAAAATGTTCAATACGAAATTTGTTAAACAAGAAGACATAGGACATAGAACAAATTTGATGAATCAATAACTTTTGATCGAAAAAGCAAAATAAGGTTTAATTCCTACTCAAACCGTTGTATTTGTTTTCAGCTTTAACTCTCAAAAAACCACAATGTTACTAGGAATCTATAAGACAAGTGAGCTGGAGAATATTGAGATAAACAGAGAAAAAAAAATAGGCGCTTCAAAAGCAAATAAAACTCTCTTTTCCAATCTTTTCTCATTTTTCGATAAGTCCACCGATTTTTGCTTTTTACACTCTCTTTTCCAATCAAATTGTTGGGCATCACTGAACTTTTTTGAGTGCAGAAAGAAACCAAAGATCATGGCTATCATTGCTAGAGTGTTGTGGGGATGTTTTAAATCAAAAATTTTTGACTCAAACCAATTTTTAGATATTTTAGAAAACTTTGTAACTTATCAGTTATATCGCGCAACTTCAGAGAGCTCAACAAGTTCTGTTCTGGTCTACAAAACATGGTCTGGGTACTCAAGGTCTTAATTTTAAGCCATTTACCTTATTTTAAAGTTATAATCTCCAAAATTCTCTGTTTGCAAAAGTGGTGTAAAGATGGAAAATTGCGTTTTTACGGGGTTTTCGATAATACCCGGACTCAGTATTTTAAGTGTAACTCAGCACTCAGATGTGCAATCATTTCATGCTTTGTTTTAATAGAAAATTTAAATATTTTTCTATAATGGATTCTTAGATTTGACGAAAAAAAACCTTTTCTGCCTTTTTTTTATAGAAGCTCAAAGTTTGCAGTGAGGAGTTCTAATCAACATTAGAATTTTTCTCAGCTTGGTTTCTAAGCTTTATTACAAGCATTGAATTACAAATGTACAGGTTAATGTCTTTCTTCAACATTGCAAAAGTAAGGTTTCGCTGTGACTACTTGGCCCATGTCTTTCTTCATCGAGGGAAGCTCGGTGGCGGTCAGCTGGAACAATTCTTGAGTTATTCAACTCATTACAAGATTCAATGGATTACACATTCAAGTTTCTTCTTGATTAGTAATAGTCGGTAACAGACCTTGAATCTTTGAAAAATGTTTGAAATGAACAGATAGAGTTCCATTCTCGCCAATCCTTCACCAGGACATTGTCGCTTTCCAACAGAAAACGGGACAAGCTCGGGATAAGTTTTGAAGGTTCCGTCGGGGTTGAGGAAACGTTCCGGTTTCAATATATACGGATCGGGAAAAATCTAAAACAATCTTTTACAAATCTTTATTAATTTTCTTTTACCAGTACCTTGTCATCATACAAAATAGTCGCAATTTGAGGCATCACAGCTGATCCAGCCGGGATCTTGTAGCCTTTAATCACCGCATCCTCGGTGACAAGTCTCATCAGATTTTGCGGAAGCAAGTTGGCTAGGCGTTGAATTTCCTAAGAAATACGAAATACTTTTTGATTTAAAATTCTTGATATATTGAACTTGGCTGTAGTCTAACTGTAAAGTAGATAAAATTCAAGACCAAAACCTACTGAAACAACAGCGTTGATGTAAGGCAATTGATTTTTGTCAGCGAGCGTAACTTTTCGATCCGATTTGATCACTCGATCCAACTCTTCGTGCATTTTTCTTTGCACTTCTGGGTAGTTCAAAATGTAGCAAACTGCCCAAGTGAGGGTGTTTGACGTGGTTTCCATTCCTGAATTCATGAAGCGTTTACAAGAGTTGGTTACCCAAAGATGTCGCGGTTAAAATTGCGTGGACATAGGGTCAATCTTATCTAGACTGTCCATTCTTTACTTACGATTAGTTAAAACGGTATTTAGAAAGTTTGAGGTGATCTCGGTTCCTAAAGGCTATCGGACATTTAATACCCGCCCTGCCCCTTTTGTCATTGGCCATCTAGCTTTGAGCTCAAATATTTTGGTGCTGGGCTGTCCAATCTAAATAGTTTTTATACCAATCGACAGAGAAAGACTTGGCGCATCCAATGATACCAAGAACATTTAAATTGAACAGCTCAACACCAAGATATTTGAGTTCAAAGTTGGATTGCATGGCAAAGGGGGCCGGCGATTGTGGGACCTTTTATACGCGAGGCTCCGCCCCCTTTGCCATTGAAAACAAAAAAACTGAAGCTACTTTACGCAAATTTCACCCACCAGCAATCCAGATGTCGAAAACAAGATTTCTGAGTTGAATATCTCTAAAATTTTCTAAATTTAGTAGCAAAAAAAAAGTTGCACTCACGTGTAATATCCCTCATGAATTGAGCCCTTCTTCTTCCGTTGCTCTTTCAACCAACACTCAACAAAATCATCGTATTCCTGAATTTATGCCCGAATATTAAAAAATATAAATTCTCAGAACAGTTGCTTTTGGAGTCTTCAATGAAAAAACCTCAGTATCAAAGTCGACATTTTTTCTTCGATTATCGATTTGTCGCTGAATAAAGTCAAAGAGAATTTGATTGTTCGCTAGCACTTCGGAGTAAATTCCTGAACAGAACAGAAGGTGGGGATATAATCGTATTGATGAGTAAAACTATACTGATTCTTGGCTTTTTCGGTCTACGGAGGCGGGTATAACCGTATAGTACTGGAGCCTTTTATAAAGTTTTAGCTTATTTATAGTACGTACCCCTAAAAATTGGCCATCCTCGAATGAAAGGCAGAGTGGCGGAAAGAATGAAAATCGGATTCGTTCCAGCGACGATCATGTGTCGGAGAGCTTTCTTTACGAGCTCAAACTCGTCAAGGTGTTGCTTAATCGTCAATATTGATCATTTAGCCACTTTAATCTTCCTTAAACTTTAACTTTCTTCAGTTAGCTTTTATTTTAGCCAATTGAATATTAGAAAAAGCTATCAAGCACTATGAATTCACCAATGAATTTCTAATATGTTGCAATCAGTTTAATGGCAGAAAAATTGTCGTTTAAATACTTTGTTTTAGTGCCGACATTTGTGATAAAACTTTTCAACAAATTTAGCACTAAGTTTTCGTTCAAAATACCTCATCAAAACGATATCCAAAGACGATATTGTTGATGATTGATCCAACGGCTGTATCGAACTCTTTCTGCATAAATATGTCCTCTTTCTGCTGAGCCATCCTTTCCATTAGTGGCTCTACTTCGATCATGATCTAAAAATTGTAGCCAAGTTTGTCAATCAATGAATTCTTTTTCACTCGCCCTTTCCTCCATCAAATTCCTTCCCATACCGAAATCTCTTAAAGTGTGCAAAGTGAATCTGGAATTTGTCCTTGTTTAAGATTTCTTTTGATTGGTTTACCTTCTTTGCTCTCTCCAAAGATCTCCTTGTGAGCTGATCAAGCCAAAAGTTCCACCTGAAATTGAAGTCTTTTAAAAAAAGTCTTAAAGTCCTAGTCTTCTCGTGGGTTCAATCCCCTTTCTTTCTTTGTCATTTCGTACTTTACTTTATTACTAATCTGGTCTGATCTTTAGAGTAAATCGTAGCTCAATTAGGGAATTTGTCATTTGTAAATGCTAGTAGAGAAAAGTATCGAATTACCTATGAGCCAATTTAATATTGAGCCTGTACATTTATAAACATTATGCTATTATTTATAAACTCACCCCTGAGCACCTCATTGAACTCCTTGAAAACGTAACGATCCGAGTATTTATCGCCCTCTTTTATAATCGATTCTTTAATCGTTTCATAGTCGGCCACAATAAACACCGGTTTGAAACCTTAAAATTGAATGCTTAAATTTTTAAAAAAATCTTTTCTTACTTAGCCAAAAAGTGAAAACAGGTCCATATTCTTTTCTCCATTTCGTGAAGACTTCATAACCGGGTCGGTTGAGGAAAACTTGGATAAGATTTCCGAAAATTGGGAGTGGGGTTGGACCTGGATAATGGTGTAAGTTAAACGATATTTTTGAACTTTTTCACTATCAAATATTTTAAGCTATTTCTATAACAATGAAGCTTTTCAGTTTTTAGCATTTTGGTATGCATTAATGCAATATTTGGTTGATTTTGAAGTTGATTCTTTGTAAATCGTGAATCTACAGGGTGCGTCATAATTATTGCAACAAGATACTCAAGGCATTGCACACCAAGAAGTTTCACTGGAAGAAGATTTTTAAACAGAAATAGCTTTATTTAACAGTAACAAATAAGGAAACAAGAGGTCATTCGATATGACCGCCTTTTGCCTTGATAACAGCCCTTAATCGGTTCGGATATGCCTCCACTGCGGCCCGAATGTCATCTTGAGGAGTCGCCTTCCATCCTTTGGTCAAAGACTTCTTCAAGGTCAAAGAGCAGACATTAGCCTCTAAAATTGCCCAAATGGAAAAGTCCTTCACATTGAGATCCGGTGAGTTTGGAGGCCATTCATCCTTGGTGATCACTGAGGGAAAGTTGACCACACACCAGTCCTGAACCGTCTTCTTCGTGTGTGCGGGAGGCAATTAGGCAAGAATAAAGAAGATAGAACGCAACACAACAAAAAAGGGGGCAAAAAAAAATAAGAAAGCTGTTTGGAAAACGGTCTTTGAACTCTTGTTGCAATAATTATGACGCACCCTGTAGTGAATCAATCAATCAAAACGTCCAATCGAATTGTAAAGTTTTGCTAATCCGGCTGACTTTATATGCAGCTATGATCTTATGATTTGAAGTTTTAAACAAAACAAAACAACAACTTGTTTTTAAACAATCTTTTTGCCGAAACAAGTCTGCTATTGAGTCAACGTATTCATCTGTTTTGTAAAATCTGTGACTTTTTATTTAGCACTTTGTTTCATTTGTTCTTATCACACTTTACATATTTAAATCTAATTCATATCGATTATAATCACTTTTAAAAAACAAACCCGGTGGTAAACCTCTTCTTTTCCAATAAAAATCATAGAATAGAAAGCCGATAAATAATAAGAAAAGAAGAAATAGAATCATGTTTGAAAAAAAAGTGAAATAAAGATTTACAGCTGGTTACCTAGGTTGTTTGTGGGAGAGAAAATAAAAATTGTACTTGGTATTGGGGGAAAAAAGAGCGGTGATCAAATAGAGAGTGAAAAAAGATTGGATAGAAAAAGAAAAAGAGTAAAAAAAGGAAAAATAAATGGAAAAATTCGGGTACCGTTTTTTTTACCCATTTCTCTTTCCCTTTTTGTTAAAGAAGGTTGTTTTGATTTGCTGTGACTTTTATTCTATTTCTATTCTATTTCCGTTTCAAAATTAAGAGTGAGAGATTGAAAAAAGATTGGATAGAAAAAGAAAAAGAGTAAAAAAAGGAAAAATAAATGGAAAAATTCGGGTACCGTTTTTTTTACCCATTTCTCTTTCCCTTTTTGTTTAGGAAGGTTGTTTTGATTTGTTTTGACTTTTACTCCCTTTCTATTCTATTTCCGTTTCAAACTTTGTGCCAATATTCTTGTACAAACTATGTTGAAACTGATAAGAAACTGCAAAAAGAGTGTTTCGGGTAAAAATCGAAAATCTTATCATTGAGATCCAGAGTTCTTGCTAATGTCCAAGCTTGCATTATCCATAAATAGAAAATTCGGTAAAAAGGTTTATCAGAATAAAGTTATTGAATGAAAACTCATGATCATTATCATTTCGCTAATGTCTCCTTTGCACGTTGCACAAATATTCATTTGCGGTCACAACGAGTCCCATCTTTTTTCTCCATTGACGGCTTTTTATTAGCTGTAATCTGAAAAGAAAACAATTCAATTGCTCGAACAGCAAAAGTTTAATCGATGGTTCAATCCCCTCTCTGGAAATCTATTTTCTCGCCAATTCCTTCACGTTTTTATTGTGATTTCTCATCGAATAATACCAAGATTGGGGGTAGGCTAGTTTCCGCAACTTTCTTTTGCGCAACAGGGTCATTTGCGCAACTGGGTCGTTTGTGCAACTCGCTATAACTTTCTTCTAAGTGGGCTAATCTTTATGATTTTGGTCTCATTTTGTAGACCTCAATAAGTGCAACAAAATGAAACCAAAATCATAAAGATTAGCTGACTTCGAAGAAAGTTATGGCGAGTTGCGCAAAAAGACCTAGTTGCGCAAATGACCCTGTTGCGCAGAAATTGCGTGTTGCGGAAACCAGCCTACCCCCAAGATTGAGCTGATTGGATGTAAACTGACAGTTTGACTACGATAGTTTTCTTAAATAGGTTCTGTAAGCCAGGCCTGAGCGAGGTCAGAAGTCAAGTAAAGTAGGACAGAGCCGTTCTGGCCTGACCCTGGCCTGAAAAATTACCTTTAGAACAACCTTTAAAGCTTAAGCACAAATAAATTAGTATGAATAATGCTAGTTCCGATTTAAGCCGCTCAGATTCACTTGAATTCTGACAATACCTTGAATCTTTGAAAAATATTGGCAATGAACAGATAGAGCTCCATTCGGGCCAATCCCTCGCCAACACATTGGCGCTTTCCAAGTGAGAATGGGATCAGTTCAGGATAGTTTTTATAGGAACCATCTGCGTTGATGAAGCGATCCGGATTGAATTGGTGAGGATTGGGAAAGATCTGAAAAAGAGCTTATTAGACTCAATTTTCTTTTGTTTGATGGAATTGAATGTACCAATTTTGCTTGAATTATAGCAGTAAAGGCTGAACAAAGGAAAACTTCTGATCTCCAACCTTTTCATCATAGAGAATCGTTCCGATTTGTGGCATAACCGCTGTCCCTTTCTTTACTAGATGCTTTGCAATAATCGTATCCTCAACAGTGACTCTCATCAAATTTTGAGGTAAGAGATTCGCAAAACGAAGAACTTCCTGAAAAATTGGATCAGTTCGGTCGGTCGGTTAAAATCTAATAGTCATTTCTTCAAAACCGACAAATGACCAATGCAAAATCTAGGAGGTAAACAAATTATTGAATTATTATTATTGAATTGAATTGCAAACTAGTCTTGTCGGCTGATTCAGTCCTTATTTTTGTCCCGATCTAAGTTGACTTGAAATATCCAGATCTGGATTACAGTTACAATATTTTAATGAAATAAACGACTGAAATTTACAATATTAGCTTTGTTTTGAAGCTTATTCAAAACTCCCTAGCAACCGAATTGAAATATGGCAACAGTAAGGGATAAGCTCGGTAAGCAAGAGGTCGCGGGTTTGGATCGCCAGTAAGGCTTAAGCCGTAGTTACTTATGCTTTACTGGCGGCAATGGGATACGTGTCGGTGTAGCTCATTGGTGGAGCGCTCTCAGGAAGAAGCTTCTTTCTTTGTCACAGAGATGACTTTGTTGATTTCTTTATGACTTTTTGAATCACAAAGTTCCTTGTGACTTTATGACTTGAACAGGAACTGTATTGTAGCGTACGCAATCAAAAAACACTCGAACAAATGTCTTCTTATTTTCCAAGCTCTATCTGCTACGGAATTTCAGCTCGATTGGTCCACTGGGGACCGAGATATCGACTATGCGACACTCCTTTCGGCTATATACATCGGATTTTTCTTTTTTCTGACTTCAGATTCAGCATCAGGAGGGTCGATTACCTACTGAAGAACATTTTTAGGCTCCTAGCTGCATTCTTTGAATTTATGTTGACGACCGACAGACGGACATTTGTAATTATATATGTTACGTCCTATCTAGGATCAAGATTGATTAATCTAGAATTGATTGATTGATTTAGAATTGATTGATTGATCTAGAATTGATTGATTGATCTAGAATTGATTGATTGATCTAGAATTGATTGATTGATCTAGAATCAATCAATCAATCAACCATTCATCACTCTAAATCAAACGTTCGATCCAAACATTAGATTTAGAGTGATCGGCTTGATTCTAGATTGGACGTTTGACCTCACTTCACTCTAGATCGGACGTAGAATCAGTCCTAGAATAAGTCTAGATCGGATGTAACTTATATAGCATAGATTCCTATTGCCTTAGTAATGGGGAAAGGCTTAGGGTAAAGAAAAACCAGAAGTAAATCCCATTTTTAAATCTTGTAAACTCACACTAACAACCGCATTCAAATATGGCAACAAATTCTTGTCATTCGTCGTAATCTTTCGATCAGAATCGATCACTCGATCGAACTCTTCATGGATCTTTTCTTGAACTTCCGGATGATTCAAAATATAGCAAATCGCCCAGTTTAATGCGTTTGACGTGGTCTCCATTCCTGTTTTTGTGAAAATTCTCTTGTTAAAGTTTTAAACCAAACCAGCCACCCACATGTCCAGCACCAAGTTTTTTAGTTGATCATTGCTAAATTTGAACATTAAAAGTTGTTCATAAAAATTTACCAATAAAACTCTTCATTCTCCTTTCCTTTCTTCTTGATTTGCTCTTTCACATAGCATTCAACGAAATCTTCGTAATCCTAAAGTTTTCACGATTTGTACTACAGTACTGGACAATGAAATATGATATTTGAAAAACGATCGTCACTTTCGCGCGTCTGTAACTCCCTTGTCTTTACCGTATTTCTAAATATTAATATTACCATTGTGTAGCCCTTGAAAAGAGCTTTCAGAAAATGTATAACACTAATAGTTTAAACTCAAAGACAAGGGAGTTACAGACGCGCGAAAGTGACGATCGTTTTTCAAATATCATATTTCATTGTCCAGTAGTGTACCTCGCCTCTTTTGTGGTTTGATTTTTAGAGATCCCAAACTCAAATTGAACTAATTTTTAGCATCGTGCTGCATAGAATTTTTTGTACTGCTTTGCTAGGGTTGTCAAATTCTACCAATTGAAACTAACTAAATAGCTAAACAAACTGAGTAAGCAATGCGGTCTGACAGAGCCTTTTTTCTCTTAATTTTCTTAGGATTACAGTACTGGACAATGAAATATGATATTTGAAAAACGATCGTCACTTTCGCGCGTCTGTAACTCCCTTGTCTTTGAGTTTAAACTATTAGTGTTATACATTTTCTGAAAGCTCTTTTCAAGGGCTACACAATGGTAATATTAATATTTAGAAATACGGTAAAGACAAGGGAGTTACAGACGCGCGAAAGTGACGACCTTTTTTCAAATATCATATTTCGTTGTTCAATAGTGTATGTTATCAGTCTTACTTCAGTCTCAAAATCGATCGTTTTTTTTCGTTCTTCGATTTGGCGTCCAATAAATTCGAAGAGAACGTTCAAATTTTCGTGGTTTTTCTGATGAACTCCTGAAATTAAACTTTATAATACTCAACACATTCGCGACAAAAGTATTTTGGGTGTAAAGTCGCGTAGTCGTTAGCTGTTTTGATAATTTGGTGAAAATTCAAAGATAATCAAATTACAGAGTGCGGCGAAAGTTCTGTCATTTTTAAATTCTCTTTAATTCTCTCTAATTGTTATTATTTCATAAGTGTTTATAGCCAAAAGATAGCCAATTTTTCACAGAATTTAAATCTTATTACCGTTTTTAAATAGCTCCTTTAGATTTTGAGTTATCACTATTCTAAGCTCTTCGAAAAAAGTATCTGTGGTATATATTTTTACCCTTTTCATTGCAGAAATCTAAAAAAATTAAAAGCTTATTAAAAACTGGTGTTGTATTTCCAATTTCGAACTGATAAACAATTTCTTTGAATACTCTTAATCGTCTGAGTTTTCAGTTTGACAGATTTTCTTATACTGGTAGGACTAATAACTGGTGTGAACAGAGAGCTCACGTAAATTGTGATAACTCAAAATCTAAAGGAGCTATTTAAAAACGGTAATAAAATTTAAATTCTGTGAAAAATTGGCTATCTTTTGACTATAAACACTTATGAAATAATAACAATTAGAGAGAATTAAAGAGAATTTAAAAATAACAGAACTTTCGCTGCCCCTTGTATGTATTCACCCAATATTATAGTCATTTGATAGCCCTGAATATCCTCTTGAAGACTAGTACAAAGCTACGAAGAAGTTCTGCAAAATAAATAACAAAAATTGTTAAAAAGATAAAAAAGAGTCCTTAAAAAGAGCAAAATGAGTTGACACTAAAAATAATCGTCATTAATACGACTCGCTGGTGGGTCGGATCGTCTTGAATATGTTAAAAGAAACTTTTTAGATTATAGTTGTTGTTTTTAAATGTTTTTAAAAGTTTTTGAATTATTTTTAAAAGTTTTTGAATTAAGTTTACGTACCCTTGATTCCTGGAAAGCCTCTCAAACTTGGGAATGCGACGCCGACAAGAAAGAACGGGTTCGCTTCAGCGGCCAAGATCTGATGAATTGCCTTTTTGACAAAATGGAACTCGTGGAGATGTTGCTGAAAAAGGATATAATGTACTTTGGCTACTGTAGCTAGATCAAAAGGAACTTATGTTTGTCCTTGAGACTTGTGCTCTTAATCAATGTCTTTTCCAATTGTTGAAATTATTCCTATGTGCTGAAATGAAATCAAAACCATGAGATCAGTTAAAACAGAAACAGAAAAACAGAAAAATTTTGAATGCAATTGACTTGATAATCAAATTTCGTAAGCTGTTCTCTTTCTAAAAAAGCCTTTCAGAAAACCACCTCATCAAAGCGGTACCCGAACAAAACACTGTTGATCACCGAGCCAACGGAGACTCCAAACTCTTTCTGAAATTTGTTTTTTATCGTAAATTATCAAAGCCAGTCAGGTAATCAGATAAAAATCTAATCCTCAAAGAAAAAAAAAACATCAAACAGCAGATACAAAAGAGCAAACAGCAAGCATCAAACATCAATCAAGCACAAAAAACACTAAACACAAAAGAGCAAGCACCAAAACTGTACCTGACGTAGTCGAAAGTCTCATAGCCAAGTACAGTTTTATCAAACTTACAATTGAGCTATCATACCAGTGTCACTATGTCAGTTTAGAAAAAATATTCGCGTGAATATTGTAATAGTACCCCACCCCCTTGTACAGTCGCGTAGTCGCAAAAGTTTTTTAGTATTTCTGGGATTAGAGATCCGGGTTCGATCTCGGCTCCGGTGAACCGGTTCATGGCCCAGGTCCTTAATGCGAGAAGCCTATCCAGCCGTCTTTGCCTTTTCTTCACCGCCAGAACAAGTTATCTAGGAGTCGTCCAATAAGAGTAGGGATTAGGGAGCCGCCGAGAATGTAGGCGTGGATTAAGATATAGCCTAGTAATGTGCATGTCGAATTGTGACTAATCGAATCGAATGTGTATGTCGAATTGTGAGCTGAATAAGCCACATCTGGAGTCCGCGGTGTATAACTTTTATTTCATTTTTTTCAAAGCGCCCGTACTTTCAAAAAAATCCGTCTTTGGTATCAAAAGATAGCCCTGAATTCCAGCTATTTTTTTGACACCTAAGCGTGCATTCTAGCATAAACTAGTGTCGAGCAAAACGCGTTCAAATCTAGGCACTAAACTACGCAAAACATTATGGGGATGGGGTACTATTACAGGGGGGTGGGACAAATGCGATCTTTTTTTTGCGCACCTGGACATTTGCGCACCTTTTTTTTGCTGAAAAAGGCCTTAGGCAAGGCCGTAGAGCTTCGAAAATATTTCCATATAAGGGAATTGTATGCGTAGATTCCGAATTTCGACAAATCAGACCTCGCTGACACGTCAAATTTGGGCTAAAAGGCAAAAACTGCGGAAAAGCGTTAAGTTGCGTAGTTTTTGCCTTTTAGCCCAAATTTGACGTGTCAGCGAGGTCTGATTTGTCGAAATTCGGAATCTACGCATACAATTCCCTTATATGGAAATATTTTCGAAGCTCTACGGCCTTGCCTAAGGCCTTTTTCAGCAAAAAAAAAGGTGCGCAAATGTCCAGGTGCGCAAAAAAAAGGTCGCATTTGTCCCACCCCCCCTATTACAGTATTTACGATACCAAAAACTGTAAAGTGCAAACAGCAAACATCAATCACCAAACGGGCAATTAAAAGTAGATATTTCTTGTTAACAATTTTTTGCATATTGTTAGCTCCAACTATTGATAGATTAAGGTTAAAACTTAGAAAGTTTAAGATAAACTTTTAGGACAGTTGGAGCATTTATTGGATTTGTTTTTGATCTGAACAGCAGCAACACCAAACGGCAAACGGCAGTCACCAAGGATTTCACCAACCAAACACCAAACAGCAAATGCCAGACCATACCCGTTTTGATTAGGGGTGGTAATTTGAAAACCTATTTTTTTAGAATACTTACAAAATGTAACTCTTTTTGTAGGTTTTCCACTTCTTTTCAGAAACAAACGAATTCTATAATGAGGAATTTTTGCACAGAAACTGACAAATGACAAGTGCATTCGAAATGGAAAGCAAAACCGTAGAAAACAGAAAACTTGAAATTGTTTACTTACTTGCACATTGAGGTCATTCTTTAGCCGATCCATCCGATCAAGCAGATCATCCACCTCGTCCATGATCTGTCAAATAAAATTTGAGAGTGATTCAAAGATTTAAACTAAACATGGGCCCTATAAACTACAAAAATGACAAACCGTTTCACTATAAACCCTTCTAGATGGCTTGAAATCTTTCGGATTGAGAGGATCAATAGCTCAAAAAATAGAGGATTTCAAGAGCTCTCGAATGGACTGACCCACACCTAAAAATATCAATGCTAAAGAAAGTTACAGTGGTTCGTAGTTCTGATTCGTAGTTCTGACTAAATGGGCCGTCGAAGCAATCGAGTCAGGCTACAAACTACTGTAACTTTCTTTAGAGTTGCTATTTTTGGGCGTGCTTTGGTTCAATCGAAAGCCCTTGAGATTCTCTATTTTTTTAGCTATAGCTCATATCAATCCCATAGATTTAAAGCAAGTTCGAAGCGTTTGTAATTTACGTTCTTAGTTTTTGTAGTGTCCATGTCTAATTTAAACCGACCCTTGTCTCCATAAGATTTCGTCCCATTCCAAAATCGCGAAGCGTATGCAAAGTGAATCTGAAAGTCAAGATTTTCAATAACTTTCTGATTTTTAACCTTCTTTGTTCTCTCCATATCTCCCCATTTGAAGTGAGAATTCCATAAAGGCCACCTGAAAATTGATCGAGAAAATCTCTGTTTTACCATACTTGTGTAAAATTTCCGTCTTTTAGCAAACGAATTTGGTTATCTAAAGGAAAATTTGATTGCTAAAATGTAAAAAAGTGGCTTGTCGTACAGGTATTTTTTGAAATAATTCAATTTTTGATAATTTATAGCCTTTACAGGGTGCGTCATAATTATTGCAACAAGAGTTCAAAGACCGTTTGTGATGTCAAGAATGTGATGTCATGGGCGTGGAAAGCCAATAACAATCAAAATTGGACCTTCATGCAAGATGGAGCTCCCGCTCACACGAAGAAGACGGTTCAGGACTGGTGTGTGGCCAACTTTCCCTCAGTGATCACCAAGGATGAATGGCCTCCAAACTCACCGGATCTCAATGTGAAGGACTTTTCCATTTGGGCAATTTTAGAGGCTAATGTCTGCTCTCGAAAACACAAAGGATGATTTGACCAAAGGATGGAAGGCGACTCCTCAAGATGACATTCGGGCCGCAGTGGAGGCATATCCGAACCGATTAAGGGCTGTTATCAAGGCAAAAGGCGATCATATCGAATGATCTCTTGTTTCCTTATTTGTTACTGTTAAATAAAGCTATTTCTGTTGAAAAATCTTCTTCCAGTGAAACTTCTTGGTGTGCAATGCCTTGAGTATCTTGTTGCAATAATTATGACGCACCCTGTATAAACCAAACGGAATTTTCAGTTGTAATTCTGAAATGTTTTCAATGTTAGTTTTCAGTTTTACACTCATTTTTACAATTAATTATAACAAAAGATAAGTAATTTCTTTTAATTTTAAGCCATTAAGTCAATTCTTTGTGAAAATTGAGCTCAAAGAAGGAATTTAATTATCTTTTTAACTTGATTGATCCATTTTCTCGGTGATTAGCTCACATGAGAACTAAAGTGACTCAAGACTACATCAATAAACTCTTAACGAAGAACTTTTGGTCAACAGTTACTTGGATGAAAAGAAAACTGAATGAAGAGCCGTTTAAAACAAAATCTCACCTCTGATAAAACGATTGAAATCCTCAAACGAGAAACGATCAGTAAACTTGTCTCCATCTTTCACAATTGTTTCTCTCATCTGATCAAAGTCAGCAATCACCACGATTGGTTTAAGACCTGATTAAAGAATTAATTAAATCATTGAATCAATCAATCATTGAATCAATCAATCATTGAATACTTAGCCAAAAAGTGAATACTGATCCATGATCTTTCCGCCATTTTCGAAAAGCTTCATAGCCGGGTGGAGCTTTAGCGATTTCGAGGAGATTTCCGAAGATTGGCAGTGGAATCGGGCCTGTAAAAGAGAGTCGTAAACTGAAAAACGAATACTAGACTGTTTATTTTATATAAAACTAAACTTTTATACAATTAGAACTATTGTAGCTAGATGTCTTTACAATGAATACCAATCGATACTTCCAGATCAAGTCATAGCTATTAGACATGGGAAAATTCCAAGCCGAACCTAATTTCACCTTCGTTTTCTTGGCCGTTTCTTCGATTCCTCTGAAATTTTGTCTACAAGCTGTCGATTTCGATCTGTAGGCAAAACTTCAGAGTAATCGGCCAAGAATTGGACAAGAATTGGGCAAGGATTGGACAAGAATTGGACAAGAATTGGACAAGAATCGGGCAAGGATTGGACAAGAATTGGACAAGAATTGGACAAGAATCGGCCAAGAATCGGCCAAGAATCGGCCAAGAATTGGACAAGAAAACGAAGGTGGAATTGGATTGGCTTGGATTGGCATTTTCCCATGTCTTTGGCCATGGCCTAGCTTGGTCTTGAAATTTGTCTTAACTTGGCAATGGATTGGTCATACTTTCCAAAAACATATTACATTCAAAAATAGCTTCTTTTTTTAAAGCATTGCGAATTCAGTGCACCAACGAAAGTGCCTTTCTATTTTACAAAAAACCAGAGGCTTGGCAAAGAGTTATTTAACATGACGAAGCGTACCCGAGACTTGACCATGTAGTTTTTCATTTACAGAAATCTAAATTAGTTTACAGATGATTAAACAATCGACTTTTATTTGAAGAATTACTCTTTGACTTTTCAAAAATGCTTGTTCAATGGTGTCTTTGCTCTTTGCTTAACTCAAATCTAACTCAGATACCTGGTGGATAATTTCTTCTTTTCCAGTAAAGCTCATAGAAAAGAATTAACATTAAAACGGTCAAAGTCAGTAGGAAAAGCATTAGTAAAAGTCTGTGAATGCACAAAATACTTAAGAATAAACGAAATGAAATACTGAAATGTGCTTTTGGTGGGCGGGACTTGTGGTTCCCCTTTCCTCTTTCTGTCTCTTCACAGAAAGTGTTCTCTGCTCATTCCAAAAAGATTTTCGAATCACAAAAGGCTACTGAGATGATATCAAGTTGATGAATCACTTATTCATAAACTTGAAAAGATTAGAAGAATTCGTGAAGAAAAATGTTGCGCCGCAAAGGCGATAAATTTTGCGCCGGAAAGAAAAGGCGATAAATTTTACTTGATGAAAACGAAATCCTGTCTAGATAGAAAAAACCTTGCGATTCTCAAGCCGTCTCCAATCCAAATACTAAGCGAGCCCAACGTTCCTGGCAGATCGGACGGGATACCGTGTTTTTAACGTGTTATGGTTGTAAGCGAGTGCTGGGCGGTGAAAGACGGTTGAAATAGTAAAAGAAAGAGATTGTTTGACACCGAAGAGACGCAAGACGACGCGACTGTGTGCACCTTCTCGGTATCTCGTAGGAAAAAAACAGCATCTGCCACACGACTTCCACGGATAGAGCGAAAGTGACCCCACTATTTGGTTTAATTACCCAAATTTGAGGTTAGCATCAGCGCCAAGGCCTTGCAAAATTGTCTTGAGCAAATTTTGGAACGCGCTCCCGGGAGGGAGTGCACAAAAATTGGTGAAACTTAAAGTTGGGAAAGTTGCTGTTCTGTTGTTTAATTCAGTCCATTGCTCACTTTCAATGAACACTGAATATTTTGATTAAATAAGCCTTGGGATGCATTTTGGAATTCAACAAGCAAATTTCCCGAAGTAAACGCAAGTAAAAACCAAATAGTTATTTTTCAGCTTCAAGCTAAAAAGACGTACCAGACGTACCAGGTGCAAGAAATCATGTAGTAGCTCATACTTGAAGCGATCTAAAGAAAAAGGAAATGATTCTAGGATTTTAGAGATTAAACTGTGCAAGACAGTTGTGGCAAGATTAACAATATTTCCTTGATTGGAAATATAAACAAAAAACCGGATAGTACCCAACTTAGCACCGTTACAAGACTGACTTGCAAAGTGAGCCCAACGAGGAAACGTTTCGTCGTTTTTCGTGCCTCTTTTGAATTGATTTCAATAATTGATTAGAAATTTGATAGCTCATTGAAGAATATGCTAGAGAGAATAGAGTGAAATCGAGGAGGAAAACGATTGTTTGAAGACCGAGATTCGTGAGGCCACTTGGTGGCAAAATGTATGCGAAAAAGAGATGACCAGTTAGGGATGGATCACGAAGAGATGGGTACTGTGGATTAGCTTAAATTAAAGAGTAGATAAAGCGAGAAGCTCAAAAAGCTCGAAAGTTTTAGACTTTCAACTCCCGCATTCCCTTTGTGCATCCCGTTCACGGGGATGCGTTCCAAAATTTGCTCAAGACACTTTTACAAGGTCTTGGGGTTAATGCTAACCTCAAACTTGGGTAATTAAACCGAAGTGGGAGATCTCTGTCGCGCTATGTGTAGAGGTCGTAGGCCAGTAGCCGCTTTTTCCTACGAGACACACAAAAGGTGCACACAGTCGCGACGTCTCGCGTCTCTTCGGTGATAAAGGATCGCTTTCTCTTTCTTTCTTTCTTTCTTTTCAACTATTTCAACCGTCTTTCACCGCCCAGCACTCGCTTACGACCATACCACGTTGAAAACACGGCATCCCGTCCGATCTGCCAAGTTAAGCAACGTTGGGCTCGGTTAGTACTTGGATCGGAGACGGCTTGGGAATCCCGAGTGTCGTAAGCTTTTTGCTTTTCGCCGGTAGAGTAAAGATGATGGTTTGTTTGAAGGTTTCGATAAAACAAAGGAAAACTGTCGCTTTGATTCGTTCTTTATACAGTGCGTTTCAAATTCTTAAACGCACCCTCTAAAATAGCGGATTTTGCATTTTGACCACCGCTACAACTATTAATCTTTTTCTATTAGAAAGAGCATGTCTTAAAACCTAAATAACACGAAAAAGAAGCATACTGTAAAAAGTAAAAATTTTCAAAATAGAAACTTTTTGCTAAATCAACCGTTTCAAATTCTTAAACGCACCCGCCTTTGCTGTTGTTATTTGAAATTTTTCGTTTTGTTGTGCGTATTTTTTTATTAAATTTATAATTTTTGTTAATTTTCAGGTAAATGGCATACGGAAAGCTGCTCACGGATTATGAGAAAGGCCAGATTGATGCCCGTTTGAGCATTGGCGACTCAATAAGGAAAATCGCAAAAAATTTGGGCCGATCCGACTCTGCCATGCGAAATTATATAAAGTCTGAGTTCGTTTCTACACCAAAGAAGAAGCCAGGACCAAAACCAAAGCTTACACCGCGAGCTAGACGCCATATTATGAACAACATCCAAGGAAAAACGATCAATGAAGTGAAAACGGAACGGAAAATCGACTCTTCGAAGTCGAAAATTTGGCGAGCCATCAAGGAAAAACGCACATATCGATCAACAATTATTGAACATCCAACCGACCGTGAAGCTTTTGCACAAGAAAGCCCGATTGGCCTTCGCCAAGACTCATATGAATCAAAATTGGTCTATGGTTGGAAATCCGCTCATGTTTTATTATTTTTTTGCGTTTAGGTGATCTTTTCCGATAAGAAGAAATGGAATTTGGATGGCCCCGATGGCGTTGGCTACTATTGGAGGGATCTTCGACGTGATCCGATGGTGTTTGGAACTCGAAACTTTGGCGGTGGTTCTGTGATGGTTTGGGCCGCCTTTTGTGCTGATGGAACGGTCGCTCTGAAGATGGTTTCGAATCGGATGACTAGATAGATATCTTGAACAATTGCTTGTTGCCATTTTGGCTCCTAAATCCAACCGTTCCCGATTTGTTTCACCACGACAACGCGTCAATTCATCGAGCCGTAGACACCCTGAACTGGCTGAACAGCAACAACATTGCAACTTTGGACTGACCCGCTCAGTCTCTTGACCTCAATCCGATAGAAAATTTATGGGGAATACTTGTCCGAGCTGTCTACAAGAATCAGCGTCAGTTTCAAGACGTTTCTGCACTTAAAGCAGCAATTTTTTCGGCCTGGAGCGATCTCGACGTCTCTGCTCTTCAAAACCTCATCAATTCAATGTCAGACCGCATTTTTCAAGTAATTAATCGTTCTGGTGCGTGTACAGATCATTAGTTTTGATTTTTTACCTTTGATTTTTAATTTTTGTCGATAAATAAAAATATTTTCATAGTGCGTTTAAGAATTTGAAACGGTTGATTTAGCAAAAAGTTTCTATTTTGAAAATTTTTACTTTTTATAGTATGCCTATTTTTGGTGTTATTTAGGTTTTAAGACATGCTCTTTCTAATAGAAAAAGATTAATAGTTGTAGCGGTGGTCAAAATGCAAAATCCGCTATTTTAGAGGGTGCGTTTAAGAATTTGAAACGCACTGTATTGTTCCCCCATCACTGGGGGTGTGCGCCGATCCCGCCAGTAAGTGCAATAGCGGGCCGACGCTGTACGGCGAGAAGCAAGCTTCTACAAACCGTACCCGTTCCAAAAATTGATTAATCTCGATGAGTTCAATAGAACTCGTACCGGAGATTAAGATAAGAACAGATTTAGTTTATTCCAGTGCATGGACATGGTATTGACCCCAGCCGGTCCATCACAAAGGTTGAAAATACAGTTAATGCACAAATCACAATGCGGAGAATGCAAGGGATTTCCGGGAAATATTGGGTCAATAAATAGAGTCAATAGAGTTGGGTCCTATGTAAGAGGAAACCAAGTGAAGATATAAGTAAAATACGTATGCACAGTGGATATGAGGAAAAATAGATAAGCAATATATGTTGAAATGTATGGCACATGAAAGTTATGATTCAAATCAGATAAAAATGAATTATGACAGATAATAATGATCGCAGTGATTTTGGCTAACAAGAGACAAAAGAACAAGACAAGAGCAAAGAAGAGAGAAGAGGAAGAACTCACGGGTCATGTTGGGGAGGAACAGTAATGTGCTCAAAGTAGATGTCACGGTTCCATTTCACAGCATCCGACACCATCAGCTTCTTCTTGACACGAGCGTAGCGAAACGAGATCCCCATCTTCTCCAACACGATGTCGTTGGCGAGATCCCACCCATCGATTGGGCCGACCACAAAGCCGTCGAGGAGAACATCGTAGCCACGTTGTTGGAAGTGGTTGGACACCGTCTCTACACATTGATAAACCTTATTAGAACCTTATTGGAACCTTATTTGTTTCATAATAGGAACCGTATTGGAACCTTATTGGAATCTTATTGGGATCTTATTGGGATCTTATTTGTTTCATAATGGGAACGAGATAAAGGGAGCGGTATCTATTGGGCAGGGATCCCAGAAAGAGGCCGATTGGCGACGCGCACAAAGAACGCCTGGTCGTGTGTTTCGACTCAATTTCACCACTACAACAAGACCTATTTTTCAAAATTTTTTCCACCATATAGTGAAAGAGTTTCGCACCCACTGATTCACTGAAAGTGTACTTTTTTGGCAGGCGCGCCAAAAAAAGGCTCACTTTTTTGTGTAAAAATGTACATACGGTATAAAAATGTACGTACGGTATAATGGCTATTAATGGCTATTATACGGTAGTTTGAAGGGGAAGAAAAACCCCTGCGCTTCATCGCCACTCATTGATTACCGTAAATGATTCAAAATGAATCGAACCGACTTGATGACAAAATGAAACGAACAGCACGAAAGCTTCCCCACCTCACTTTCAACTTTCGCATTCCCTTTGTGCATCCCCTTCACGGGGATGCGTTCCAAAATTTGCTCAAGACACTTTTACAAGGTCTTGGGGTTAATGCTAACCTCAAACTTGGGTAATTAAACCGAAGTGGGAGATCTCTGTCGCGCTATGTGTAGAGGTCGTAGGCCAGTAGCCGCTTTTTCCTACGAGACACACAAAAGGTGCACACAGTCGCGTCGTCTCGCGTCTCTTCGGTGATAAAAGATCTCTCTTTCTTTCTTGGTAGCAAAATGTAGCAATATGTAGAATAGACAATGAATAAGGAATAGATAAAGCGAGAAGCTTGAGAAGCTCAGCATGTCTCAACAGAATTTTCGAGATTGGTTTGAATTTGAAGCTTAATATCAAATTGAATCAGTTTGATACTAAATCAGCATCATTTTCCTTTAATGATTAGTTGTATTTGCGATCGAGTCGACTGTTGATTTCTATCACAAATTCGCAAAATCACTGGGAGAGTCTTGTGAAAGAAATAGGCAGCGAATCGTTTCCGTTTAAACATTTCATTCAACATTTCAAGATTCGCTCTCTCAAATTTCTCCTCAATCTCTCGAAATGGGGTTCTGAATCCTCTCAAATGGTTTTCACGACTCAACCGGTGATTTCCGACTTTATTTTTCATTTTACTAATCAATTCTTTCAAACGTTTCACTTGATGCCGAGTTTTCACTTCAATATTTTGACTCTCCGTTTCACAAATGTAAACATTTACTGGATGAGTGGGTAATTTGTCAAAAATTTCTCCGATTCCATCAAATAATTGTCGTTCGTGTACGAGGTGGTGAATGCAAAATTTCGCTTTGATATTCTTTAATTCATTGCTCAAAAAAGTTAAAATAAAGAACCGAGCATGAGTTTAGTGAATTTCTTGTTAGAAAGGTTTCCAAATTTTCATTCTCAGGTGGGTTTTGAAGAAAAAACGAGCTGACGAATGGACAGTGACCTCCCAAGAGCCGTTCAATTGTTGAGATTTTATCGATTTTAAGATTTTTCACTGATAAAATTTTCGGGAAAACTTGATGAGTTTTTGACGCTTTTGAGTTATCGCTTAGTTTCAGAGTGCGACAAGAGCGAATCATGGAAAGCATAAAGAAGAGAAAGTGTTGAGAATCGAGGCTCAAATTTGGACCAAAGAAGCAGCGAAAGTTTGTGTCATCAATAAAGCGACCAATCGAAATTCTTTCTTGATCCTTAAACAATATTGATGCTGTTATTTCACTTAACGAATTAAGATGAAAGCTGACCATTTCCAGACGTTTTGGAAAGAAACCAATCTTCAGAAAAGCCTTTCGACAAGCTTTTGTTGCATAAAAAAGTTTAGGAGTGGCCGAATAGTGAACAAGATCAAAAATCACCATTTTTAGTTCATTTGGCAAAGATGTAAAGTTAAATTTCTGCATTTTAGCTGGGGATTTAAGATTTGAGAACTTGAATAATGCTTGAAGATGCTTTTTTGTCAAACACACTGAGTGACTAGGAGTGTCTTGTTGTCTATTGAAAAGAAAGCCAACAATCTACTGCTCAACATCCACATTTTAATATGTTCAGTTGGAAGAACAACGAATTTTACCGCAATCCTTCTAGCTTATATAATTTTATTTTATTTTAAACCAAGACAAAGAAAGCATTCCGTCTCAAAAACCAATAATTAAATTAGTTTTCTTTTCAGGTATTGCTTTTTCGAACCGTGAAAGTTCATGAAACTATTGACAAGTACAGAGTGCGACGAAAGTTCTGTCATTTTTAAAATTCTCTTTAATTCTCTCTAATTGTTATTATTTCATAAGTATTTATAGCCAAAAGATAGCCAATTTTTCACAGACTTTAAATCTTGTTACCGTTTTTAAATAGCTCCTTTAGATTTTGAGTTATTACAATTTACGCGAGCTCTGTGGTCGCACCGGTTATTACAAAATATTGGACGCATTCAGGATAAAAGTCATGCACATTTCAGTCATACACATTTCCTCAACTCAACTGTCCCTTGTGCATATCTTTGAGAGAGATATCTAAAGAATTTGTGACAAATGCATGCTTTATTGTGTTGGAGCCAAACTCAAATGTTTTTTTTTACATACGTCCAAGTGTTTAGAAAAACTCTGATAGTCAAATAGAAAATAAGTTTCATAATTCAAAATATTATGACACTTTCTTCTTGAAAAGTGACTTTTAAGGCTTTCAAAAGCTGCTCAGACTTATTATTTTTTGGAGTTTCTAATTATATTTATAATTATCTACTTTTTAAGAAAAGTTGACGGTTTTTTTGAGAGAAATAACTTACAAAAAACAGAATTCAAAGTTCTATCAATGAGAAAATGAATTTTGCTGACAAAATGTGTCCACAAAGATAAAAAATTCCCCAAAAACTGTCTTTTTTCTACCTTTTGCCTTAAATTCAATTTTTGTAGCTAATAGCTCAAACGTCAGCTAAAGATATTGAATATTCACGCCCACGTTATGCTCAGTGACTATCACGATCTTTGGGGCTATTTATTTGGACTCATTTCTAGAGTACAATTTATCTGTATTCTAAAAAAAAGGGTTTTTGTAGGTCTTTTTGTGTGAAAATTAGTTTAATTGGAGATCAGCCACAGATTGTGAAATCTCATGAGGCCAATTTTTATTCTTAACCTTCAATCTTTCCCTTTGAAGAACTTCTTTAAATTTAAATTATTAGTTTCGCAAATATGAAAGGTTATTTTTTTTGATCATTTTTAAAACAACAGAACAATTTATTTAAACACTTTCAAAATCAAATGTATTCACCACAAGCATTAATAACTTCTTTCCAACCCAAATCACGAATGCCGCCCTCGTAAAATTGAAGATTTTTAGTGGTAAAATAGTTGGCAACCCAATTTTCGATGTCCTGCTTTTGCTTGAACTGCTTTCCATAAACCGCTTGTTTCATAGACCGAAAGAGGTGGTAACGATGGGGCTAGGTCAGGGCTGTATGGTGGGTGAGGAAGGAGATTTATCTATCTGTTTTATCCATCCCAACTTATCTATCTGTTGAAACCTTTGAAATGTGTGGCCTAGCATTGTCGTGAAGAAATCTGACCTTTGATGGATCGATCCGCTTTTTCCTCAGTGCTCGATCGACTCGACCCAGTTGTTCTGCATAAAGTCTTCCATCAACAGTCTCGCCTATATCCAATACTTCAAAATAAACCAATCTCTTAGTATTCCACCACACACAGAGCATAACTTTCTTCCCGTGTATCGGAGGCTTCGGGATTGGATGAGGGTCTGCTTCGAACTGAGCCACTGTCCATGGAGTTGAATGTTTTCATACGGAAGCCAAGTCTCATCAAATGTCAAAAAATACTTCTAAAAGTCACGATGGTGAGCTTTGGGTAGAAGAAAAGAGCTCAGGGTGACTCGTATGGCTTTGTGGGGATCAGTGAGGTCGTGGGGAGCCATTTCCCGCTTTGATATAATTTCCCCAGAACGTGTAAATGGTTTTCAATGGCAACATGAGTGCATCCGAACTTTTCTGCTAATTTTCTACACTTTTGCGATGGGTCCAAGTCGACCTCGTTCAGTAACAGCTGATGGTCCAAAGTAATCGGTGGCTTTCCATGTGGTGCATCTTCCAATGACTCGTCTCCCGTTTTGAAGCGATCGTCCCAAACATAACATTGTTTGTAAGTAAGAGCAGCTTCTCCAAAAACAGTAAAAATGTTCTGATGGCATTCCGTAGCTTTCTTGTTTAACTTGAATTCAAAGAATATGGCAGCCCTGATTTTAAATTTTTGGTCATCCATCTTTGTCGAGCTGAAACAATACATTTTGTTATAATGTTATAATGTTACAAACAATACACACAAACAACAAAAACAACAACAACAATACAAACAATATTATTTAAAACAAAAAAAAAACATAAGCACATTTTGACATATTATTGAGAAAAATCCTAGACAGCGAATGTTCCTCGTAACGACAGGGCAATATTTTTTTGTAAAAAATGACCTTTCATATTTACCAAGCTAATACTTTAAATTTATCTCATTACAATTGAATTTCTTAAAAGCAGTTTTTCTTTTGCTGCAAGTTTCGTTGTTCAGATATTTCATAGATTAAAGTTTAAGCAGTCTAATGAATAAAAAGAGTCATATTTACCGACAATATTATGTCCGACTCTGGAAAGTTGGACATAACATTGTAGGTAAATATGATCCGGTCGATCTGGCCCGGTCAATCTCATAGAAAAGACAGAACTGACGACCGACTTGGGCGCGGTGGTGTGACCCATGTAAATCCATACATAGTAAAGCATGGCAATAAAGCATTTCATAGCATTCTCACTTGATTTTCTCCTAAATATCTAAAAACCATCTCTTCAAACATCTTCAAACTTATTAAGTTTTGAATTCAGAATTTGAATCCACAGACAACTTTACAAAAACTTGTTTGCTTTGTTTTCTATATTTCTTGAAAAACAACAGCAACCAAAAACGACCAAACCTATTTATCAACAAGTATGAGCAACTTGATCTTGACGACACTTGATCCAAACAGTGAGGAATGCACGTTTGCCGTTGAGATGATGAACGATTGGACAATGGAGATTTTTCAGGTGTTTTTTCTTGGCCAAATTCGTGAAATGTTTTCTTTTCTAGGTTTGGCATATCATCATGTCAACGATCTCTTTCTTCTCTCTTATCTATGTGTATTTGCGCTATCGGAAGAAACTGTTACTGTTTCATGTGAATGCATCGGTAGGCCTATGATGATCACAAGACCATCCTGTCTTGGCCAGAAAAAAAAGGAGTTGGTGCTGGCTTGCATTGGCCTAACTTTTTTTCCAATACTGCGTCAAGGTTGATATGACGGCGAAACAAATAGTATTAATTTGTGGATTCTCTGTGATGCGTACATGAAATCTTTTTCTTTTAAGGGGTATTTGGAAACGAAATTTTAATTAGTTGCACTTTTAAATAGCACCTTAACTGAGAGTCCAATTCCACTCCATTTTATTGCTTCAGATTTTAATAGTGTTGCTATGTGCTTTCACGGTTATACACGATGTTTGTTTGGCTATAGTTGCGGTGAGTCTCAAGCTTTGGTGTCTAATATTAGGTTGTCTCCTAAAAACCCAGAGATTTTTTCTTTTGATCAGTACTCGCTCACAACACAACTTTTTGTATTTACTTTTTTTTCTTTTTCATGCTAAAATTTCTTCTTTCTTGCACTAACATTCATTTTTTAGGGATCGACACGAGAAGGGAGTTGCAGTTAATCGAATGAAGCCAACTCAAAGAGAAATCCACGCCTAACTGCTCCAACGATTTTCAAGAGGGAGCGGCCAAAGCAGCACAAAAAATCAATCAATTTCATGGCAATAGAATCGTTGGAACGGGTACTGCGCAAGAATGGTTTCACCAATTCAAGACCAATTCAGGAGCACGAGGATCAAACGGAAGAGGGAAAGCGACTGATCTCGGAAAGTGGATCGATCAATTCTGAGGCGCCGACTTCTGCAAAACCCCAATGGATGAACCCGGAAATTGGTTGGACGTTACTGTGGACGAATGACTGTGTGGCGATGGCTGCGAAAAGTGGTAAGAAATTGGAGAAAACAACGCCAAGTCCCATATGAAATGGAAACAATCCAAGGAAAAAGCATGCGGACATGTCGCCACTTGTGGAGCGAATACCGGCATGATCGGCTTCCTCTTTTGAACATCATCACTCACGATTAAATATAGACTTACAGGTTTTCTAAAATGATCGAGTTTTACAACGGCAATGGTTGAAGAAAAGGCAAGTAGCAAAAATGGTGCCAAAACTGAACAACAAAGAAGCGAATGTTGTGTGTCACTGGTGTTTGACAGGCGTCCTTTTCTTCTCACTTCTCAAACTTCTCAAACCGAGGCAAAATTTCAGCACCGATGTTTATCTACGTCATATGCAAAAAGTGAAGAAAACAAGTCCGGAGGTTGCTCTATGGAAACAAATGAAACGGCCCCGTTTCCGTTCTTTAGGATGGCGCAAGCCCCCAAAAATCCCTAAGCCCAAAAATCAGAAAGATCGATCGATTTTGTAAAGAACAACCTACACTAGAATATCTTTCCTCGTCCACCGTATTCTCCGGGCGTTTCCCCTTCTGACTATCACTTGTTCTTGTCGCTAAAGGATTTCTTACGTGGTAAAAAGTTCAAAGATGAGAAGAAACTCGAGGACAGATTGGACGACTATTTTCGCTTGCGTCCGCTTGGATTTTACGAATGACAGATTGGCAAGCTACCCAAATGCTAGAGAAAAGTTAGAAATTCATCTGGAAAATATTGATTGAAAATATATTGGTTCCGATTCTTCATTGTTTCTATGTGTTGTAAATAAATGAAGTTCAAAATCTCTGGCTTTTTTATGGGACAACCAAATAGGCATGTAACCGATCAGTTAGTCGATCGACCCTAGAACGGATCAATGCCGATCAACTGGAGCTCAAAAAAAAGGGCTGACCGATTGGCTTCACCGACAGAATTACATGTCACCGTTTACTCTTATATTCTTCAGGGTCACAACGTTTTGAGTTTTCTCGTCCACAGAAAAGATTGTAATGGTTTATTATTCGCGGCATCCAACTGTTTCCCATTGAGAATGGCGTTTTATTTTGGAATATATGGTAAGCGGTGGATTGATGAAATAAATATAAAGTTTCACTTTTTAGGTCAAACAATTGCTTTACTGGGTATTGCAATTGAGCGGCTTTTTGCAATTTCAATGGTCAATCGCTACAAATTTGTCTCTTCGACATTAGGCTTTTCAATAGCTGCCACAATGGTGGGTTCTGTTGGCGTAATTGGTTATTCTACAGGGTGTCTCAAAATTACCCGGACAACTTTTGGAAAAGCTTTTGGACGCTTAATTTGTTTCAAAGTGTCAAGTCATATATAGAGAATTGTAGTCCTTAATCTTGGCTACATTTATCTACTAAAAACTTTCCAATCGGATTTATGCAACTCATTTAACAAGGTCTTGAATAAGCCCTAGCCGATCCCTGGCATGCTGCGATTTTTGACGAGTATTCACGTGAGTATCTTGTTATATTAGCTGTTATAGCGCTATAAAATTTTCGGAAATAGTTTTTTAAAGAAAATCCACACAAAGTTTAATGGATGAATTCCTTTTTAGATAAAATTTTTATGTAGAAAATCGTCAAAAATCGCAGCGTGTCAGGGATCGGCTAGGGCTTATTCAAGACCTTGTTAAATGAATTGCATAAATCCGATTGGGAAGTTTTTAGTAGATAAATGTAGCCAAGATTAAGGGCTACAATTCTCTATATATCAATTGACACTTTGAAATAACTTAAGCGTGCGGCAACTAGTTGGCCAAAAAGTTGTCCGGATAATTTTGAGATATTTTCATATTTTCATTGTATTTTCATTTTTTTTTCAGATTTTACTAACTTTATTCCTTGTTCTCTATATTCAAATTCATGAAGACCCGACCGAACTTCAATTCAACTGTGGCTCGAACACTCAAACAGCGAATGATGCCTCGGGAGTGGTCAACACGATTCTCATTGTCATCGCCGTTCTCACTCTGCTTATTTACTTCCTCGCATTCTTTAAAGCAAGAACCTATGTGAGCTTGTGAGTTTTTGAAGTTATTTCATGTTCCTCTTTCTTTTGTATTGCCCATAATTAAGACTAGACTTGGCTAATGAAAGTTAACGAGACAAATGGGTCGCGCAACTTCAGGCGCTTGATCTAGCCTCCAAAGTATCGGATACCAATTTATCGGATATATCTCTAGAGTATCGGTTTCCAGAGTAACAGATTTTTTATTTAAAAGCCAACCCTTTAAGCTATCTAACGATACCCATCACTAATATTCTTCTTTTAAAAAAGTGGGTCAAAAACCTTATCGAGACTTAACGAGATAATCATTAGATAGCTTAAAGTCTTGGCTTTTAAATAAAAAAGTTCTTTGGAATTCGATACTCTGGAGGCTAGTTCATTAGATAGCTTAAAATCTTGGCTTTTAAATATTAGGTTGGCAAGAAAGTTCGTGGCAAAAAGTTTGCTCTCTGATTTCTCAAAAACCAATTCAAGTGAGTAAGAACGTGCAAATCTTTCTGGAAACACTTTTTGAGCTTTCTGCAAGATCGTTTCGGTTATTGAGAGGTGAGGAAAGCTATTGGGATTAGAATTGGCCTGGGGGGAGCACGAGGTGGAGAAAGGGAAGGGACCGAATCATTTTTTTCTAAGCGCTCATACTTTCTAAGAATACATTTTTGGTATCAAAAAATAGCCTTGAATTTCAGTTATTTTTTGATACCTAAGCGCGCATTGTAGCATAAGCCAGTGTCGAGAAAAACGCGTTCAAAGCTAGACTACACAACACTCCGCACCGTCATTATGGCGGTGGGGTACTATTACAGTATTTACGGTATGTGAAAGATGAAATTGTCTATTCATTCAAGGATTTATATTAGATTGGAAAGAAAGTTCTCGGAAAAAGTTTGCACGGTCATTTCTCAAAAACCAAGCCATGAATTCCTTCCAGACTTTTTGATAAACTTGATTATTTAAAGTTTATGACAAAAAAATCAGAGTGGGCTTCAGGTCAAAAATAAGAGATTTCTTTAGCTGAAGTTCCTTTTCTTTAGCTAAAAACTTGGTGACTTTTTGAGTGGCCAGCCTTTAGACAAGTTTTTAATGGGTTAATGAATAGGCAATGGGTTCCATTCAAAACCTAAAATCAAGTACTTAAAAGAGGGGAAAATTTGTGATTAAGGCAAATTTTATCTAATGCTTTAACTTTTCAGAATCACATATTTTAGCGAACACTCAGTGTCGAGAAGATGACACAAAAAAGTTATTTTTTGAAATAAAGCTTCTCTGTAAAAAATTTTTGGCCTAAAATAGAGATTATAGAGCGTATTGCTCATTTATGCTAGCTTTACCTCATAAGGAATCGTTTTTTTGGTGCAAAAAGTAAGATGAATTTAAGCTGGAAAATAATAACTTTTCAAAAATCTCTAAATTTTAAGGGAAAGCTGCACTCATTTTTTTTACGAGTAATTTCTTGGAGTCGACCTGTAAATAATAGGACAAAGTGTTCTTGAACTGATGGATTTGTTTTTAAAAAATTCGAGTCAAACGCTTTCCGAGAACCTTTTTTATTAGGTTGGAAAGAAAGTTTATTGGAATTCGATACTCTGGAGGCTAGATCAAGCGGCTGGAGTTGCGCGACCCATTTGTCTCATTAACCCTCGTTAGGCAAGTCTAATTAAAACCCTCTCGCCTATAATTACGGCCAGGACGTTTGATAGTCTAACACTATAATTTCGTAATGATTTGGATTACAATATGGATATCAAAAAGATTTCAAAACTGTTTTACACTAATCGCGAGCTATTCGTTTCTAGGTATAAACGGATGTGGACTAGAATTTGGGTTAAGTTAAAGAGAGTGGATCCCTTTTGATATCCCACCATCTCTAACACCCCGACAACCCAACTCAACTCCTCCAACGTATTAGAGGGGAGTCCCTGTGAAATGACCGACCTGTACTGCAGTTGCATAGACCCGGAAGATACGTATCTTTATTTACAGTAATAAGATGAATAGATTACAAATGAGTGTAAGGGGAAGGGGGACTCCAAATGATAGTCTCACTTGTCCTCCTAGGCAATCCCAAGGACCGCCCCTTCTCTGCAATAAAAGGGATAAGCACAGGGGAGGACACATTTGCATAAGAATAGACAAATCAATAACAATAGTAACTAAAATATCAGTTTGGCTCGGAGCTGACAGAGCACTACTCTTTAAGAACTCGGGATGCTTAAAAGTATGGCTTTGGTAATGCAAGAAAAAATGCGAATTCGTACGGAGAAATGCGAATTTGTATTCTTTGTAGATTACACCATTTATGAGAATTGTTTTGTCTTTTGAAATTTCTCTATGCCAGTCTGTTTTTTAGTAAATCTACCGAAGCTTATCAAGATCTGTCCACCGAGGAACGCTATCAATATTCCGAGACGAAATCAGTGATCACCCTACTCTTGCCTTTAGTCTTAGCAAATGTGATTATAATCGGCGTTTCAACGATCATCACTCAAATCATCATTTCCATTTGGGTGTCCACCGGGCAGAACTTGTTCCTGTTGATGGTCGAGCTTTATGTGAGTCAGGGAAAGGATGACTAGAAAAAAAACTAGTTCTTTTAGATTTTACCGTATTATGCTCTGATGTTGCCACCATTTTTGGTGTTTATGATGAAACGAATCGAACGCCGGCGCCGAGTGATCATTCAGAGAATGATCAAAAATCAAGGTCTCTACGAAAAAGTGAGCAACTTTCTGAGAGAGATTTTGAACTGTTCGTTTTCCGATGTCATTGGAAGCAATGATCACGGCTTGGCAAGTGGAGAAAAGTCCTCAATCGCCAACATTCATTCAAGCAGCTACAAGCAAGAACTTCTATGTGTCCACAAATCAGATCTTTCCAACAAAACATTAGCATTTATATATAGATAAAAATAGTGGCCGTTGCTTAGTTAGAAAGTCGTTTTTGATGTACTAGTTTTGATTTACTTAACTAACATTATGCGTTGCCGTTGAATACTTATACATAAGTGAAATAAAGTTAAGAAAGAAAAGAGAAGGGAAGCTCAAAAGAGATTTTTGAGCTCTCTGAGACAATTAGAGCTGTAAAAGTTTGCTTGTGTTTGAGTCGTAATTTGGATGGTTCTTTCAGCTCGCGTAACTAATGCTGTTTTATCATTTTCAGCTATATAACCTTTTTTGTAATTGTAATTGCAGCCAAAAAAAGAATTCAGTTTTTTTACTTTAAAACCTTTTTTTTTTAATTAGAAAATTTTCTAACAAAAAGAAACTTTATACTACTTTCGATTTCTGGTCACCGCAAAATTGTTCTCTTCATGCTTTTGCCATTCGAGCAACACTGGAATTGATTAACAAAAGATTAATCTTGTTTTCTTGAAAAATTCAGGGCTGCAGCCATAACTTCTTCTTGAATTGTTGTCGTTGAAAATATTTTCAAATTCGGAAATTATGTCCTATGACTATTAGACAACAATTATGGCAATTTGCATTAACTTAATACATTAACTAGCATTACATTAACTTTTAGCACATACAATTCGATTCCTTGAAAGAAGTGGCAACAGTTCCATTTGCCTTCAATCATTCGACAGCCATCCCAATGACAAGCACTAATAGTCGACACCGGTTTTTTGACAACCATTTTTCCTCTATTTGGTCGTCTTGTTGTTGTTGTTTTGACGCTTTTTCTAGAGATAACTTTGCACTTTTTTTAAGAAATAATCCTCGAAAATACCTATGAATATTTGACTGATGAGAAACGAATTTCGAGGAGCGGCTTAGGGCTCGGATAGGTTTTGAAGTCGCTGTGTGAACAGGTCGCGCGCGGACAGATTTCTTTGTGGATCTGTAGAAGAAAAGTTTTATATCTAATTAGTTTAATAATTAATAATAATGTTAATTATTTTTTTATGATTAATAAAGCTTAAGAGTTATTAAAGCTGACCGCAGAAGTTTACTAGTGAGAGCGTTTCCCAAAAGTTCATTCCTAAGCTCTAGCTTAGAAGAAGCTTTGTTATTGATGCTTTTAGTTACTATTAGGTTAGTACATATGAAATAGCATTCTGTAAGGATCACTGCGAGTTTTTTATGCTCTAATTTGGATCACCATGGATCTCTTTCATTTTTTGATATTATCTAGACAAGTGAATTAGATTAGCATTCTGTAAATTCAATGTTTTCTCAGATCCGTCATTTGACCCACCTTGGCGCGCAATGTACCGCCAAAATAAAGGCAAATAATAAGAAAATAAGTGTAAATTTCATTTTAAAATACTTTCAGGACAGAATATGTAAACGTACAGGTTCAATGATTAAAAGATAGAGAAAAGTGAAAATTGTCTGGTGATAACTAGTGAGACCGTGGAAATCGGCGAAACCAGTTCCCAAATTTGGGGGTTTTTCCTTTTCATACTTATCCAAGCAATCATTGAACACACCTTTCGCCATTTTTTTTTCGAAAAGTAAACGCGGAAATGATTTGATTGATATACGGAGGAGGGCTAGCCTGTCGAAACACTAGTGACATTCATAAAAAAAAACGATTTTTTTTAAAGCGATCTTTGTGAATTGTTTTGAAAAGAGACAAAAATTACATGAAAAAGTGTCAAAAAGTGACCAAAAAGTAGATACGAATTGAAAGCATTTGAAAAGGTAAAATTAGATTTCAAACTTTCTTTAACATCAGATGAATCGGAGTATTGGGTTGATGAAAAAGTCCTTTCCGATTTTTTGGGAGAGTACCTTAAATTTGTCCAATTTTGACGTTTTATAGCTCATCCTAAAGCTGAATTCAAGACGGATCGATTGGTAAAAACCGTTTTGAGATATCTCTTTTCTAAAAGTTTTTACAGCTATTTTAGTAAAGGGCGGCAGAGCCAAAAAATGACTGTTTTCACGTTTCGTGAGTTTTCCGTGCAGAAACCTAGGCTAAAAACATGTGTTTCGTGATCAGCGCCAAGAATAACCCCTAGACATGCATTTTCAGAATCTTAGCAAAAAAGTTTTGAAAAATATTGTCACCGGTGGAAGTCGAACCAGCGACCCTCAGATCAATAGCCTTTCCGCCGCTTTTCGCGATTTTCCTTCGTTTTTCTCGTTTTTTTTTTGTTTTATCATTTTTTTTGATGTTGTTAGAAGGCTTTTTTCAGGAATGTCGTGTCAAGTTGAATCGGAGGAGCACCGGCGACACCTGTTTTTGTATGCATTCAACCGAAAACTCAATGCCGCACAGGCTCATCGAGAGATCACTGACGTTTATGGACCCGATTTCGTGACCGAACGAACTATCCGGAATTGGTTTCAAAGATTTCGTGAAGGAAATCTCTCACTTCTCGATAGTGCAAGAACAGGAAGACCATCGGAAATCGACGAAGACAAACTGGCTGATTTGGTTGATGAGGATCCTCGACAAACGAAAAACAGGAAAGGACTTTTCCATCAACCCAATAGATTAACGGAAAATTTCGTTCTATCGGTTATCGAATCTTTTTCTTTTTTTTCTGGAAAAAAAAACGATAACAATTTGTATGCTGGGATTTTCGGGGTCGGCGAATCGATTGGCAGTGTTATTTTATTGCTTAATATATAGAAAAAGGCTTTAATTTTCAATTTTTTAGAGTTCTTGCTTAGAATTGTTGTAGATTTGCTGTCTAGAAATGTTAGACTTGATGTTTTTCTTAGATTTGATGTTCAGAAATTTAGATTTGCGGTCTAGAAATGCTAGATTTGATGCCCAGAAACTTTTGAAAGTCTCCTTTTTGTGACTATTTGTGATCAAACGTTGGTTTAGATTCAAATAAGATAAAATATTTAACTCAGCAATTCCTTTTCTGTTCTTGCTGATGTAGATTAGAAAGCTTCTCTCTCAAAAAAGCCTTTCCAAAATGAGGCTAAACTACCGTAGTTCCGTAAATGGTCAAGTGTCAACGACAAACGTCAATGTCAACGCACTTGTTTCGAAAGCGAATGGTTGTCGGGTCGCGAATTCGACTCCTGCAAGAGATATCGACTCCAAGAAAATGCACTGATTGAGATTTGCAAAGACAGTTTAGAATTATATATTAAACAATTATATATGTTTCAAAAAACTAACATAAAAACACTAAACTTCACTAAAAACTTGATAGTAAAATGTTTGAAAAGAAAGATTGACCGCCCCTTTTATAAGAATTCGAAAAAAGATAGCTGATAGATAGAAAAAGATAGAAAGATAGCGATCAGAAAGGCTGATACCGTATTTTCTGTAATGGTAGTGCGCACTACTATTTTTTCAACCCCCCTCCTGCCTGCACTACTATTACAGACTGCACTACTATTATAGACTGCACTACTATTACAGAAAATACGGTAACTTAAAGCGCGCGCTTTAGAACACCGTGTTTGAGGTTTATTAATCAAATTAAAATTTCTTTGCTTTTAAGTTTGCTCAGTTTTGTTTGAATAATTATTTGTTTGAAAGGAACACACTCTAATTTGGATGAGCGAAGAATGGTGATGGTATCAAGTTGGAGTTAAGCTGATAACTTAAACCGACCTCGTAACAATTTTCCACATCCAAAATGAATTTGTACTTACAAATGACTCACCTCTTTAGAGTGAGCACCGGTTCGGCTAGAGGTTCGGTGGGATTGGTCGAGCTGGGCGTGGATCCGTGGTCGAGCTGGGCGTGGATCACCTCTTTAGAGTGAGCACCCGTGGATCACCTCTTTAGAGTGAGCACCGGTTCGGCTAGCGATTCGGTGGAATTGATCGAACTGGGCGTGGATCCGGGGTCGGATTATTACCACGCGGAAAATGGCCGCTAGAAATCCCAAAATTTCCCATGCAAATTTGGCGGAAAATCACCGAAAAGCTTACTTCTATGGGATGGGATTTTGCTTTGAAACAATTGACTAATTGTAATTGACTGTATAATGTGGAAAACACCGGCCAATTGCATAATCAAGTCTCAAAATATAAAATGAATCAACCTCCGAATTGGTTCGTGTTCTTTTTTTTTGAGTCAAACTTTTTGTGCCCTCAATTTTCACAGAGTTCAAATTTTTCAACAAGTAAAACTTGTCGAATGCTGTCGAGTGCTTTTCTCAATAGATAACTTAAAAGTTATCTATGTTTGCCAGAGTCAAAAAGTCGAGTAAATAGAAAAGTTTGACGTCTTTTTTCCGGCCAGCTCTTTCTATATTTGAAGGCGATTAATTAAAGAGATTATAAGAGACGACACTTTACACGATGACCACTGAAATACCTCGAACCGACGACAAAAGCTTTCATTTTTCCCAGCTCATCAATTGCTTTTCTATTGCTTCCAAATCACCAACCCCACCTCCACCATATGGTTCGGTTTTTTGCTTGAAAACAGTAACTTTTTCTCATTTTTGATTAGCTATTTGAAAACATGCAATCGGCAATAATTAAGTGCGCTTTTTTTGGTGATTTTTAAAATGAAAAGTCTTTCAAATGACTAGTTTAGATTCAGCTTTAATGTATGAAATGAAATATCTGCCACAAACGAACATTGCTTTATTACATATTATTTAATACCGTAAATACTGTAATAGTACCCCACGCCCATAATGACGGTGCGGAGCGTTGCGTAGTCTAGCATTGGACGAGTTTTTCTCGACACTGGCTTATGCTACAATGCGCGCTTAGGTATCAAAAAATAGCCCTGAATTTCAGCTATTTTCTGATACCAAAGACGCATTTTTTGAAAGTACGGGTGCTTTGAAAAAAATGAAATACTAAAAAACTTTTGCGACTACGCGACTGTACGAGAGGGGTAGGGTACTATTACAGTATTTACGGTAGGTATTTTAGGGCATTATTTAGATAGCTGGCGAAATGGCTCGATCATCTCTCTACCGCCACCATTGCCAGCTCACCGGAAAGTGGCCAGATTAGTGGCCAAAGACGGAAAACCTCTTCTGGATCCAAAACATATGCCAAATTTGTTTCGAGTCGTGCGAAAGTGAGTCTAACAAGGGAAGGCCAACTTGATGTGTTGACCAAATGATATGAGCAGAATCATAGATCATTCGACGCAGAATTTCATGCTGATCATGCTGATCTGCTTCTCTTTTCTTACGGAGCACTTTGTCGAAAGTTATACGCATTTAAAGTTTTGTAAGGAGTTTCAGAAATCAAACCGCGACATTAGAACCCTGTCTTCCGCGGCCAGCTGCAGCAGTAGGCGAGTGAGGACGGCGTAGAGAGTTAGGACACAAGGCGAGGCCTCTCTGGTTCGAGTCGGGTAGCTGATTGTCTTTTTTTAGGTTTTAATGCCTTGTGTGTTCTCTATCGTCGCACACAATCGTATAACTAAACAAACCAGAGCTAAAAAAACTTCTCTAAAACGGAGACTCCTCTAAAGCTTCTCCAAAACAAAACTCTAAAGGTACCTAAAAAAAGAATCAATCAGCTACCGGACTCAAACCAGAGAGCCATTGCCTAGCGTCCTAACGACTACTACTAGGCCATTGCTGCAACTGCTGAGCTGGTGACAAGGTTGTGATGTCGCGGTTGATTTTTATAAGCTCCTTAGAAAACTTTAAACGCATATAACTTTTGACAGAGTGCTCCTTAGCAGAAACGAAAAGCAGATTCGGAATCAGCGTGAAATTCTGAGTCGAATGGTCATGTGATTTGGCCAGCAAATCCAGTTGCCCTTCTCTTGTAAGAAGTGTTTATAAAAAAGACCTTTAACTTTGTATTTCAGAAACTCTTTTCTCTTACTGGTTGAACAAAAATGGAGAGCCGTTCTTTTCTTTTGTACGTTAATATTTGCGCTTTCTTGGATCATCTTTGCAGTGCTCTACTATTTGATTCTTTTGATTATGGTCAGTTGAACATAAAAAAGAACTTTGTCTATTTTTCGAATTAAGTCAAATAGTAAGATTAATCCAAAAACTGTTGCTTTTATTTATTCGAGTTTTTGTTAGAGGCAAATTAACAGAGCCATATTAAACGTAATGAAAAAGCCACACTATTCTTTGTTGAGCTCTTATGGCTCAGGCTCTTATGGCTCAGGCTCTTATGGCTCAGGCTCTTATGGCTCAGGCTCTTATGGCTCAGGCTCTTATGGCTTTTTGTGTTTACTAACAATGAAACTTACTATTGTGTTAGCTAAAAATGTTACAGTTACAAGCCGGCATATTCTAGAAGAAATCTGCCCAGAGAAACCATAAACACTTGTGTTTTCAGAGCAAAAACAAGCATTTCTATCTCTGTGTTTTCCCTTCACACTCAAAAGTTTCCAGAATGGGAAAGCGGTGCCCGATCCGACGACCGCGTGCGGAGTCAGCGGTACTCCCTGTGGTGTCGACGCAAATGGAACAGTAGATGATCCAGTGAGTGGCTTAAGTGAATGTAAATGTAGTGAATGCACTCTTGCGCATTCAAGGGCAATAAAACTGAACAAAACTTTGATCTGACTAACAGGCACATGAAATGAACTTTTTCACACCTTACATCAAGTCATTTTTTATAATTTCAAGCGGTACTTGTCGATTTTGAGGTGCTAGCAAAAGCGCCGCATTTTTTGTGCCCTAATTCTTTACCCTAATTTTCATAAGCGTAAATTTGCGCTAAAATCTTTTGCCCAAATTTACACTTATGAAAACCCTGAAAAGTGTGAAAACAATTTTCCCGGTAAAATGACAACGAGAAATCGACAAGTACCGTTCAAGCTTTCTTATTGGTTCAAAATCTTATTGGTTCTTTCAGAACACAAGAACATGCATCGCCAATGTGGACACACTGCTGGATGCTCTATTATTTAGCATTGAGACACAGCACACAATTGGTTATGGATACAGGTGACTCGTATTTGTCAGAGTGAGCTCTGTATCGAATTTTAACCATTTCATTCTTTTGAGATCCTTTTGAACTTTCTTTTCACAATTCATCTTTTCAGATACATCACAACAGGCTGTTGGCCTGGCTATCTTTTATGGATGATTCAGTTGATTGTTGGCTACTTTCTGCAAACAGTTCTTGTTTGTGTGATCGTCGCAAAAGTGGTCCGTCCAAAGAAGAGAAGAGAGGTGAGTAGATGGAAAAAGTTGTTGACGGCTTACACTGCTCTTTTGATTAAGTAAAAACACATTTTCTAGCCTATATCGCAAAATTTTGACTTGAAATTACTATCACAAAACATCACGGAATATTGGATTTTTTTTGAAGAGTTACTCCAGGAAATCCGCTTCTCGAAAAGAGCCGTCATTGGTGAGTTGGATGACGATGATTGTCGGCCAACTCTAATGATACGCATGGCCGATATTCAACAGGGTCTCAATCTCACAGAAACGCACGTCAAACTCTACATGGCCACATGGAAAACGAACAAGGTGAGTGGATAATCAATGAAAAGGAAATCAACTTACTGTTTGTGATTTGAAAGAGATTGGAAAGGTATTCAGATGTTTTTCTAGTGTTTAACTTTGACTTTTTTTTGATTATTTTTGTTGATTGCTCACTAGAGAACTGTTTCAACATAGCATTGAGTTAAGCTACGAGATCTAGTGCATCGGATTCTAGGCAAGATTCTGGGCAAAAACCCAGTTTTAAAATCACCCCAATGAGTCCTTTTACCCGTGTAAAAACACGTTTGAAAATTGGCTTTCTTGCAAGAGATGGGTGAGATGAAAAGGTAAATATTAGGTACTTTCAAAAGAAATTGGGGGTTAAAAAAGCCCGCATATAACGACTTTAAAATGTCTTGCAGAACGGATGCCGCGTGTTGATCGGTCTCCGAGATATGGATGTCGGCTATGATCATGGATGGGATCGAGTGCTTCTCCTCTGGCCAATCACCATTCGGCACATTGTTGACGAAAAAAGTCCCTTATATGGACTCGATGAGAAAAGTTTACAAGTATTTTTGCTTTTCCTGTTAAGCAAAACTTTTTGGCAGACGAATGACTTCGAGCTGATTTTGACATTAGATTCGGGTGTGGAGGCCACCGGAATGACCTTCCAGGCAAGGACTTCTTTTGTCGCTGATGAGATCGATTGGGGATACAAGTGAGTTTTTGTGAACATGGGGAACTTTGACAAACTGGCTTTGGCCTGGGTTAGGCTTGGCCTTGGTTAGGCTCTCTAATCTATTCGGAAATAGATTAGAGTGTGTGCAGAAACTTTAGGAAAGATTTCTGTTCTTTGTACAAGCGATAACCTCTAGCTTATAAGCTTTTCGTTTCTAAATCTCTTTCACTTTCATATGTGTGATCGCTAGATTGATTGAATGAATAATTTATACCACTTTCCATCAAAAATACAGCAAACATGTAATTCCATTGCTTATTTCTACAGAGTATGAAGTGGTAGGACATCTTTTCAGTTTTTCAGTCAGCTTTTATCGTGAGCTGCAAGCTATTGGGTTGGTGAATTGAACTTTGAACTAAAATTTATTCAACATAGAACCATAAATTCATTCCAAATAATTTCCATTATTATTGACGACTTCTGCCGATTTTACAGGCAATTTGCGGATTCCTCTTTCGTAGTAGGATTTTGGTTTGTGTGTGAGACAAGTGTGAGACTCAAAAATAGAGGACTGGGGATGTCCCAGTTTGAACTCTTTCTTCAAAAGAAACCCATTTTGGTGTCAACAAAAAAGTTGTAGAGAATCAAAAATTAGGCTTATAGCCAAATTTCCAAAAAGATACACTTAGTAGTTTCGCTTAAAATACAAGTTTTGTGAAAATTCGTAAATTTGGCATTTCTTGAAAACCAGTTTTTGAATCGTTCTGAAAATTTGGATATAAGCTTAATGTTTGATTCTCTACAACTTTTCCATTGATACCAAAATAGGTTTCTTTTGAAGAAAGTGCTCAAACTGTCACATATGACAATAGCCGGCAGTTTTCAATTCACCAACCCAATAGTTTACATTTTTTAGACTGAAAGGGCTTCCGTATTCACATTATTAGCAAAAGCTTGACAAAATATTCGTTTTAGCTATTTGAAATTTGTGAAAAATGTAAAGAAAACAGATTTTTTTTCAGTTTCTCTCCAATGGTTCGAATGAACGAAAAGAAAAATAAATGGGAAATCGACTACGATCTTTTCGATCAGGTTTCCCCATTTTGTTCAAAAATCTAAGAAAGTTTTTAGGTGGAAAGTTGTGGACAACTCGAAATCGCCTCTCGATCTTTGCCACCAGAAAAGTATCAAACAAAAAATCTCATCGATGGGCCCAATGTTTTACTGAAAAGATCTGGCTTTGTTTAGTATCAGCCATTTACCTCAGCGCACTTATTTTTGATATTTTATTGTACTCTCAACAAAGTTTTGTGTTATATGCAATGATAAAAATAATTATTTGTGATGTTTCTATGCTATTTGGCCGCCAAATCATTGAAAAGCTTGCGTCAAACGACTGGAATTTTGAGGGTCTTCTCGTTGAGTGTTTGCTCAAAAGTTATCTTTTTCTTGATCTGTTAAAATCTTTTAACCAGGGAAGCAAAGTCTTGGGTTCATTCCACTGATAAAAAACAAAAGCTCTATTAACTTATTAAAGCTATAAAATTGCTTTATTATATTAGGGTGTCCAGAATGAAAATACCCTCAACTTCGATTGAAATTTTTTCGGTGGAGCGAACAGCTTCGCGTCTAATTTTTGTTTTGTTTTAAAGTTATGTATCTTTTCTAATTCTGTGTTTTTATAAAAATTTACTGCCTTATAATTTTGGCTTTTTTTAGAATGGGAGATCAGAAGTATCGAATTCGGGTGTGCTTGCTCTACGACTTCAAACAAGGAAAAAGTGTCCGGGAGAGCCATAGTTCAATCTTTAAAGTTTTCGGAGAAGCTGCTTATTCAGAAGAAGTTTGTTAAAAATGGTTTCAACGATTTAGAGAGTGAGACGAAACTCTACAGGATCGAGGACGTGGTCACCCCCTTCAGCGCCCAACGATGACGATCTTCGAGAAGCCATAGAAGATGATCTAACCTTGTCGACTGTCGAACTTTCAACAATGTTTGCTGTAGACCACACAACAATTGCGGGCCATTTCCATCGTTTGGGTAAAGCGAAAATCGTCGGAAAATGGGTACCCGATCAAGGCTAATAAAGTAAATCACTTGATAGTAAATCACTTGATAGTAAATCATGCTCGATAGTAAATCACTTTTGGAGAATCCCTCCAATGGTAAACACGTGTATTTAACGCTTGATAGTGAATCATTAATCTTTAAGCAAAATTTTGCATTTGCAGCTGCAAAATTTACACTTTATTTACTATCCAAGCAAAATATTCAGCCAAACGATTGAAACCGTAGGCGAAAAAGAACATTCAACAGCAAATTCATTCATCCAAATCCATTTCATTACATATTATTAACAGTTTTTTAGTAAGTAAATCCCATAGTGTTGCTTTTCTTTGCCAAAGTTCGCATATTTTACTATAAAAGCTTACAACTGCTTACCGTATTCTCTCTAGGAGTAGTGCGCACTAGAGTTCGGCAAACAAAACCAAAACCAAAACAGACCAAAACCAAAACCAAAACCAAAACACCAAAACAAACCAAAACCAAAACAAAGCAAAACTCAATTTGCATATAAATTAACATGTAAATTTGAAATTGTAAAATGCAAATTTTAATTTAAAATTGTAAAATGCAAATTTTAATGTAAAAATGCAAATTTGCCTTTCGCTTTTTCTCACTCCACAAAATCTCGCGGCCGAAAAAAGGACCAAAACACGACCTCGAAATTTCGAAACAAAAAAGAGCCTATGGGATAGATTTTTGGATGCTGATTTCAAATCTGCAAACAGATTTTCGCTAGCTCCTCCCAGTCGCGAGATATTGGCGAGTTTTGGTTAGTTTTGGTTTTGTTTTTGCTTTTGGTTTTGGTTTGTTTTGGTTTTGGTTTTGTTATGGTTTTGGTTTTGGTAGTTTTGGTTTGGTTAAGTTTTGTTTTCCGAAGTCTAGTGCGCACTACTATTTTTTCAACCCTCTCTCGGACCGCACTACTATTAGAGAGAATACGGTATATGCTTACACTGCTACTTACAATCAGCTGCTATTCAAATTTTCTAGTCATTAAAAACAGTTTTGAAAAGTTGAGTTCTCGCAAAGTCTTGTGTTGCTTTTCTTTTTTTGTTTCTGATTGATTCTAATAACCTTTTCTTTTTAGGTGCGACGATTTTGGATATGGCTACCGAACAATTCAATCGATCTTGCGCAACAAGGCGACGAGTTTGGAAAAATTTGAGTGGGAATTTGAGTGGGAGCTTCCAAAGGGAGAAAACTACTACGCGATGGCGACAACGACGCAATTGAGGAAACACTCTCCCAATGGATTCGAGAAGTTCGAAGTACAGGATTTGCAGTCGACGGACCAACTATTAAGGAAAAAGCACGCGTTTTCGCCAAGAATTTTGGGGACGCTTCTTTCAAGGACAGCGATGGATGGCTTATAAATTGAATTTTGAATGTGTTTGAATCAAGTTTACCAGTGTTTAAGCATTTAAACGTCGTGTTAAAGCCACAAAATGGTATTTTTCAGCTTATTCACAGTGTTTTTGCGAAAAAACGAAAATTTTTCCTCTACATACTTAAAAGATGTCGATGGCTGATTTCAAAGCTCAAGTTCTTTCGCAATTTTTATTCAATACAATTTAAAGTTTTACGACAAATTTGTGCCTCATTGTTGCCTTCTTTGTTCGCCTTTTTGATCTCCTCAAAAATTGGCTTGAATTTTTTCTTGGCCTCATCACAGTCGAGAGTGCAAAGCTGAATTGAAAACGATTCAAAAACAATTATATTTTAAATCATCAACTGTTGAGTGTTCTATTAGATTGTTCGGATATAAACGAGCGTTTGCACTGCTTAACTCGTGAGGAAGTCATTTCCCGGGTCTGATCGTCTTTCCAATGGCGTGGAGATGCTCATCAATTACCATTGTCAAAATGGATCCATTTCTCATCTCCAGTAACGAGAGAATCAAAAAGCCATGATATTTAGCGTGGCGGATGAGGATTCCGGCAATAGCGACCCGTGAAGCCTTTTTTGCACTGCTTAACTTGTGAGGAAGCCATTTCCCACATCTGATCATCTTTCCAATGGTGTGGAGATGCTCATCAATGGTAGAATTTGAACAAAGAAACTGTTGAGCAAGTTCACGCGTCGTTTGACATGGATCCGATCCGATTGCAGCCCTCAAAGTATCGTTGTCTACAGCTTGAGATCGACGAGAGTGTTCATCATCCTCGAGACTTTCATCACCATTCCGAAAGCGTTAGAACCAGGCGTGGCATCGGCTTTCGAACAATACATCATTCCCAAATGCTTTGACCAAATCTCGATGGGATTCTGCGGCTGTTTTGTCTAGTTTGAAGTCGTAAAGTAGACAGACGCGGACTTTATATATTGGGTTGTCCAGTTATGAATGCGCGTTTTTTACTATTCTGTAAATTTCTCAAGATACCGAAATCAAGAAAAAGATATCTATGAGTATTATTCGAAAGCTGAAGATCTCTTCTACATTTTGATATAAAAAGTTTTTGAAATTGTCGAGCTTTTGGGCAAATTGACTGCACAGAAGAAGAGGTGGCCAAAAAATGGAAGAATGCCTTTGGATCAAGTTTTGGCTCCGCTCAAATTGAGTTAACCGTTTGATATTTGGCCAATAGATATATTAATACAAGTTTTTTTTTTAAATATAACAATTTCAGAGCATCTTTTCTTTTCTGGACGGTTATTTTACACCATAAAACTTGAGGAATAGCTAAGCTGGAATGGGTTTTTTCGAAAACGACCTCTCCCTTTGTGCAATCAATTTGCCCAAAAGCTAAACAAACTCCAAAGCTTTTTATATCAAAATGTAGAGGAGATCTTCAGCTTTCGAATGATATATAACACTCATATAAATCTGTTCGATATCTTGAGAAATTTGCAAAATAATAAAAACGCGCATTCATAACTGGACAATCCAATATTTGAAGTCGATCATCTAAAGCAAGAAAAAAGATCTTAAAAATAAGAAATTATCCGTTTAAAAAGATTCCAAATATACACAAGATAACGTACTTTTAAATACAGAAAGACAATAAGCTTCCCTCGCAGACAATAAGCTGCTGAATAAGCTTCCCTCGCAACAATAAGTTTAGTAACGCTTGTTTAGATCCGAACAACCTAATAGTTTATCGTGTTGTAGTATTATTTTTAAAGAAGCTAACGGGAAAAATCGATATTAGATACTTTACACATTGCCGGGAAAAATCGATGCTGAATAAAATTACCCGATGCTCGTCACACACTTTCTTTACATAGATGATTCCCTCATTCCAGGTGGCATTGTTGAGATTCAAATTCTCTGACATTCGTTTCAAATCGGCCTAAGATTTAGTCAAAAAAGCTATATATTTTAAAATGTATTGAAGTATAAACATATTAGTAAATGTAAATACTGAAAGATATCGAAACGGAGAATTTCTTATACCTCACAATCAGCGCAGGCAATAGGCAATGGATTCGCTAGAACAGCTCCAATAAAAACAAGAATCAAAAGCAAAATATTGTCCATTCAGAAGTAGTTTCGATTTGCTATGTGCTATGTGCAATTCCAAGCGGTGTGCCTGTTTATAAATTGGTTTTTCGATCATTTTTTCTTCATCAAAAGAAGTTGAAAGTGTTCGATTTCAGTGGAGAAAAAGAAATTTGGGAAAACAGTTTGGTAAAACCGTTCTGCGCCCATTTTGTGTTAAATTCTCTTATTTTCGATATCCAGTAAACCCAACTGAATATCTTTTTGTCTCTTCTTGCTCCTATTGCTTGTCAATGTCTACAGGGTGGCCGACGAAATTTGGCGCGAGGTTTTTGACTCGTAGATGATGCCGGGTTTATCAAAACCTATTGAACTTATATCCAAAAATATAGCAAATTTTCTGTAGTTTCTGAAACTTATAATCATTTTACAAGAAGTCTCCTAGTTTTTGAGTTATGCCTCCAAAAAAGGCCTCTGCTCCGAAAGTGATAGAGAGGTTCACCCTAGAATATTGTGTTGCACGATTATGTTGCACATCAAGCTGGCTGCTGAAAGGATCGGAAAAGGCCACGGGACCTAATGATCCATCCCTTGTCAGTTCGCTGCCAGGATTTTTGCAATGTGCAGGATTAAAGGATCCTTTTTTGGGATCTTTACGGTTATAGGGGGCGGGGTGGGTTTTTGACTATCTTGCAGCTCATTTTTAAGCACCTTAAACTCGTCAGATCAAGATGTTTTAATAAGATCCAGATAGCTTAGAACGTCTAATTTCAGAAACTATTTGTTTCATCAAAAGTTATTAACAAAAAATTACCTAAAATACAAAATGGTCAAAAACTTCCCCCGCCCCCGGTCGACGACAAAATGTAATGCATTTCGTGATTTCTTTAGGTGCGATGTGTAAAAGTTCAACAGGTCCGCTTGTCCTCGTAAAGTCGACAATGGATTCCCGCCAATATATTGAGATATTGGACAGATGCCTACTTCCATTTGCGACTGCTTCGATGAATCCAGGACGGTTTCTTTATTAAGATAATTTGCCAGTACATAAAAGCAAACTTTTGATGGGCCGCGTTGTGACTCTCTCGAATGGAGGAAAAGCACATTTACCGGGATGCTTTGGGATCAATCACGTTTCTTTGATTCTTTGATTCTCACCGGATTTAAATGTTATCGAGAATTTATGGGCCTATTTGAAATCGAAATTGCGTGAAATTCTTGGTGAAATAATTAAATCGATGCCTACTCGTGTTAAAGAAGTACCTTTGGCAAAAGAAGGGCCAACAAAATATTGGTTATAGCTTAATTTCGTCTTGTGTTAAAAGACTTTTGCACCACGATTTTCAGGGGTGTTTTGACAATTATATTTTTTCTCAATGAATAAGTTTTGTATGGCGACAGCGTTTGTGTAAATAAATTGTACATATATTTGTGTAACTAAAACTATTAATAGCTTAGAGAGCGCCATGAACTTTATCAGAGAAAATCGATGTAACTTTTTAGAAAATTGAGTGTTAAAAGACTTTTGCACCTGACTGTAGCTATAGAATCTCCAGATAACGATTCAATTTCCGTGAAACCAACAAAAATTTCTTCAATAACTTTTGCCTCTGTATTGTAGATTCGCAAGAAAATTGTCAAAAAGTCCACATGATGTTTTGATGTTTCATCTGGCAAACATCAAGGCAAACATGGGAGCCGCTCGAATCTTCTTTAGTTGATGATCAATCAGTGTTTCTGCAATACAACCAAAAAGCTCGTTTTGAATTTCTGTATATGTTGCATATGTTGCATTTCTAGGAGCATCAACCAGCCGTTTGATATCTTCATCGCCACTTTGATATAAAAGCCGTAAAACTCCGCGAAATCCACCCTCTTTCTCGACAACATCTTTCTCCAAAAATGCTGCTAGGTCTTTTGATTAAAATGGTCTCGAAATGCGCCCTCGTGACTAGCTAGTAAAATCAACGCTTTGATGATCTCTTTCAATTGATTCCTGCTTTTCTGGACGCCATCCTTGTACTTGGGGTTAATGTTCTGCACAATGTCGAGGAAAATAAAAATCAAATTTCGATTCTATATACACTGTTCGATAAAAATATCGTTCAGGAAGTGACGCTAAAATTTCCAATTGAAACACATCAACACCAATTCTTATTTCTTTGTTCAGAGATTACTTCTTTATCTGGAAATGTTCTTTTTCAGCTACTTCTTTTCTCTGAATCTCTTTTCATTTCTTATCCTTTTCCACCCTTTTTTCTTTTCTATTGACTGACGGCTCTCTAGTCGATTTCCCCTTTTCGAAAGTCTACGCTTATTTAATTTATTTTTGCTCGTTTTTTTTGGGTGGCTATTCATAGAAACGCTTTATTTCTTTGGTTGTTATGAGTTTATATCAACTGGTAAGATTCTAAAGTTTAAGATTAACCAAAAAGATTATAGAAATCAAATACAAATTGATAAATGCTTTTAAAAACGCTTATATTGGTCGATTTTCGACTTTCTTAAGCTTTCTTAAGATCTTATTCTTGAACAAATTTAAAAATATAAAAGTTTTATCATGTTTTTGACAATTTGCTTGTTTTTAGTATAAACTAGCGTCGAAATGGGAAGTCTTTTTGCTTTTTTTGACCGTTCTTTGCTCGTCACTTACGGGCCTTTGCAAGGTGCTCAACATGACTGTCACTGCGTGGGTTTTAAAAGAAAAATTTGAATCCGTTTAATTAGATATTTTACTTATTTTTCCCTTAAAGTGTTAAATGTTTGAATTTTATACACAAAAAAAATTGCTTTCTTATCGATAAACGAAGTAACAATCAAATCAAATCAAACGATAACAATAACAAACAATCAATCAAATCCGGCCTGTAGTCCAAATCTGACCTGGCGTCGGGATCCGACCTGGCGTTCGAATCCGACCTGGCGTTCGAATCCGACCTGGCGTTCGAATCCGACCTGGCGTTCGAATCCGACCTGGCGTCCGAATCCGACCTGGCGTCCGAATCCGAACTGGCGTCCGAATCCGAACTGGCGTCCGAATCCGATCTGGTGTCCAAATCCGATCTGTCGTCCAAATCCGACTTGGCATCCGATCCGACCTGGTGTCCAAATCCGACCTGGCATCCGATCCGACCTGGTCTCCAAATCCGACCTGGTGTCCAAATCCGACCTGTCGTCCAAATCCGACTTGGCATCCGATCCGACCTGGTGTCCAAATCCGACCTGCTGTCCGAATTCGACCTGGTGTCCGATCCGACCTGGCGTCCAAATCCGACCTGGCATCCGATCCGACCTGGTGTCCAAATCCGACCTGTCGTCCAAATCCGACTTGGCATCCGATCCGACCTGGTGTCCAAATCCAGCCTAAAAGGTTTTTGACAAACAACCGACTTGATGTCAAAATAAAAGATGTGTAAAATACATGGCTTTATGTCGTAAAACAAATTTCAGCTCATTTGGTTTGGTGGAAAATTTTTTATGAGGGCCTAAAGTTAAGGTCCAAAAATGCCTTAAAATGGGTATAAAAATATAGCACTGAAGCAAAAAAAGTTTCGTAATGGCTCATTTGGTTGCAAATTTTATGTAGATTCTTAAAATGAAGCTACATCTGCCATTAATTGGGATAAATGGTTTCAGGGGGATCCCTTAACGTAGAGTCAAGGACTGAGGTCAGTCCGCGCAATTTTTCTTCCTCTTTCAACCAATAAATGTTAGATGTAGCTTTAATATAAGAATCTACATAGAATTTTCTTTAAAACAAGCCATTGTACACTTTTTTGGTTGAGTGGAAAAATTTTTATACCCATTTTAAGGCATTTTTGGACCTTAACTTTAGGCCCTCATAAAAAATGTTCTAACAAACCAAATGAGCTGAAATTTGTTTTATGACATAAAGCCATATATTTTACACATCTTTTATTTTGGCATCAAGTCGATTGTTTATCAAAAATCCCTTAGGTCGGATTTATAACGGATAACGGATATACTACAAGAAGTGACGCTAAAACTTGCCTTTTAAAATTTAAAGTTTCACCTAAAATAGTGAAAATGAAGCAATTTCCATATTCTCGCATTTATAAACGGTAAAATCTATTAGCTAATCAAAAACTTTGTTCTATTTGAAGGCAAGATTTTAGTCAAACCACCGTCGCCTACCTTCAACTTGACTCGAAACTCGACTCGGCAAAACGTGAGTTCAAAAAACATTTTAAGATGCAGCTTTTACGTGCTTTCTGGCATACTTGCCTTTGTTTATTCTTTTACTTGTTATTTGTGCTTTTTGAAGCTTATATTTTCTTTTGCACGTTAGAAAGTAAAGCTCACAAGAGAAAACGATTCTGCTAACAAAAATAATAAAAAAAAATTAGCAAAGGCCTTCATCTTTAAGTTAAGATCTTTAGTAAAGACTTAAGTCTTTACTTGTCATTTTTTTTACTTCATTGAATTCTTCATTTCCTTATTGACTTCATTCTTCATTGACTATCGAAAGCCTATCTTGACCTCAATTCATTGCTTTTGCTCCTGATTTGGCTTCGTGGTGATTGTGATGATTTTTCTCGACACTGGTTTATGCTAAAATGCGCGCTTAGGTATCAAAAATAGCTGAAATTTAGGGCTATTTTTTGATACCAAAGACGCTTTCTTTGAAAGTACGGGCGCTTTGCAAAAAAATGAAATACTAAAAAAACTTTTGCGACTACGCGACTGTACGAGGGGGGCTGGGGTACTATTACAGTATTTACGGTAGTTGAATATTGTAAATTTTTTGTTTTGAGATAAGATCTCAATTAATCTCGGGCAAATTCATTTTTCCATTTTTGACTAAATCATTCAATGATCGGTGTAAAAGTGACGAAAACTTGGTTAAATTGAAAATTTAGCAAAATCTAATGCATAAATTTCTTTTTTGAATTGAATTGCAGTTAAATTGGGTTTAAAGTCATAACATTATCGTTAGGAATATTGTTTCAACCCGTTCTTTGTGTGCTGCCATAAACACGTGCTTTCCGGCACACGCTCGAAGAGGGGCTTATAAAAAGGGGCAAACAGTCTTTCAGTCAAACATTTCCAACTTGTTCTTTGTACGTTCCCATAAACACGTGCTTTCTGGCACACGTCCAAGGAGGGGTTGATAAAAAGTGGCAAGATTGTTCCCTCCGGCCGGCCGGGCCCTTTCTTTGTGCGCTCCCACAAACACGTGCTTTCTGGCACACGCTCGAAGAGGGGGTTACAAAAAAGGGCGTTTTGGAGGACGGCTTGCTGTGGTGAGAAGATGACTTTGGGGTTGACTCGCAGATCTTTATGATCTTTTCAACACCCCGGGAAGGTCTGAGGAAGGTCTGCAAATGTCCTCGAGATGGGGAACGATTGAATGATCGTGATCCCGAAGAAGAAAAGTCTCCCCTCGGGGATTGGGACTCGGGATCGACTAGCACCGATCTCTGAGTGCGATCGTCATCAAAGAACACAATTCAGACTACTCTCTCGCCACAAAATTTTTACTTTTTTTGGTTTATGATTGTTATGAGACAATGGTAGACTTATCTCTAATCACTACAATATATGCCAATATATTAACTTCAGCTAAAATGCCTGAAATATGAACATCTTTAGCCTCAAATTAAATATGGACAGTCTGTGTCTTGATTTTTTATCTGGGTTACTGTAATGAGTCAAAACTCGTAGCGTAAGAGTATCTTTAAGCTTGAACTTATTTTCTGATATTTATGACGAAGCTAACCGCTTATTCCTTGCTGTGTCTGTAATTTGTGCGCAAAATTAGCAAACACACCTTTTCTGGTGCACTTATTTTTGCTTTTCTTTGCTAAAATTGATAAAAAGAGATGTTTTCCATTGTACTTTTTAGGTTTTTAAGCACTAAAAAGAGGATTTCCATCCAAGTACACATGGCAAACGTGCTTGGCTAATTTTGAATCAAAATTGAAACATTTAACTGATGTTTTAAATCCAAGACTTGCCTTTTTTTTTAAAATTGGCTTTGCAAGACTTTAAAATTTTCATTTTTATTTCATAAAAATAAAATCACATTTCAATGAAAAATACAAGGTTTTTAAAGCTTTCTAAATGGGTAATAAAATAGAAAATGTAATGTAAAGATTGGAAAGATTTTAGAGATTTTAGTTTCACCGAACGCGACGCTTACTTTTATTGATGATGCTCGCGAAGAATTCTCGAGAAAAGTGCAAACTTTTGCTTTTCAATTCCTCCTTATCGCTGGCTCATGGTTTTTCTTGCAATTCTTATCAGTAAGCTGGGGAAAGCTGCAAAAGTTGCTGAAGAGTTGCTGAAATTTAGGTGATGATGTGTGAGATTGTTTCCGAGAGAATTCGTTTCGGGATCAGAGCGAAATATTTTGAGGTGAGATCAGATTTGACACTAGATTTAGCAAGAAAGCCTTTGTATGGAGCTCGGTAACTTTTTATCAATTACTTTTTCTTATGTTATCAAATTTGTTTCAATTCAGCAGCAATATTATGTTTTGATGTTATTAGATTGATGAATTAGACAGGTTCCTAGGCTTCTCAAATTGTCCTTGTTTTCTTTTTTTATAAAATAGTTTGTATAGTTTATGAATGAAGCAAATTTCATCCTCGAATTTAGAACTGATAGATGTCTTAGGCTGTCCAGAAAGTCTTTTCGCTTCTTTTCGTACTTCCATTTAAAACCAACAAATCCACCAATTGAACTACGATTTGTTTCATTAGAAAAGGCAATTATTTTTCTGTAAAAGCACATTAAAACGGGTTTTAAATGTCTTATGTCTGCATTTTTTTTGGGAGCGTGAAGTCGGGTAGTTAAAAATGTGGCTCGATGAGACGATTTAGATACTTTAGCTAAAGAAATCTATCTTGGTGTCAATAAATAAAAGACAGAGATATCATAAAGAAATAGATTTCAATAGAAAGAGCACAAAAAGTTTGGTATATAGCCAAATTTTCAGAGAAATTGATTCAACCAATTTCGTCTTAGAGGTTTTACAGATTTTTTACGAAAAACACGGTTTTCACTAGTTAGTCTGGAAATTCAACTAGCTTATCCAGCGTGAAGTCGAATAGTCAAAAACGCGGCTCGATGAGACGACTTAGATACTTTAGTAAGGAAATCTAGCTTTGCATCAATAGATAAAAGATAGAGATATAATAAATAAATAGTTAAAAGAGATGTCAAGAGATACAGCACAAAAACTTCGGTAAATAGCTAAATTCTCAGCGAAATTGATTCAGCCAATCTCTTCTGGGGCTTTTTATAGATGAAAAAACTCGTTTTCACGCTCGAATTTGCTTGAAAGTGAACCGAAATTGACTTAAAAAGATGGGAAATTGAACCAAAAACGCTTTTTCTTGAAAGAAAACCATAGATTAATTGGTGAATTTGTTATTTTTCAACGGAAGTATGAAAAGAAATGAAAAGATTTTCTGGAAAGCCTAATACCGTACCGGTCAGCTGATCAAATGAAATAAAAATACAGTTTTTAAGCCATGAATAGATAGATAAAATAGACTTCAATAGATAGAGCACAAAAAGTTTGGTATATAGCTAAATTTTCAGCGAAATTGATTCAGCCAATTTCTTCGTAGAGCAAAATTGATTCAGCCAATTTCTTTCGTATTATAGAACGAAAAACACGTTTTCACGCTCGAAATTGATTGAAAGTGAACCCAAATTGACTTAAAAAGATGGGAAATTGAACCAAAAACGCTTTTTCTTGAAAGAAAACCATAGATTAATTGGTGAATTTGTTATTTTTCAACGGAAGGATGAAAAGAAATGAAAAGATTTTCTGGAAAGTCTTTCTGGAAAGATCAAAGCGCTGTTCTGTTCGAGTCATTCTATAGTTTTATGTGGCAATGTTTTAGGCTTTGCTTCACAGAGAAATCACGTGGTTTGACTTGAACGATGCCGGTACCGTATCGACTGCACTTTTGGAGTAAGTTTCAATAGGAATTGAACAAGCATAACTTTCCAACAGTTAGATGTTAAAGTTTATCCATTTTGACGGAAGTCACCATAAAAAACGTAGCCGGGCTAAAATAGGCTAAAAGTATCGTAGTCCCGATATGTTTTAAGACAGCAGTCTATAAAAAGACGCCATCTTTTCACATTCTGGTAGTTTTTTCTTGATTAACATGCTCCCACTGCTCTCTTTTCTCTTATTTGTGTTAGTAGAAAATTGTTCTGTTTCAAATATCAAAGCACAGGAATTTGAAGTGAAAGGTATCAAAGCCAATAAAGGCACAGAAACTAAACAAAATTGGAATCGTTTGTAAATTCATTACTCAAAATAAATTAAAATTTGAATTCAGCTTTGATATATTGGGTTAGTGAATTGAAAACTGCCGGCTATTGTCGTATGTGACAGTTTGAGCACTCTCTTCAAAAGAAACCCATTTTGGTGTCAATGGAAAAGTTGTAGGGAATCAAAAATGAAGCTTATATCCAGATTTTCAGAACGATTCAAAAACTGGTTTTCAAGAAAAGCCAAATTTACGAGTTTTTACAAAACTTGCATTTTAAGCGAAACTACTAAGTGTATCTTTTTGGAAATTTGGCTATAAGCCTAATTTTTGATTCTCTACAACTTTTCCATCGACACCAAAATGGGTTTCTTTTGAAGAAAGGCTCAAACTGGGCCCAGTCCTCCATTTTTGAGTCTCACACTTGTCTCACACACAAACCAAAATCCTACTACGAAAGAGGAATCCGCAAATTGCCTGTAAAATGGGCAGAAGTCGTCAATAATAATGGAAATTATTTGGAATGAATTCATGGCTTTACGTTGAATAAATTTTAGTTCAAAGTCCCGCAGTTTTCAATTCACCAGCTCAATATAAACAGGAACTTAAATTAGACATGTTCTGGAGAGTAAACTACGGTACTTCCAAGCAGGATTGGCAAAAAGAACCAAAAGAAAATGCTAGCTTAGTCTAGTCAAGCCAGACCTTCCTAGATCCAATGGGAAGGTTGAAATTGCAAGCCAACCTCACCCACAAACCAAAATCCTCAAATCCAAAATCACGAAAGAGGAATCCACAAATTGCCTGTAAAATGAGCAGAAGTCGTTAATAATAATGGAAATTATTCAGAATGAATTGATGGTTTTATGTTGAATAAATTTTAGTTCAAAGTCCGGCAGTTTTCAATTCGCCAACTCAATAATTTATTTATACAAACTTATAGTTAAACGAGTAGCCTTTATCCGACTATAAGTTGATGGAATGGATCATCGGCATAACCGTACTTGGAGGCTTGAAATTATTAGCTTTTTGATGAACTTCTTTCTTTATATCGTTTACTTCCAAAATATCGTTTAAGAAACAAAACTTTACAGGTCAACAAATCGCATAAAAGACGGTATCAATGCTTTGGATAAGCTCTGTTTCACTTCAACTGTTGTCTTGTCATCTCTTTTCATCGCAACGATCACAAATTGGCAATTGACGCTGATATTTTTACTATTCTTCCCAATGATTTCATACACAAGCTACACGTTTAATAAAGTAAAAACGAAAAGAGTCATTTAATCTCAAAAAATTGTTTAGAAAACCGCAGGGAATGTCTCTTTCATCGTAAAACAATATGCAAAAGCGGGGAGTATCGTAGAAGAAGTGAGTACTTTTTTTGCCTAGTATTTACAGCTTTAAAATGATTATAATGCAAATTTTGAAGTTGATTCTCTGAATTCTAACTTGTATGCTCGAATAAGCGCATTCAATAAGTGTAGAGTAATCAGCTTGAAATCTTCTATGCCTCACTTTTGCGCCAGTTGGAATACTGTATACGTCGACTAGTTGAGATCTTGTATGGATATTGGATATTGAAGCTTTACGGTACCTATAAAGTGCTGTAAAGTTCTAGTACCACATTTTCTTTACCGTAAGCCGAAATTAAAATATTCAGTGACTGAATATGTTTTGAAACCTTGAAGAAAACCATATTCTGCTGAATTTTTTCATTCCTATCATACTGCAAATAGTTATTGATCAAAAATTACAGTATCCTTATTGAAATTGAGGATTTCAGGCTCTTCGTCAAATCAGAACAGTGCTCGCTTTCAATGGACAGAGTTATGAAATCAAAAGGTGCCCATTTTTTAAACATTGTAAATAGTAATCAGCTTTTTAGAGTAAATATTGGGTTGGTGAATTGAAAACTGCCGGACTTTGAACTAAAATGTGTTCAACATAAAACCATGAATTCATTCCAAGCAATTTCCATTATTATTGACGACTTCTGCCCATTTTACAGACAATTTGCGGGTTCCTCTTTCGTAGTAGGATTTTGGTTTGTGTGTGAGACAAGTGTGAGACCCAAAAATGGAGGACTGGAGATGTCCCAGTTTGAGCCTTTCTTCAAAAGAAACCCATTTTGGTGTCAATAGAAAAGTTGTAGAGAATCAAAAATTAGGCTTATAGCCAAATTTCCAAAAAGATACACTTAGTAGTTTCGCTTAAAATGCAAGTTTTGTGAAATGTTTTGTGAAAATTCGTAAATTTGGCATTTCTTGAAAACCAGTTTTTGAATGGTTCTGAAAATTTGAATATAAGCTTGATTTTTGATTCTCTACAACTTTTCCATTGACACCAAAATGGGTTTCTTTTGACGAAAGTGCTCAAACTGTCACATATGACAATCGCCGGCAGTTTTCAATTCACCAATTCAATAGTAATCAGCTTTTTGGAGTAAATAGTATTACTATATTAACTGAATATCTAGTAGACTTTACCTTTAGATACCGTAGCGCGCTCGAAGAGGCGACAAAGAACGAGATTTGGAACGCTTGTAAGGGAAAAGCTAGGCAAGCGCTTGATGATGAAAATTTTAGTTCAAAGTGGTCTTGGCTTGGTCACATTGTACACAACAATGAACTTTGTCTATTTTACTATTTTCTGGATTGCAACCGAATTTGTCTATTTCGGATATGTGGACGCGAAAGAAGTGATAACGGTGAGTAGTTTGGGATTCAATTTGAGCACTTTTTATGTCGTTGTAGAGTCGGAAATCTATGAACTCTATGAAAAATAGCTATAGTTACAGCTACAGCTCTTTTGCAAAGTTCTTCCTAATCACTTGCAAGTGTTTCAGATCTTCAGCGTGATCAACTCTTTTGTCGTTCGCTTTGGGGGATCTCGTTCAACGTTTCGGTAAAATCACTCACTCAATCGCGGGCTCAAAGCAGATTTTGGAGGAAATTACACAAGTATTAACACTAGATTTTAGGAAAAGTGAGTAAAGATGAAAATATTTTTAAGGCTGAAATCGATTCCAAGAAGCCTCGAAAGAATCAAAAACCGTTTGTGAATGGGAAGATCACTTTTGATAGCGTCAAATTTTCCTACCCAAGAAGACCCGATGTCGAAGTGTTAAAAGTAAATTGTCTTTTATAGTTATACTAGCAGAAAGCTAGACTGCTTTTATAGCTTTTATACAGCTCACTTCGTTCGCGTTTTTCGCTGGGAAGGCGGAGGAACCCATTCGGGGCCTTTCGGGCTCTTTAAGTCCCCAGGTTCGGGGAACACGCAGGTTCGGGGAACACGCAGGTTCGGGGAACACGCAGGTTCGGGGAACACGCAGGTTCGGGGAACACGCAGGTTCGGGGAACACGCAGGTTCGGGGAACACGCAGGTTCGGGGAACACGCAGGTTCGGGGAACACGCAGGTTCGGGGAACACGCAGGTTCGGGGAACACGCATAGTTTAAAGGGCCTATGTACAATAGAGAAAAAGAAAACATAGTGAAAAGGAACGCAGAAAGAAACAAAGAGCAGCATAGCGCACAAAACGACTTCTTTTGCTTTATAGTTAATAGATTTTTAACTCAGACACTTCATGATTTTTAATGATACCAAATAGAGGTTGATTAGACAACGAATCCTGAGAAAATCGAATACGCTCAAACTGAGTCGTACTAATTCTTCCAATTTTGTGAGGGAATATGGACGGATTTAACGCAAAAATTTCTCTCGGGTGATTGGGTGTGATCGAGAACACGAGAACAGTCTATAACTACTTCTTCCCCTCATGCTGACCCCAAAAGTGGAGCACCTTATACCAGAGGGGTTTTGCCAGACGGCGAGCGATTACGCGCACGCAGAAAAGAACAGTCACTGTTGTTTGACTTTTAGGGGAAAACCCTGAGTTTACCAATCTTAACACCCGGGAAGACGCCGAGAACACCCGGGACGGCTCAGTCTATAACCACTTCTTCCCCACATGCTGTTCCCAAAAGTGGAGCACCTTATACCAGAGGGGTTTTGCCAGACGGCGAGCTATTACGCGTGCGCAGAAAAGAACAGTCACTCTTGTTTGACTTTTAGGGGAAAACCCTGAGTTTACCAATCTTATGATGTGTTTATGCTTGCGAAAATTTTTCCCAAATGACCTTGATCATTTAGGATAAGATTGGTACTAATTGGTATTAATATTCTGATTTCTTTTTGACCAAGTGTTTTTCCTTGATTGCTTTTCTTTTCGACATTCTTTTTGACAAATTGTCAAGCTCTTCAAACGGCTAGAGTAACCCAATATTCGTCACAAAACAAAATCATGGACTTTTTATCCAATAAACCTTTATTTTAATATCATTTTAAAACCTAAAGTTTGCTCTTTAACAAGTTAACAATAATAAAATCCTCAGAAAAGATTGTGAACCTTAAAAACATGACTACTTGTTTAAAAGTCCGTTTTAACACTTTAATCAGAAAAGAAACTTGCAGAAATTGTCTTTCACTTGTGAACCCGGTGAGAAAGTGGCTCTTGTCGGCGGGTCCGGAGCCGGGAAATCAACGATTTTTGGGCTCTTGATGCGATTTTACAATCCGGAAAAGGGACAAGTGCGATACAAGAAAAATTCTTGATATTTTCAAGTTTAGATAAAAATTGATGATGTCGACATTGGGGATTTTGAAGAGGAATATCTGCGATCAGAGATAGGAATTGTGAGACAAGAACCCGTGCTCTTTGATGCAACAATTCGACAAGTTAGTGAAAGCTTTGAAAGCTTGAAAGCTTGAAAACTTTGAAAGCTTGAAAGCTAAAGCTAAGGAGCTTTGAAAGCTTTGAAAACTAAAGCTAAGGAGCTCAAACCTGAATGTTTTCATAAAGATAAATGTTGCTTAGGCATGCTAACAGGTAAATTCTTTAACATGAAATTTTTTTAATGAAATGAGTCTCAAACTTGAACCCAGCCCCACCTTATAGACCTGTTTTCCAAGCTCTCAACGGTAGTAATGAATCAATTGATCATAAACTCTACTAAAGTTATCATTTTTTAACGTTTCTACTAACATTTTGTCACAAGTCCTCCAATCAATTAAGAACCTTCACAACGCCAAACAAGATGCCAGCGAAGCGGAGATGTTAGAAGCACTCGATCAAGCGAATGCCTTAAAATTTGTACGCGAACTGCCACAGGTGACAACTAACAAGGGAAAGTCACAAGGCTGAGGTGGCCAAATGACATCAGCCATACCATAAGACGCAGAATTTAACGCTGATTCTGAATAGTTGATTCTGAATAGCTGATTCTGAATAGCTGATTCCGAATAGCTGATTCTGAATAGTTGATTTTGAATAGCTGATTCCGAATAGTTGATTCTGAATAGCTGATTCATTTTTGGAAAATGATTCGGAAACGGGATGAATCTAGCAAACAAGTTTGAGGTCAAATTAGAGGTCAAAAGTCAATCCCTATAATTCTATAAGGCTTCTTTCACCATCTCGAAATATTAGCTTGTCGTGTAGTGGATATGAGTCTTATTTCCGAAACAAGCTATCAAACTTTTGCTCGGGCTCGATCCCATCCTTTTGTTTCTATTTTATTTTTGATGTTTAACCGCTCGAATTCGCTCTATTTAAACTTTACAATAAGCGTTATGACATCATTTAATTGATAACAAACAAAATCAGAAAAAAATTAACAAACATTGCAACAATCTATGCAACAAACAAAGTGAATGAAACAGAATTTAACATTACATCTTGTACAATACATAAAAGCAAGTAATTCATTTCACAATGACCTCGCAGAGTTTTTCATCAACTTTAAAACAACTTTAAAACAAACTTTGACGACTGTTTAAAAACTGTATATGGCTCATGTCAGTTGGCCACCTCTGCCTTGTGATCTTCCCTTCTGAGAAATTTTTACATGTAGCTTGGGGTGCGACCCGCTTTAACCTTATCAACGAGGATGATTCTGCTTAAGAATGGCCGAATAGCACAAAAGGTTAAAAGGGTTTCCCCAAAAGCGCTTACAACGTAACAAGAACACGTAGTATCCAACAATAGGTTAATACTCTTGAGAAGAGTACAGATCGGATTGATACTACGTCGATGGTGACACAAATGTTAGTAAAACCAGTCTCTCTACAATGTTAAACCAGTTATCTAAACAGGATTTAAAACCTGAAGGGTAGCATAAAGTAAAGTGAATTTATAACGTTACTGTTTATTAGTACAGAACCGAAATGCAACAATACTCATTACAAAAACAGCATGCGCATCAAAAATGAAACAACAAAGTTCCCCCTGAGAAAGAAGGCAAAAACCCCAGACCAAAAAAAATAATTTCGGAAAGGGAGAAAAAGGACGAAAAATGCGACGCGAATAATTGCAAAATAGCAACGCAAATAGGAAGAAAACGGAGGCGACCATGTGATTATGTCTTAGCAAATCAGTTTTTAGGGTCTTGATACCAGGGTTGGCTCCAGGGGAAGTCAGCTATCAGGCGGTCAAAAGCAAAGGATTGCAATCGCGAGAATGCTGTTGAGGTTTGACTTTGAAGTACTCGTTTCATTCAATTTTCAGATTAATGCAAATAATACTTTTGTCGTCATTAATTTGCTTTTAGCTTTACTATTTTAGAAACCCTCGAATCCTTCTTTTGGATGAGGCGACGAGCGCGTTGGACAACGAGAATGAGAGGGCTGTTCAGGAGGCTTTGGAAAAGGTCTAAATTTCGTTACTAATTGCAACATTAGAAAAATGTAAATATTAAATAATAGCTTTAAAAAAGATGATAAAGATCTTGTGAGCGTTCTAAAAAATTTAGGCTTATTTCGGGCGCACTACTTTGATCATTGCTCATCGATTGTCGACGATTCGAAGCGCCGAGAAAATTCTCGTACTCAAAGATGGGCATGGTGAGGATTTTTTGGAGAAAATGTTTACTTTATTTCAAATTACATAAAAGATTTATTTCATTGGTGGTATCGTTTTCGAAAATCGTCGCCAAATGATTCTTCTTGTACGAAAAGTTGGGTTTTCGAGTCTAAAAACCCTTTTATTGAACTAAAAACCTCGAAAAATAGTTTTTAGTTCAATTTGATGAAGTCTGAATTGAATTCCCAGACAATAGGCATGTTAAATCCACCCCTTTTGCAATTTTCTGTTGGCAATCTACGAATTTTACGAATTTTTAAGGGGTGGAGTTAGCATGGAGACCGTCCGCTCCTCTTTGCCATTGGCAATCTAACTAATCTAACTTTGACCTCGAATTTCTTGGTGTACAATTGTCCGATTGAAATAGATTTGGCATCATTAAATTTGTTAAATCGTCTTCTTTTGTTTGATACCAATATAGTTTCGATCGAACGATTGTACGCGAAGAAATTCAAGGTCAAAGTTAGATTGCCAATGGCAAAGAGGAGCGGAAAACTGCCCTGTATAATTTAAACGGAAAACTTGGCCCACCCTGTATAATTTATAATAATTTATATAAAGTATTATAGTTATAACTGATTAAATGATAATAGGGAAAATTGAATCTCTTCATTGATTTTTACAACTTACCTATTATCATCGGCATTTGTAAGATTGAAATTGTCCTGCGAAAGTACAAACTAGAAACTTTGACTGATAGTTTTCATCAATCGAAACGTCTGATTGATATCCAATTCAGCAGTTTCTGATTTCTGAATCTTAGCAGCTTGTTGCTTGATCAGTAAAGATCAGTAAAGATCAGTAAAGATCAGTAAAGATCAGTAAAATCCTCCAGCTATGTTCGAGGAAAAATTACAGAGTCTTAGTTATTAACAGTTGTATTACGGTAAAGTTTTTTATTAACAGTTGACTGAATATTTCTTAAATCATGAACGACACTTAAATCATGAACAAGGTGAATAGTTTAAGCTTTAAAAAAACCCACATAAATATACGCAACGATCCAGAAAATCCCGAAAAGGACGAGAAATTTTTGAATCGAAAATCGATGTAGCATGAAATGCTAGCGAATTCCAGAGGATTTACATTTAGTTTCAAATTGAAATTTCGATGGGTATCTCCTTTGGGAAAAATATTGATGGTTTATCTGGGGAAAATTTCGATTTTTCTTTTAAGTTCTTTTTGGGGAATTCTCTCTCAATTTTTTTTTACCACCAACTCCTTTCGAAATCGACTCAAAACATTGGTTACAGTTGTTTTTCAAGGGAAACTTTTGCTTCCGCTTTTCTTTGAAATCTTTAAATTTCAATTATATATTTAACCCAATCGATACTAAGGAGTTAAAGTCGATCAAAACCAATCAAAACCAATCCAGTTTTAGGTTTTTGATTGATCTAACTGGTCTTTCTCAAAGAATCGGCAAAACAAACTAAGAACAACAAACTAATAGTGTCAAAAGTTAATTCACATTACTGAATACTGTTTATTCGCCAATCTAGCGTTATCCGAAGATTTGATTAACAATTTTATCTCTTTTCTGTTCTTTTTGGATGCAGGGTGGCCCAGAATTATAGCGCCGCTCTTCAGAAGACCTAGCTTGACCAAAATTGGGCCAATCGTCCTGATTTTTCTGGAGGTGAATCTTGAGTATGTCTCTTAAAACGGTGCCCATTATCTAATCTATTCAACCTTTCAACTTTTTTATGTAGCCTTCCAAAGTTGAGAGCTGAGCTGAGTTGAGAGCTAGAGCGCTCTACTCATTTATGGAATTTTTGGGAGCGAGGCTTGTTAAAATCTCTTTGAGTTTGAATTTATCAGTTTGAATTTTTGTTAATAAACGAAATTTCACATGCTTTACGCAGTTTAAATGCGAAAACTCTTGAGAAATATCACCAAAACTTAATATGTTCTGTTTTCGCCTGAACGATTTGTGGGGCATTCAGAGAAACCAGTAAAGGGCAAAAAAAACTTATTTTTCAAGGTTTATAGCTTTTAAATTGCATAAATAAATATGATTACTTAAAAATCATGAAATTCTTAAAGACTTATCAAAGAATGAAACTTTCACAAACCCATAGTGCCAGCGAAACTCAGTTCTCTACTTTGGAAGATCGCATAAAAAAGTTGAAAGCTTGAATCGATTAGATAACCGTTCCAGGAGACAGACTTAAGATTTACTTAAGAAAAATCAGAACGTGGTGCTCAATTGTAAACGAGCCGGCAACGATTGCATGATGTAACGATTTTACCATAAACTTTTTAAGAAAAGATAGTGAAAGTCTTATTGTAGTCTCTGTAGTCCCACTGTACAGAGTGGCCCACAGCGCCGCACTTTAAAGGGTCTAGATTGGCCAAAATTGCGTCAATCGTTCTGATTTTTTCTGGAGGTGAATCTTGAGTATGTCTTTTGAAACGGTCCTCATTATCTAATCAATTCAAGCTTTCAACTTTTTTATATAGCTTTCTAAAGTTGAGAGACAAGTGTCGCTCGGCTACGATCGACTCTCAACTTTGGAAGGCTACATAAAAAAGTTGAAAGGTTGAATAGATTAGATAATGGGCACCGTTTTAAGAGACATACTCAAGATTCACCTCCAGAAAAATCAGGACGATTGACCCAATTTTGGCCAAACTAGACCTTCTGAAGTGCGGCGCTATAATTGTGGGTAGATGGACCACTTTTGAGCAAAGTTTAACCGAACCAGTAACCGAAATCGTACATCGTATCGTACGAAACCAATAAATCGGTACAAAACCTAATCGAAGTTTAGTTTTTGCTTTTAAAACACAACCCTTGCTAGAATCAAGGGGCAAATCTCTTGCTAAGGGCAAATGGATTCACCCAAATGATACTTTTTTACTTTTCAAAATTGTAAATGATCTAATCGAAAAGTAGCTTTTTTATATAGACTCTTAAAAAAGGATTTAGTTTTTTAAAACAAATAAACTCATCAACGATTTATTTACGAATTTTCTTAATTCAACAACAAATTATTTAAATTTTACACGGTAACTTTATAACTTCAGGTCGGCTTAAAATTTTGCTACGCTTTTGATAATCATTACTTCATTTAGCAATCGAAGCCGGCACTCATCAAAGTCTTCTCGCAGAGAAAGGTCATTACTATGACCTTGTCAATGCGCAACTCTTCAATCGACCGAAGAAAGGTTTCCCATTTTTACAAGACACAAACCTTTTTGCATTTAGAAGCTTCTCCCAAAGCAGGGACTTTTCCAACAAAAGATCAAATCTATTCCACGCAAGTATCGGTGGAAAATGTAAAAATGAGAAGAGCATCGATTAAGGAAACGGGTTGGTAGAAAGCTGCTTTTGATCAAAAATTGAATTTCAGAGAAACCGACTTTTTTCTTCTGGGATCTCTATAATTTGCTTGATCGAAAAACGAAAGGCATTTTCATTTTAGCGATTTTCTTTGGATTGACTGAGGTGAGCACTTGCTTTGTGAGCTTACATGAAATGAAAATGGATAACGAAATCACGCAACAAGAAATGGATAACGAAATTTGACACTTATTCGACAAATTTTGAATTATCATTCAATCATATTTTAGGGAATCGTTCCACCGATCTATGGCCTTATCTTTGCGCAACAAGAAATGGTTTGTTAATAGCTTTTATCATATTTTATTAGCTCTAGAGTTAATCTTTATTCGACTTTGAGGCTGAATACCTTTTCTTTAAAAGTTTTCAAATTGAATCAAGTAATGTGATAAGAAAAATACTACTAGAAATTTCTGTAATCTTAAAGAATCTATGTTTTTAAGTGACAACTCTTAAATAAAGCTGATCAAATAAATTTCAGGGTTTGGTCGACTTAGATCCGGAACGAATGAGAGCAAAGGGACATGCTGCAGCTTGGAATTGGATTTATCTCTGCTGCTTCGAGGGTTTCAGAATAGTGCCAATGGCAAGTTTGGAAAAAGATTTTAGGGGAAAACCCGGAGTTTACCCATCTTATGATGTGTTTATGCTTGAGGAAATTTTTCCCAAATTACCCTGATGATTCATTGGGTTGGTGAATTGAAAACTGCGGGACTTTGAACTAAAATTTATTCAACATAAAACCATCAATTCATTCGAAATAATTTCCATTATTATTGACGACTTCTGCCCATTTTACAGGCAATTTGCGGATTCCTCTTTCGAGGTAGGATTTTGGTTTGTGTGTGAGACAAGTGTGAGACGCAAAAATGGAGGACTGGAGATGTCCCAGTTTGAGCCTTTCTTCAAAAGGAACCCATTTTGGTGTCAATGGAAAAGTTGTAGAGAATCAAAAATTAGGCTTATAGCCAAATTTCCAAAAAAGATACACTTAGTAGTTTCGCTTAAAATGCAAGTTTTGTAAAAATTCGTAAATTTGGCTTTTCTTGAAAACCAGTTTTTGAATCGTTCTGAAAATTTGGATATAAGCTTGATTTTTGATTCTCTACAACTTTTCCATTGACACCAAAATGGGTTTCTTCTGAAGAAAGCGCTCAAAATGTCACATATGACAATAGCCGGCAGTTTTCAATTCACCAATCCAATAGAATAAGATTAGTACTAATTGGTATTGATATTCTGATTTCTTTTGATTTTTCTTTTGATTGCTTTTCTTTTTGACATTTTTTTTGACAAAGTGTCAAGATCTCGAAACGGCTAAAGTAACTCAATATTCTCCACAAAACAAAAACAAATTTTAGACAGTTTGCTTCAGCATTGCCTCGTGTCGTTTGGCGGAGAAGATTCGTGCGAAGGTAGGCTAAATGAGATCCAAAGCAATTTCATCAATTAATTAATCAGTTACCGATTGACCTACCGTATTTTCCCTAATAGTAGTGGACCCTGAGCGTCGTCTAAATTCCTCGAAATCTCGAGAACCGCTTATCAGAACCTATCGATGTGGGGTCGGAAAATGTAGCTGACAATGAGATCTAGTGGGGGATTTGAGTGTTCAGCTTCTGCAAAAGCTTGGAAACCGTAAAATAGTGACCGACTCGGCTCACCGGGGTGCACTACTATTAGAGAAAATATGGTAATCAAAATTCAACAAAAACAAACAAATAAACTTTTAGATCTTCGAAAATGTTTTGAATCAAAACGGGAAATTCCACGATGCTGCGGAGAACTCGTCGGGAAAATTGACGGCTTTGTTGGCATCAGATGCGGTCGCAGTTAGACTGGTGAGACAATGGAATTGCTATTGAAGTTTTCAAAAGGCTTAGGATATCACAGTGGATAATAAGTACTTTTGTGTTATCTGGATCTCAGAAAAAATTGGCTGGAGGAAAATCTTTTCCGTTCATTTTCCATTTGATTTTACTTGATTTTGTTTTTTACTTTTAGCTTTGACTTTTTCAATTTGAACTTCATTCTTTCATTTTATTCAGTTTCACGTTTTTGTCTCTTTTAGAGTTCTTTCTTGTAATCGATTTTACAAGTTTATTTAAGCATTTACAAATATGGAAGGGATCTTTTGGAAGAAATTTTTGATATCTTCGAGAATGGCGGTGAAAACTGGACGATCAGCACAGTTCATCTTACAGATTTCCTCAGTGATATAGCTCTAAAACATTGTTCGATGTGTTTCGTGGAGGCGATGGTTTGATTTTTGAATGGGCGCCACATCCTCTCAATATGTTGTGTGTGGACGATTAGATCGACGGAATTGACGAAGTTTTTTGTGTGGTTGACCCAATTGAACTGATAGTCGGGGTGGGAAACGATACTTCGATAAGTCCGGTCATTTATCAGAAATAATCCGGGTATTAGGAGTCATGTACTTCTCGATAGTTAGAATCAAAGTCGCACCTGATAGTATCAAAGTAGCAGCTCGGAAGCGAGCACGTAAAAATTTTCATTTGATTCCCTGCACACTCCACTAAAACACCACTTCTCATTGACCATTCGTCCAACATGATATTTCCGCTTTGCGAAGAGTGATTTGTCGATCTCAACAGTACATCCGAATTGCCCCGAATTCTCTCGAATTGCATGAGTTTGAGTTCGGTTTACAGAGCTCCAGGAACACACTTGACGCAAGTGAAAACTCCAATCAAAAAATCCAATCTGTAACCATAAAACGTCTATTTTCCCATTGACTTCCACAGCCAATTTTTCTCTGAGATTTCCCTGAGATAACACAAAGTATCAAATGATGCTTTAAAAAGAAAATACTAAAATTAGATTTTAGCTAGAATTAAATCCGAATTCACAGCGAATTTGGTGTAAAATTGAGCTCCGAAATGGCTGCTAGTCGATTTTAAGCTATAAAAGTTTACTACTTTGGTGTCTACAGGGTGACCAAGAATTACCGCAACAACGTCGTATTATGTTATGAGCCTCATTTCACTTTTTGCTTACCTGCTTTTATGGTTACCACTTCAAAAATCGAATTTGGACTTATCAACAAGATAGTGCGCCAGGCAAAGAAGAGGCAAAGAGGCAAAGAAAGTGCAAGAGTTTTGTTCAAAGACCTTCCCGGACTTCATCTCGTTTTCTGAGTGGCCACCTAGCTCACCCGATTTTAACTCATTGGTTCAATCAGTCTGGAGTGTTCCAGCCAGGGCATGTGCAAAACCACATAGAAATATCGAAAGTTTGAAGAAGGCGAAGAATCAAAGCATGGGATACCCTCGATGATGCCTATTTGCTCGCCACGGTCAACGCGTTTCCCAAAAGTTTGCAGGCCTGTCTGAATGCCGATGGAGGCAAATTTGAATTTAATTGTTAATTTGTTACTGTTATATGTTGAATAAAGATATTTAAGTTAACTTTTCGAGATGGGTTGCATATTTGGTTAAAAGCCAGACCTTTTGGTGTGTTGTGGTAATTCTTGGTCACCCTGTAAATCAAATTTGGGTTTGATCTAGAGATCCAGATTGAATCCAGATTCGATCCAGGGATCTAGAACGAATCCCGGATCCCGGATCGGATCTTCTTTCTGAATTCCGTTAAAAGCCAGACCTTTTGTGTCTTGCGGTAATTCTTCATCACCCTGTAGATCAAATCTGGGTTTGATCTAGAGATCCAGATTGAATCCAGATTCGATCCAGGGATCTAGATCGAATCCCGGATCGGATCTTCTTTCTGAATTCCGTTAAAAGCCTTTTGTGTGTTGCGGTAATTCTTGGTCACCATGTAGATGCAATTGCTAATGCGTATTGTCAGTAAAAATCGATTTAAACATTGAAAATTTATCAAATTAGCATTTAAAACAATATTTTGAACGACCAGGTTATCGGACCCAGGTTATAAAACGACCAGGTTATCGGACCCAGGTTATAAAACGACCAGGTTATCGTAAATTTTAGGCTTTCGGTGAACCACTTGGTGAACTTTGCAAAGGAAGCGTTGCCGCCATTCTCGGTCTATTTATCGGTTTTTATCTCAACTGGCAGACAACTTTATTAAGTGAGCTTAAAAATTCAATAAATTTACATAGAAATTATTCGATTTTCAGTGCTAATCATTGTCCCAATGGCCAGCTTTCATGGGATCACGTTGAGAAAACTTTTACTTACATATCATAGAGAAGAGTCATCGATGAATGTGAATAGCAGTGAAGTGAGAGCTGAGAAATGCAAATTTTATCGAATTCTACTTTTAGCTGTTATCCGAAGCTTTGGCTAATATTAAGACTGTACAATGTTTGAACTTGCAAAAGCCACTCTTGGAGACTTATTGTGAGAAATTGGAGAAACGAGTGCAGACCGGGCAGAAGAGAGCAAAGATCAGGGTAGGGTTGGACACTTTTCGAGCAGTAACTTTTACCAATAACGTAATCTGTAACGCAAAAAGTTGGCTATGGCTATGTAACGTCCAAATAGTGGTCAATAATACGTAGCTTCTATTGCAGTTATAATGATTACTCTAACGTAATCTTATAAAATTGAAAACTTCAGGCTTTCATTAACGCCGTGAATGCGATGATGAACGCGTGGATCAACTCACTCAAACAGGGATTCGCTTCTTGGCTCAGCGCTTGGGATTCGACTTTCGATCCGATCAGCGTGATGAGGTATAGGCTGGCTTTGAGTACAGGATACCGTAAAAGCTGTAATAGAGGGACTATAATAGGCCAATAGTAGAGGAGGGACATCATTTGTTAGATAGTACTTTTTGCCATTCACATGACCAAAACTGAAAAATATAAGCTTTAAAACCACTCATTCAAGAAACACTTTTTAATTAATTTATTTACAAAAACAAGTAAAATTCAACAAAAATTAACAAAAAAAGACAGAGATTTAAAAATCTGTATCAATGAGACATCAGATTCAAATTCTGCTTCATAGATGGAGATGTTTCTTGATGAAAATCGACAAGATTTGCTGGAGTGAGCGGATCTAGGAGCTCATTAACTTCTTTTTCGACACATGCATCTTTAAATAACTGTAGTCCTGTAGAAATCGGGCTATTGGGCTTAAAACAGTGAACCATCTGGTCGTCGCCACCACTTGGATCGATTCTTACACCACAGCTTTTGAAGAATCGACGAATGACTTCTTCCGAAATTGAATCCCATGCATCAGCAATTCATTTTAAGTAGATTTCCATTCTAGGGGCTTTTGGGTTCCCACCTTTTGTGCGTTTAGGTTCAAATTTGTGCAAGTTTTTCTATGCAAATTTGGAGGGGGATATTATTAGAGGGGGCTACCATTGGCGGAGGGCTACTATTACAGCTTTTACGGTTTGGATTTGGAAATTGTTACTCACCATCTATTCATCAATCGACAAATTACAGAACCCAATTCTCGTTGACAAATGTGGTGGTGGATCTGAAAAGCGCCACCGGCTACATCGATACCCATTCGAAAGCGCAAGTTTCATTGGAAAACATCGGTCGTTTGTTGGAACTAAAGCCTGAAATCGATAACGAACTTGATCAAAACGTAATGCTGATATAAATTCATCAAAAAAAATAGAATTTTAGCTTAATTGGGGCAAAATTGAGTTCAAAAACGTGAGCTTTACCTATCCAGAGCAACCGGAGGAGTTGGTGCTGAAAAGTGAGTTTTAATTAACAATACAGGGTGCGCTAAAAGTTCCCGTACTTGTATTTTCTGCATTTTTGGTAATTTCAGATAAAGGATACGATTTTAAAAGTAAGAAATTCGAATTCCTCGCGAATAGAAATTTAGAAAACGTTTCCGGTTAATTTATAAGTGCAACACTATTTAAGACAAGTGATTGAGAAGAGGGTCCGCAGTTACAGCGCACAGTTACAGCGCACAGTTACAGCGCACAGTCACAGCGCACAGTTACAGCGCACAGTTACAGCGCACAGCTACAGCGCACAGTTACAGCGCACAGTTACAGCGCACAGTTACAGCGCACAGTTACAGCGCACAGTTACAGCGCACAGTTACAGCGCACAGTTACAGCGCACAGTTACAGCGCACAGTTACAGCGCACAGTTACAGCGCACAGTTACAGTTATTTCCTTTGATGGAAATTTGTATGGGAAAACCAAGTTCTAACCTGACTCGGTCGTTGACCAAAACTTTATACACCCGATATAAAAAATGTCACATTTTATTTCTAGTTTTCGAAAAACATCTTGGCTCTGGAAAATCTTTTGATCCATAAAAGTTACAGGCCTGAAGCCCCAAAAAAATGTGCGACCAAAGCGCCCCTGAGCGGACCCCCTTCTCAATCACTTGTCTTAAATAGCCTTGCACTTATAAATTAACCAGAAACGTTTTCTAAATCAGTTTTTTCGTGAGGAATTCGAATTTCTTACTTTAAAAATCGTATCTTTTATCTAAAATTACCAAAAATGCAGAAAATACAAGTACGAGAACTCTTGGCGCACCCTCCAAGTAAGTGAAAAGTTGAGAGTATGAGGAAAATCACATTCAATTATTTGTTCAATTATTATTAGTTCAATTTTTTAGATGTATCCTTCACGATCGAGTCCGGTGAGAAAATCGGAGTTGTCGGCCGATCGGGCAGCGGGAAGAGCACCATCGTGGCGTTGTTGCAACGCATTTACTCCACGAAAAATGGATCGGTTGTGCGTTTTAAAGGCTAAAATGGTTAAATACTGTTGGAGAACTTTTTTTTTTAGCTCATCGACGGAACGAAAATCTCCAAAGTTCCCCTTCACTATTTGCGCAGTCAAATTGCCGTCGTATCGCAAGAGCCAACGCTTTTTGATGACACGATTTTTGTGCGTTTACAAGTTTGAACTAACAAGCCAGCGGAAAACGCGAACGCTAGTGAGCATTTTCCACGAAATCTAAGTCCCTTTTTACCAATGGCTGCGCACAGACGGACAAATGGACAGACGTCTCTTCTCCTTTATATATGTCGTAGCCGATTATGAATGAAATTTTTTGGCAAATCTTTCTAGTAGAGCAACCCTTTAATGTATGAGGACAATATTATATAATCTTGTAGCGAATTCAATTCTGCGTCGATTGGTACCAAATTTGTGAGTTTAGGTTAAAAATTGCCGGCGCTACAACGTTTCATTCAAAATCCGGGTAACCCCAAGAGCCGATTATGAATGAGTCGGTCTAGGAGCGTCCAACCATCAAGTATTTGGTATCATTCAACGCAGAATCATTAATAATTATGTTAAATTTTTTAAATTAGAGAGATTGGATAAAAAGAAAAAAAATTATCGGGCTTCAAAGTTTTCTCTTGAACAAACAGTTTTTTTGCTCTAATTTTTTTTCTTTTTATTCAATCTTTCTAATTTAAAAAATTTAACATAATTATTAATGATTCTGCGTTGAATGATACTAAATACTTGATGGTTGGACGCTCCTAGACCCACTCATTTATAATCGGCTCTTGGGGTTACGCGGATTTTGAATGAAACGTTGTAGCGCCGGCAATTTTTAACCTAAACTCACAAATTTGGTACCAATCGACGCAGAATTGAATTTGCTACAAGATGATATAGTAATTGTCCTCATACATTAAAGGGTTGCTCTACTAGAAAGATTTGCCATTCTGCGTTGAATGATACTAAATACTTGATGGTCGGACGCTCCTAGACCCACTCATTTGTAATCGGCTGAAATTCATAATTGGCTACGACATCTGCAGTAGATAACAACTCGGTAAAATATTTGCAACTTATTCAAGCCTATCAGTAGTAATTGGATGACGTCCACAAGCCCTACAAAAATTTTTATTTAGCTTATCACTGCAATTTACTTTCTGAATCGTTCTGTAACAGTTGAAACCTTTGAATGAATTTGTTCGCGGTGCTCTTATCCCAGTAAAAGAGTTATTCCACCCGCAGCTTCCAGCACTCTATTGCTGTTTTCATGTCAAAACATGGAGACGAATGTAGCTGAAGAAAGGGCAAGCCTTAACATTATATGTTATAACAACTTTAGGTATTAGATTAGATTTTATTCGACTTACTAAACTTTAAACCCGTTCAACAATGAATAAACTGTGCATTGAATGGGATCAAATAAAGTAGAAAAACTTAAAGAAAAGGTTACGCGAGCTTTACAAGTTGGCTAGCTTTTAGAAGCATAAGGAAAAGGCTCCAATCAGTACTTAAAATTAGCTTCAAAGTGTGGATTTTATCGAATTTAACTTTAATTTCAGAACAATATCGGCTACGGTCTAAATCTGGAGCTTTTATCGATGAAATCTGTCATCGAGGTAGCTAAAGTAGCGGGCATTCACGAGTTCATCACCACTCTGCCTGATGGTTACGAGACAAAAGTCGGCGCTCTTGGATCCCAGCTTTCTGGCGGTATGTGTAAAATATAAAACTCGCAAAATCTCAAAAATTTGATGCGATCTTTAAATTTTCACCTGCTTCGAAAGAGTCTAGGTCAAAGTCTAGGTCAAAGTCTAGGTCAAAGCTAGGTCAAAGTCTAGATCAACGCTAGGTCAAAGTCTAGGTCAAAGTCTAGGTCAAAGTCTAGGTCAAAGCTAGGTCAAAGTCTAGGTCAAAGCTAGGTCAAAGTCTAGGTCAAAGTCTAGGTCAAAGTCTAGGTCAAAGCTAGGTCAAAACTAGGTCAAAGCTAGGTCAAAGTCTAGATCAACGCTAGGTCAAAGTCTAGGTCAAAAGCAACGAATAGCGATTGCGAGAGCTTTGGTGAGAAAGCCGAAAATTCTGATTTTCGATGAAGCGACAAGTGCGCTGGATTCGGAAACGGAAAAGGTAACAAAGCAAGGAGGATTGCGTTTCTGAATTCAAAAATTTAGTCTGTCCAAGCATCGATTGATTTGGCTGCTCATGGTACAACTTGTATAACAATCGCTCATCGTCTGGCCTCGATCAAGAACTGCGACCGAATTCTCGTTTTTGAGAAGGGAAAGCTGGTGGAAGAAGGTAAAGAATAAAAAGTATAATAGAAAGATTTGCCAAAAAAACTTCTTACAACTCTCACAATTAACTTGCTGAACTGGCTCATGCACAAGATTAAAAAGTTTGCTTGATAGTTTATAGCAAAAAACTACAATCTCTTGACAATGATTTGCAACTAATATAGCCAGTTTAAGTCTGCGCAAAAATCATTTATGGCTAAAGTTTATGATCACTTTTACTGCTCTACCGGAAGTTCTTTGTTTTAAGAGGTCAAAAATAAAGTTTCAAAGTTTTACCTTCAGTTTCCAGCGAAATCAAACTTCGACGTTAGGTTTCTCACGACGTTCTCAAGAGGTTCTAACAATATTCGAAAGAAAATTGGCAAAAGGAATAGAGATGATAGATTTCGGAGCGTTTTAAGTAACTCTTTCAAAAAGTTAATAATGAAAAAGTCATCTTTTTGAGCTACTGCTTTCTCATCTCTATTCCTTTTGTCAATTTTCTTTCGAATATTGCTAGAACCTATTGAGAGCTACATTTTGATAGTTATTTCATTCGAATCGGTCAAATACGTTGGTTCCTATGAGTAAACGGATATGGACTAGAATTTGGATTAAGTTTGGATTGGATTTGGATTAAGTTTTGACCCCTTTTGATATCCTGTTACCTCTAACACCCCGACAACCCGACTCAACTCCTCCAACGTATTAGAGGGGAGCCTCTGACCGACCTGAACTGCAGTTGCATAGACCCGGAAGATATGTAGCTTTATTTACAGTAGTACGAGAAGACAAATAGATTACAATTGAGTGAAAGGGGAAGAGGGGGACTCCAAGTTAGAGCCTCACTTGTCCTCCTAGGTAATCCCAAAGATCGCCCCTTCTCGACGATGAAAGGGATAAGCACAGGGAAGAGATTACAAAAGAATAAAGAAATCATTCAATAATAACAATAGTAACTAAAATATCAGTTTGGCTTGACAAATAGAATAAAAGTTACAATTGAATTAATCTTAAAAACTGAGAAGTGAGATGGCGGCTATAAAAACTTTCATAACTTTCTTATTTTTCATTATTTGTGTTTTCTGTAAACTTTTTATGAAAGGAAAATGTGCGGAGATTCTTTTAATATCCATAGAATCCAAATAGTCCAAAAAGTCGTAGAGTTAGAGGCCAAAAAAGTTGTGCAAATGGGGGTCGATCAAGGAGGGCTTGACTATATGAATTATCTAGTAAAATATAAAGTCAAAAAAAAGCATTAGTTAGATAGAAGAGATAATTTTAGATGAATAGAATATCTGAATAGATAATTTTAACAAAAAAACCATAAAATTCTCTATTCAGTTTTATCTTGCATCGATTGTGCTTTGAGATGTTTTCATGCGTTGAATTAAACCCATGAAATACTGCTTGTCACCCATTTGTCTTTCTGTAGTTCACTTGTAAGCAAACAGAACTACAGAAGGACAAAAGGACAAGCATTCCTACTTATCAAATACCAGATTGTTGCTATTTAATTTGGTATTTGATATAATAAATCTGATAAACTTGCCAAATTGTACCTGCTATTCTTGGGTGATACTTTTTGTAAGTAGGAGTCGCTCTACTGGAAGAGTACAATTATGAGCTACAATTATGAGCAATTAGAGTACAAGATATCATATCTTTTTTCAGTCACTATTAGTATATCTTTCTGTTTTTTACTCTGGCTTTTCTTAAAAAAAATATAAAAAAAATTCAGTTTCAATTCAAATTCAAAAAAAAAAAATTCAGGCAACCACGACACTCTTCTCAACACTCAAGGAATCTACGCTCGTTTGGCCACGCTCAATGATCACAATTTATAAACGGGTTTATTCATTTACGATTTTCAAATACGATTTTCAAATACGATTTTTCAAATGTGATCTTTTGCTTAATAAAGTTTAGTGAAAAACTTAAAATGAAAAACATTTTAAGAACTAGAAACCAAGATCGATGTGTACTTGTCAAAAAAAAGAGCATTTAAATGCTCTTCTTTTGAAGAGCAATCACAGAAAAATGAACATATTCAATTAAACAAAAGAGTGTAGTCTGAGAAACAAAAATCAAATAGAATACTAGAAAATAAAGCTGGATTTTTGATTATCTAAAGCTATCCTTGAATCAATCGACTTTCGGAGGCATTGACACGACTGTGGCTAAATTTTTTGATTGAATGAAGCTGAAAAGTTAGTTCAATAGCTCTAGTGGACTGAGATTATTTATCAATTAGCAATTGATTATTGATTAGAATTATCAATTGATTCAGTTGATCTTGCACACGATTAGCTCACTATTGCTCACTATTGCAATTGGGCAATTTGCATACCGTATTCTCTCTAATAGTAGTGCACCCCGGCGAGCTGAGTTGATGACGATTTTACGGTTTCCAAGCTTTCACAGAAGCTCAACACTCAAATCCCCCACTAGATCTCATCGTCAGCTGCATTTTCCGTCCCCACATCGATAGGTTCTGATAAGCGGTTTTCGAGATTTCGAGCAATTTAGGCGACACTCAGGGTGCAACACTATTAGAGAAAATACGGTATATATGTTGAATATTTACATAATCAAAGTCCACTAGAGCTACTGAACCAAGAACATTTCAATCATTTCATTCATTCGTTCAAATTCAATGGTATCAATTGATCAACTGAATCATTGAATTTGAACGAATGAATGAAATGTTCGTGGTTCAGTAGCTCTAGTGTACTTCGATTATGGAAATATTAAATATACAGGATGTCCGAAAAACAAGTGGTCATCGGTTTGAGTCTGGAAAAAATTTCTCATTGATTTTACAAGACTCATCATGGTGTCAGAATTGGCTTTGTCTCAGACGCCACACAACAAGGCTTTTTCGGCTTGCCCCGACCTGACCCGATCCGACAAAAGCTGAGCCGCTTCCCATGTCTTCTTTGTGCTAATGTATGAACCCTGAGGGAAAACCAATTCTAACATCACGATGTGCCATCAAAACTCAGCGCAAAAAAATCTTCAGGCTGTGAGGCTCGCAAAGTGAGCCACTTTTTTGTGGACCACCCTGTAAATATGTAAATTGCCCAATTACAAGCCTAATAGTGAGCTGAAGACATTCTCTGCTAAATTTTTGATTTGGACTCACTCCAAATCTCACTCCAATTTAGCCTGAGCCTGAGCCTGAGCCTGAGCGTGAGCCTGAGCCTGAGCCTGAGCCTGAGCCTGAGCCTGAGCCTGAGCCTGAGCCTGAGCCTGAGCCTGAGCCTGAGCCTCATTTAACACTTACACTTCCGATGGATAACATGCAAATGGTAACATGCAAAATATGCAAATCTTTATGCTACTTGTAATTTTAAAAGTTTAGTCTAGCCTGATTTCTTAAACAATTCCTCACCATAACTCGGTGGATTTGATGATACAGAGGTTGTAAAAACTGCTTGAGTCGGATATCCGGGATTTACCCCGGGAGTTGACCGAAAGGCTTGTGATGGTGTGAAGAGTTGAGCTCCATCGACAAAAGCACCTAGACTTACTTTGGTTGAAGTGAAGTTATCTCAGGCTGGCCAGAAAGTCTTTTCCGCTTTTTTTAAAGGTCACTTTTTGAAATAAATAATGAACCAATCGATCTATAATCTATTTTATCAGAAACTTATACTATTTATTTAAAAATTGTCCTTTAAGAAACTCTGAAAAGGTAATAAACATATCAGATCGCTGCTCAATCTGTACCTCCTCCCGGTTGCGGAACGACACCCGCTTGATGCAATTGCCCGTTTTCTCTCATGACTCTCCGTTGCTGAACCTGATACGCTCGAGCGCAACAAGCAATGCAAAGGCCGATGGCCGAGATGATCAACCAAATCAATTTCCTAATGATCACTCCAAACTGATAGCTCGAATAGTTGCTGCTCGAATAGCTGCTGCTGTAGCTGGATACGCATCCCGCCTAAAATACTATAAATATCTGCTGAATTTGCTAATAAAATGAGAGGTTTAAAGTTTGAATGTGCTTCTTGATGCGTTTTAAAATACTCCTGTATCTGATTTTTATTCAGTCTATTAAGCTGTTCAGAAAGATTTTTACGAAAAACACGTTTTCACTCTCAAACTTGCTTCGTTCCTTTTTGTACTTCCGTACTTCAAATTTGGGTTTACTTCTAAGCGTTCAAAAAAACAATTCACCGATTAACCTATGACTTCTCCTAAATAAAAAGTGTTTTTTGTTCAATTTCCCATCTTTTTAAGTCAATTTGGGTTTACTTTTAAGCAAATTCGAACATGAAAACCGTGTTTTTCGTTCCATAAAAACCTCTACGAAGAAATTGACTGAATCAATTTCTCTGAAAATTTGGCGATATACCAAACTTTTTGTGCTCTATCTATTGACATCTATTTTATCTTTTTTTTCAAATTTTATTTACTTATTTACCAGTGGAAAACTATCACCAACGTTCGCGTTTTCCACGCTTTCCGCGCGATCTAAGCCCCGCCGCTTTTTGCCAATGGCTGCGCACGGACGGACAGACGGACAGACGACAGACGGATAGATGTCTCTTCTGCTTTACATAGAGTAGATTTTATCTATTGACACGAAGATGGGTTTGCTAGAAAACGGTTTTCTGACGAGAAACAGTAGCTTTCAAAGTACGGTAGCTTTTTACGAGGAGAAACTATTAGAAAATGGCTTACTTAGATAGAAAATAGATTTTCTAATCAAAGTTCAAAAGTTTTAAATTTGAATAAGAGCTACCTTTTGAAAATTCATCAAAAATCAGTCCAAATTAGAAACGTTTCCTTGCAATTATCTCAATTGTACCTTTTTGTTTCGAGGAAATGGATCAAAAAGTGACTTTTTCAAGGCCAAGATCAGGCAACAAATTTGGAAATGACAATAGAAAAAGTTGTGAGGAAATTTGGAGAAAATAGAAATTTGTCATCAACAGAAACTTTTAGAGTTATCAGAGTCAAATGCACAGTGACGAGGTGTTCTTTGTGCGCGTGCTTTCAAATCCCGAAATCCTACTTACTTACTAGAAAACGGTTTTCTGAAGAGAAACACTAGCTTGCAAACGGTTTTCTTAAGAGAAACAGTAGCTTTCAAAGTACGGTAGCTTTTTATGAGGAGAAACTATTAGAAAATGGCTTACTTATTGTTAGAAAAATGTTTTTCTTAGACAGATTACTGTAGCTTTACTGTTTAATCTTATTATAAATCATCGGAGTACGGTAACTTTTTCCAGATCCTTTTAGAAAACGGTGCTCACGAGAAAAGCTTTTCTTAGATAGATTATTGTAGCTTTATGGCCTCACCTCATCCGATCGATCATTGCAATCATAATCACCATCACATCGCCAATTCGACGAAATGCATTGATTTCCAGTCGTGCATTTAAATTGATAGATGTTACAATTGACGGCGGATGAGGTTTCTAAAATTTGAGTTCAAATAAAACACTGCACATCGGCGCGAAATAAGGCAAAAATGCGTTTTCTATCGGATTTTTCTGGGAGTACCTTTTTTAGATGCGGAAAATTGTGCTGAATCCGAATCTGAAGGAATTTTTCAAATCCCTCTGACAGAAATTTTTTAAATTTAGTTTTAGCGGTTTTTTGGTCATTTTGTATGGGAAATTTTGTGGTACCCTGCAGTTTGGGGCTCGTGACTCGACCACGAGGGTCTAGAGCCAAAAACGAAGGGATAACTTTTTATTCTAGAGGCTCTTACGAACATTTTGATGCAAAAATCATCAAATTTGCTCAACTCTACAAAAAGTTATCACATTTTTTCAAAAAGAAATGAGAAAATCTAAAAAATTCTCTATTGCACAATTGTTTTGTTCAAAAGAACAATGTATTCAAATGTAGCTATGCATCGTATTCACTCAAAATCCGATAGAAAACGCATTTTCGCACCGATGTGCACTGTTTCACTCACCTATCAGAATTGATAACAGCAAACATAAAGCATAGTTGAGCATTGGATTATTCGAGAAAATTTATTGACAAATTTTTGAGGCTTTAGAAGTTTTAAACATTCTCAAGACAGGTGGAAAACGTTTTCTCTTTGACGTTCTTAGAAGAGGCAAATTTGGAATTTAGGCTAACTTTTTGAGATCACAGATTAACAAGAAAAAAAGAAAATAAAGTCAATTTTCAGTCAAACGTAACCATGACCTAGATAGTTGCTTAAAAATAACACATAATAAATATCAAAATGCTTATGATAGATGTAAAATAAGAATATTGATAATAAGAAATTTAAAATTGGTAGAAAATAAAAATATCGATACGTTTCAATCAACTTTTGGTGGCATTGAAGTGGCGGACATCGCTGAAGTTCTTGTTGTAAAATAAAATCGGTTAACTGGACCTAACTGGTAAACTTCACTAAGTGTCAATAGTAATCATGTGTAGCTGTAAAGTATGCCAAGAAAAATCCACTAGCTTATAGACAGCAAAAGTGCAAGTACTGAAGGTAAATCGATGAAAACAATTGCTAGCCAGATCTTATCAATCCAACGGTATTGACGACTTTCAAAATCTTTGTTAAAAAGAAAAATATACCGTATTTTCTCTAATAGTAGTGCACCCCGACGAGCCGAGTTGGTCACTATTTTACGGTTTCTAAGCTTTTGCAGAAGCTCAACACTCAAATCCCCCACTAGAGCTCATCGTCAGCTACATTTTCCGACCCTACATCGATAGATTCTGATAAGCGGTTCTCGAGATTTCGAGGAATTCAGGCGACGCTCAGGGTGCACTACTATTAGAGAAAATACGGTATATGGGTTTTTTTTTCTTCCCTACATTTAGGGCTTAAGGATTGTGCTTGTGTATTGTTTGT